TCAGGGGTCGAAACCAACGTCACTTTAGATTACTGATGTACCCAATATCTAAAGGAAATTAATTTATTATGAAGGAAGCCGTGCCCAGTTTCCCATCGTGAAGTGTTGTTGTAGTATCCTTGAATTTACCGTCCGGCTACAACTACCACGGCCACTGCAATTACTAGCTTGATGAGCAAACAAGAGTGTACAGTACTTGATGTGCTTGAAACTGTAGCTCCTGCAAACCTAGGCACATGACGGGGTAATCCTACTTCGTTCTGCGAACACCTTATATCTCAAAATGATAACGTGGGCCGGTCCAGTTCAGGTGAATCCTGCCGGGTTAAGTGTAATCCAGTTTGATGGAAATGATTTGCGGTCCGGCTCGCCCTATTTCCGGTGCAATTAGTCTCCGCCCTGTTCATTTTACATGCGTGGTAGTGAGTTAGTTCTGCTGCATTGATCGTGTAGCTGGAAATCGGACCCCGTAATGGCGAGGTGATTAAGGAATTCGAAGCTGACTGGAAAACACGGTCTTCACATAACACCAATTTATCCTTCCTGTCTGCTTCAGTGCCACCGCCAAGGCTACACCATTGGGCAACACGTGCTCATGTAGAGGACCATAACACTTCGTTGCGCGACGCTTGTGCTTCTTGCATGTACTTGTCGCAGTATGATTAGGTGCAAACGCGCTAAGCAACGCGAGCGGGTCTGAAGTGAGAGGACAAGAGTTCGATTCATAGGTTCCAAGTGTCGTTTTCAAAAATAAGTTAAAGGATATATTTTAGTAACCGATCGGTGTCACGAAATTGAAGTACTTCAGCGATTTGTTTGCGTCCAGCACTTCCGAAACGCCTTTCAGCATGATGCACAGTAATTACGGTTAAAATAGGCGGGCATCCCAATAAAGTACGGTGAAAGCGACGGTTAGTCCCTTTTATGATATTGTTTGTGACAAGGTGGTGCTGGGTTGGCTTGAGGTGCAAATAGGCGTATTGTCGACACAATGCGTAAACAATTCGCGTATTTGCACCACAAGCCAACCAAAACTTTTGTGATGTGTGTCATAACAAACTGAAACTTTGTTTTTGTGCATAGACTAACACTTCGTTTTTGTATTGGTTTGGTCCAGTCTTTGTCTGTCCAGTGCGCCATATCTTCCGGCGATATGACAGAGTTTATGCACAAATCAAAAAAGTTCGGTTTGTTATGGCCTACCGTAGTAGTCTATACTGACTCTATATAGAACGTGCGGGAAGATTTGTACTGTGCAAATCGGCCCAACAGGCCATATCTGTCGTCGATATGTATAACGAAGCCGAGTTATTTTAAGGATGCGTAGTTCAGCGTGCTCTAATGAACTGCGGACAAGGTGGACCTTATTCGGCTCTACGATACGTTCTGGGCCCGGTTTGGAAGCGCCAAAAACAATGCTTCAATTGGAGAAGGGTGGATGTTGCTGGCTTCTGAGATGAGCAGAGTTGGCCGACAGGTACTTTCGGTTAATGTGTAAAAGGAATGTTGCACCCAACACAATACCTAAAAGCACAACCTGGAAGACTTTTGGTGAACAGCCTTACTGAACAGCCCCAAGTCTATAATAATAGTTTTTCTAGAAAATGTTCCACTCGTAAAATTTTAAAATATAGAATATATGTAAGTGAACAAATTTAAATTTCAGAGATAATAATGTTTTAGAGGTCCGCAAAATTAACTCATCGGGCACCATCGCGCTCAGCCTCGCGACAGCTAGCCTATACGAACTCGTAGGTCATCACTACTGCCATCACAACGAGATTTTCTACGTCAAGCCGAGCCATGGCGCCTCTTACGCCCAACCAGCGCCATGCCGCAACGTTTTAGCTGTTGAATGGGCGGTTTAGCCTCGTTGCCCCGCTACGTACATCTGTGACGCCTCCTAGCCCCAGTAACGTCAGCAATGACAGTGTATCAGACGACGAAGGCAGCTTCATTGTCCGAGGATTTAGGTTTGGTGCAGCCGCTGAGGACGGTGCAGGGAGATTATGAATTTGGCAAAACGCCGCATTAACGGGGCCACGTTGTACCTGGCTCAGTGGGAAGGGTATGAAAGTCTTAACCTGGGAGCCGCGGAGCATTTTGCTCCGCAGATCATCTGCAACTTCGAGCTGCAGTATATTACGTCCATCTGAGACTAGACGGGAACGGCGCCGCGTGCTCCGGTGTGGCGAAGCGGCTCCGCAAAATTTGCAGATCGCGGGGGTCCTCTTGCACACGGCGCCCGAACTGCCGACTTACGGAGGGGGTACTCCGATCTTCCGTGAAGTTGCTGATCCTCACCTTGTGTACCCGTCGGTGGGCTGGATCACTCTTCGGGTGATCTCGAGAAGACGCGCTTGGGGTTGAGTCTTGGACTGTCTGGCGGACAGCGGGGACATGTGGCAGCAACGCGGATATGCTTCACTCTGTGCCGGAGTAGTTGTGGCGGTTTCGATCTGGGGTTGTCTAGATCGACACTCGCCGGCCAGGTGTAATCTTGGCCTGGGGTTACCTTGTGGTCGGTGTATGACCTTCCTTTCCTTTCCTTGCTTGCTTGCCGCTTCCTCTAGCGGTGGGTCGAAGTGAGGGTTGACGGACGCTGGGCCAAGCTATCCTGGCGTCCGAGGTTCCTTGATCTTGGGGTATAAGTCGACTTGCGTAGCGTCGGGTGGGCCAAAGTATATCCCGTGCCCGGTAGTGCGGAGGCGAAGACCACTTGATCAGTAGAAGGTAAACACAACTCTGTCCAAAATGTTAACCTTGCCTAAGTCCTTGTCCCATCGTTCTCTCACGCTCCTGTGGTCCAACCGCATGCTCGCTGGCTCCCTCGGCCTTCGTGGTGGCGCCGACTCTCTGCTGGTCGTTGACGAAATCCGGATACAAGTTCATCATTCCTTTCCCGGGATCGACGTCACCCCTTCCCAAGCAGATATCCCCTGGTCTAGATCATCTTCGACGGGGTTCACTCTTCTGGAGGTCGGTGTCACTCTCGGGGGAGATCACACTTGATCTTGGTGGGTGGCTTCAGACTTCGGAAAATTCTCTTCTTGCTCCACCACACCGGTGTGAGTTGCCCGAGCGCATTAGTCAACGTCTTCGCGGTAAACAACTTATGCTTATTGTTTCCACATTATCACTACTAACACGTCACTATGGGGAAGCTCGCCGGACGCTGCGTCGCATTTTACAGAGATTTTCGGCGAAAGTAATAGCTATTCGTACCGGCCTAAAGGCTCAAATTGGAAAGTCAATACAATACAAATGTATTGAGCTCATGAAAACGAAGACGCCACTGCGGTCGAGCTTATGAAGTATCTTGAACTGAGTCAAGTAAGATCGCATGAAGCCAAGCGAATTGAAGACAGGAAGCTGACGGTCCTCGAGTACTGGCGCGGCTTGTTCCAGTTCTCGATGCTTCAGAAGATCACACTTACGGTCTTCTGCGCTAGTTGCTCCAGAGCTGCTGCTGAGCGCAACTCTCAGTTCACAAGTTTGTCCACTCCTAGGCTCGGAACCGTCTTCAGGACGCATCGGTCGATAAGCTTGTCTTCCTTTTCTTTAACGCCAAGAACTTCGACGCTGAAGATGTTGAGTTCTATGGCTTCATGGAGAACATGGCGGATGCTAGTTGTGACGAGGAAATCAACAACTGCGACGAGGAATTTGAGTACTACTAAGTCAGCTTGTAGTTAGGAATTCGCTTCATACATGTGCTTGACCCTATAATTTTAACATGCCCAATGTTCATAGATCATAATCATTGTAGATAATTTGATAGTGCGCGACGATACTTTAGAGAACCGCATACCAAAACAGAGTTCTATCAGAAATATTTCTTTCTTGCCTAGTCTACATCGCCGGTATGAATTCTTTGATCGTGTTGATGTTGATGGGTATCCTATATGCCCCTTAACACTTTAAAAGCTCTTTCTCAAACACCATGTATGAAAAAAGTCGGGGAATTCGAGGTACATGTATACCATTCCATTGACGCGAGTCCTCGTCCGTCTCGCGGCCAAGATAGCGTGGATCGAGCAAGTACGCTACACCGTGTACGTCGCAGTAGATGACGTTGAAGCGATCTTCGCGGATCCAGGTGATATCACCCAGTTTGCTAATAGGCATCACCGTATCGCAATATGGGAGCTCCAAGAACATACGATAGACGTCAGATGGCGACTTTGCGTTCTTCTCAAACGCCTTTGGGAACGCCGAAAGCACATCTAGCAGTTGAATATTTTTTTACTGCACAAAGTCATGCGCCACCACCGTGTCGTGCGCAAGGGGTCGCGTGGTTTTCTGCTCTTTGGACCCGAATTGGAAAAATCCTGTGAGTTTACAAACGCATGAAGAATATTCTCAGAAGCCTTGATGCTAGCGAAGCAGCGCTTGATCGTACCCCAGCGTGTGTCGACGGCATGCTGAGGGCCACCTTACATCCATCTGCTGCGGGTGATGAAGCTCGTGCCTCAACTGCTGGCCCTTATTGAGAAACCTCGCCAACTGATGGCAGTCCTGCTCCATCTTTTGAGGTCAAGGCAGCTTGGGGACAAAGTCCTTCACCACAAGGTGCAGCGCGTGCGAGATGCAGTCATGGAAAGCATAACCTGGTACTCCTTCTGACGCGTGGCCAGACGCGCAGGGTTATCCATACCACTGCAACGTAGCGGATGAAGGGATTCTTAGCCATCACACAGCCGCGAGGAAGCGTCGTGCGAGGTTGAACCCGTGTACAAGATCTCGAGGAAACGGCTAACGCCTCCTCACGCAGGACACAGGCAGCCCATTGACGTCCATTCAGGCATCAGTAACGAGGGTGCGGTTTCGATCCCGGGGCTTGAGCATCACAGTTGCGCGGGCCTCGCCGTAGCAGTTGTTCAACAGCGTTGAAACCAGCTGCTTACGGGAGAGAACTTGAAGGCGTAAGCTCCCCAAGCGCGGCTGCAAGACGTACGTGTGGTGTGCTGCATTGTTAAAAACCATGTCGGTGCTGCAAAACCGGAGGGCGAAATTAAGCTGGAACGCAGCAACCTTGACCGGAGAGATAGCTGGGCGAAAGCAGGCGTGCATGTTCGTTTGAGGCAATTCTTGGCCCAGTGGCTCGACATGAGTTTTCCCGGATGTGTGAATAAGCTTCTCACACTTCTTGTAGAGACAACGCCGCCGGAGACGAGGATGTCGTTCCAGACAGTATCTGGAAGGCGGCTTCTGCGGCAAGCAGGATCGTCAAAACCCGCCACGCGACCACCAGGGGGAATGGCAACCAGCATAGCGCTAATGAAAAAGAGGGAGGGCAAAATGATCCGAGGACGGCAAACTGAACTGGACGGCGGTACCGGCGCTTAATGTGCCAGTAGGAACGGCAGTGCCGGTGGCTCCAGTTGTAGGGGTAGCAGCAGTGACGACAGGGGTATCAGGGGCCAATGAGGTCAGAACAGCGGTCGGGACTTGGTGGTTGGGGTATAGATCGCAAAAGCCAGAGCGTAGCTTCAAATGGTGTCCGCGTTTAACATGAATACAAACCTGTTGGCAACGCTGGCAACGGTCACAGTAGCAAGTAGGGCGACATGAACCATCCATTTTTTTACTTCAAATTGAACACCACCCATTTTACCAGCCCACCCGTAATAAAATAATTACCCATTCACCACAGCGCCGTAATGTGGAGTTTTGGCAACGCTGGAGATGAGCCGTCTTCACAGTGAAACCATCTACATGCAGCAGTGCAAGAACAAGGTAAACTCGCAAGTGAAAGCAAAAGGTAACCTCATTTCACAAACTACTGCGTGCCAGAAACAGTGAAACAATTTTAACAAACTCGGTTGTGTTCTGTAGATCAAGTGACTTAAGCGCAAGTGGGCCGAGTACAACTCGGACATGCGTGCTACCGGCAACGAAGAGACCCCAGTGTTCGAGGTAAATGAGCTTATGCTACTGATAGAGTACTGGTCGAGGTAAATTGCGCATTGATGTAATTGATTGTAATTATATTTGCAATTGGTGTATTGCTCTTATGAAATGAACGGATAGACGCTTGCTGACACCGAAGTGGAAGCTGGAGCCTGTAGCGAAGATGTTAACCCTGATGTTAGCGGTTATACCATCCATTAAAGCCGATAGAACGCTTAATGGCGATGCGGGTGCCATCCATAGCGCTACCACAGGATACCCCCCCCCGTCCCCTCCCCCAAAGCTGTACGTTTTGTAGAATACAGCAACAAAGTGAACATGCAGCATCTCAAACCACAGCAGCACACAACTGGTTTGCGATCGGCGTAAGTGGCGACATCCCCACGCATCGGTTCAAAGTACATCAAATGTTTTAGAATGTACACATTGTTACGTACATCACGGCGCATCAGAAACCCACAGGCTAGCGCGTACATGTCTGCATGATTAAGCACATCAAAGCGGTTGGTGGTGGCATTGTCAAACCTTTTGGTCGCAAAATGCACCGGAGAAACTGAGAACCACATGCTCGATGTGGTTCTCGTTTTTTTTAGCAATAAACATAAACCTCTATGTATGGCCAATCGAAGACTAGGTTAAAGTTGGTCGCGCAAGGAGAACCTAACCAGCACCAGAACCGCTCAGACAAACTAGCTCCTACTTCATTGGTCCACGATAATATGCGCGTAAGGTTTTATGTATTTTACACAACATGTTTTTATTGGCTAAAATTATGAATTTCCGTCACCATCGACTAATCGCCAAATCCTTCTCATTGCTAATTCTAGCCAACAATTCCCGAACAATGCACACGCCAGGGGCCAAGTGAGAGAGGGGAGATCACACCGCGGCGGGGGGGGGGGGGCATTTAAAAGATCTCGAAACGGAGGTCTCTGAGATCTGGAGCCAGCGCCTTCCGCGCTAGTGGTTCCGCGAAAGCCGCGAGCCCTCGGTCAAACTAAACTCTTAGTAGAGGAGGTAGCTGGGCTCATCCAGGACGTCCCTATGACGAACGGCAAACACTGCGTTGCCCAGTAGCCGCTACGGGCATACCCCGCGCAACACAGTGTTACGCAAGCCAATAATACAAGCCTAGCCTTCGCCCTGACTCACGTAGGAAAAAAATACACAACAAATTTTGTATCTAATTTGTATTATAGGGGGTGAGACTTCAGAATGATTCACATGTATTATAGCAAACTCTACGCATAACTTTTTCTTAAAACGCCATCCTAAAAGTAGCATAAATATGAGCTGTGTCCTGATTGGGCAAAAATAAATTGCTGAATGCGAATCTCAACCGTGCAAGCAGGAAAAACCTCGTTTTTATTTGAGGCTGTAGCTCTCACAAATCAACGCTTTTGCAGTAATAGCATAATTTCGATCGTATTTGTTTTGTGAAACATATTGCGTGCGTCTAAAGAAAAAAGCAAAAGAGCTTTCTGCGACGAACTACCTTCATCGACATGGCTTAAAGAGTATATATTCGATTATATTCTTGCTAAATCGGTTGTACCGCTAACCACAAAAACTCATAAGCAGAACCTCTCATACGAGGTGGTTGCCGATTTCGTTCTGAAAGGAAACACCACCCTATATCACCAACTTCCTCAGGTCTTGCATGATCCTACTTTTGTGAGAGGACCATGTCCGTCTCCATTCTGTGGGGCATCAATGCTCTGTATTTCCGCGGCCGCCCTCAAGCACAGATAGCGCTGGCTCTTACTTAACTTTATCCATGCTGACTTTACTCTTTATCAGCTTGTAAAGTCTCGCGACTGCCGCTTCTTCGGTCATCTTTCGTTCAGCGCTCCAATCGGCGCATATAACAATGCCGCATACAGGTCACCTGTGCTACTAGCCGGCGGGAGGACACGAAAAACGTGCCAATTACATTCTCAAATCGAGCAGAACCATGCGCAACGCGACCCCTAGCTCTCCACACTTCGATCGCTTCCACGACATCGGCGCATCAAGGAGATGACGAACTTCTCGTTGCGCGAGTTCAACGAGCTTTGGCTGTCCGTCCGTGACTTGTGTAGTAGTCAACTTTTATGTGAGATGTGGTAGGGTTCGGAAGTCAAGGTGGAATCATTTATCTAATTTAAATGTATGCTGATCATACATGCATCTACTCTACAAAATCCCTATCAAACATGTTGTATGTTGAGCATGTATGAGTACCAAAAACATTGTGCGAAGAATGTGTACGGCGAATGGGGAGGGGGGGAATCAAAAAAAATTCGCTAGCCACTACCATCTCACGATTGTTATGACTAAATCAATCAGGAACGCACAACGTGGCCTTGTTCAAGTCCAACGAGCCCTTTCACTTGCGAAGAGGCAGGAGTTGCCCATTGGCGAGAGCCTGTAGGTCAACGACCCTCTGCTAGAGATATATTCAGCTAAATGGGCGATATTGGCAGACAAGGGCTATCAGAGGTTGGTCGACTACGTCCGCTACATCCACCCCAAAAAAAGCACAGCTCTAAATCGTACCGGCCAGCAGAAGGACGACTAGTTGTCAAACGATAGCGGTCTGGTTGACAATTGTTAAGGGCGTTCAAACGTTCTGTGGCAAATCACGATTGACAAGTACCACTGGAACGCAGACTCGTACGATGCCATCTTATGCATGAGGTCGCTCTAGCCAACTTTCACATCTGGATCAATCCTCTCTGCGTCCAGAACGGGATGTGGTTCCGCCAGTCGCAACACCGACTAACTCAAATAGGTTTGGCGCTCAAGAAAAAGAGGCGTATGCAGCAGCAAACGTACCGCGCACAGAAGAAGCGTCGTTTCTCAGCGATCTAAGCGGAGAAGAAGAAGCGAGCGAGGACTCGTTGACGCAATACTCCTAAGAGATATGAGTGCACTTGGAATCTGAATTGTGTATGCATTCAAGATAAATTCAATATTCCCGTTGATACCTTGCGTTTCCCGAAAAGCGAATTCTGTTGATAAAAACTATAGATCCTTCCGATTAATCTGGTGTTTTACGCATAAATAGGTATCTCGTGTGATTAACCCCCCCCATTCACCAATACATGCTCAGCATACATACGGGCTTTGGCGCATATATGCCGAGCATGTATGCTATAAATAGGGCATGTCCTATACAAATCACTTAACTAATCAACATGTATGCTGAGCATACATGCACCTACTCTATACACCTACTCTATACAAAATCCCTAAGTAAAACGGTCCAGTGCGACACACTGTCAATTAATGACCGAGTCCCAGATGTCCCGATACACGACGCCTATTGGTTGGAATAATCTTAGAAGACTCTATAATCTAATAACTGTGTATAAAATTGACCTGCTAGTGGGAAACTGGTGTCACACTGGATCCGAGGATGCATTTTATTGTCCACTACAAGTATTTATTAGGTCACCTAGGGAGTTGGCCGGCGCCTTAGCAAAGAAAATTTGGCGATGAACTACAGATTCTCGCGAAATTGTTCTTAACCCCCCCATTCACCGTACACATTCTCCACACAATGTTTTTGTACTCATACATGCTCAGCATACATGTCATTTGTTTACAGGTACCATATTTTTTGCTTTGATATTATTTTTCCGGCCCCTGGAGCGGACCCAGCTGTTGAAATCTCGATGGGAGTCCCATGTAACAATGTAGTTTCATTGCGGAGCCGACTGCGCGCCGCTGCCTCCTGAAGCAGGCGTCTATCGTTTGCCTCTTGAAAATCCCTTCCACTTGTGTCTTGCTCAACAGAATTATTAAATAATAATAGTCTATTATAGGAGGAATGAAATTTTGACCTCTCCTATTGTCACGTCTAGTAAATATCTTACGATACCAGGAACGTACACAGCTCCAAGCTGCTGACGAGCAACATCACCAATTTCACGATAACCCTGGTTTATTTCTTTGTAAAGAGCGCTAGTGTTAAGATGGATTTTGGTGGGTGAAATATCTCTTTTTATTATCCAATAAGAAAAGTACCGCACATTTACTAATGTGGCGCACACTATATATTTGCCGAGGGATGTCATGAGTGGAGGAGGACGCATGGAATGACCACCGAAGTCCCCCTCACTTCGAAACTGACGGCCTATCTACTAAGGGGCGTTCTTAACAGAGGTAGATCGGTATCACCGTACAACCAAGGTCCACGTGTGCTAGAGACGTGCGGGTATCACCGTGCAACATGCAACGCTCTGATAAGAATGAAGTGCATACGTTCATCTGATTTTTAATGTCATATTTCACATTTGCCTTCAAGCGAGAATCTCGCTCCCTTGCACGCCCGGACTGGCGCTCTCTCTGAACCATGGAGCAAGATCTAGATGACGACTCGGACGAGCGCACGCGGTTTGACTTTGACTGGGCTGTGGAAGGTGATCTCCTAGCCTGGAGCGACAGCGACTCGGATGGCGACCCATTTGCTGACAATCTCCTTCCCTGGAGCGACAGCGGCTCAGACGGCGACCCCTTTGCATGGAGCGACGACGATTCTGATGGCGAGCTCCTTGGCTGAAATGACAGCGACTCTGAAGATGAGTTCATGCTAGACGGCGCATTCATATGCTTCACAGCTGCGGCTGCTGAGTTGAACACTCGCGAGACCTTTTACGCTCGCCAGCGCATGATATGGTCCGAGCATGTACAACGGCATCAGCGAGAGAAGACTTTTGATCGGGCTTATCGCATGGATGGAGCCCATTTTAACCGCTTGGTGGACATGCTGAGACCGTCGTTGAGCGTAGACGGTGTGATGTCAACGAGAAGAACTGGAGTTGCTCCTATATCTGAAGAAGTTGTCCTACACTGCACGCTCCGCTACCTTGCTGGCGGTTCGTATCTGGACATTCGCGATGTAGCCCAACTAAGTGTGGCTTCCTTTTATCGCTGTTTGAACAAGGGCATCTTTGCTATTCTCAACTGCACCGAGTTGGCTATTCAGCTTCCTACAACCCCAAGAGAGATTGAGTGCGCAGCAGCCGAGTTCGCAAAATCGAGCTCAGAAGGTGTTTTGGACGGCTGTGTTGGCTGCGTTGATGGCATGCTTGTCCGAATTATTACACCAACGCGGAAGCAAGCAGGTGGTAATGTTCGCGCTTACTTTTCGGGGCACTATCATCACATGGGTCTCAATATCCAAGCTGCATGTGATCACCAATGTCGCTTCATCTATTTTGCTGTCGCTGCACCTGGTGGATCCAGCGATTTATGGGCTTTCGCAAGAACTAAGCTGGCAACGTACGTGGGCAATCTTGGTAATAACCGATATTTTATCGGCGATGGAGCGTATATGCCTTCAGAGCACATGCTCACGCCCTTTTGGAGGAACGGGACGGCTGAACAGAGCGCACGACACGTTCGACTTTTACTTAAGTCAGCTGAGGATTAAAATCGAGTAGACGTTTGGAAGGTTCAGCAACAAGTGGAGATGTCTCAACTATCCTCTTCAACTGAAGCCCAAGAATGTTAGTCGAGCTCTGATGGCTATGGCTCGACTGCATAACTTTTGCGCTGACCTCCCAGTAGAATTCGCAGTTGCTGAGGCAAGAGAGAACACGGGCGTTTTTGACCAGAGCCGTCTGGCATACTTGCCGAGCGATCCATTGGACCCACAAGCTTTTAGCACTGCTGGTGTATCCGATGTGCGTGACAGACTTGTACGCTTCATCCAGAACGCGTCTCTAAGCCGATCCCACCGCAACCTCGTTCGCAGGACTTCAGAGAACGAGTAGGCACCCATATCTAACGTGTTGGTACCTTATCGGTTAATCCACAAAATGGTACTACTAGTATGAAGGTATCGTTGACCCGGAAGTTCCCCAGCAAGGAGTTCTCATGCTTCTTTATTTAGTGTTTCAATGTCACCTTGTGCGATTCGCGCAGCGACACGGTAACCGGGATCTTGATTAGACTTCGCGTCTGCCGAACAACTCGCACTGCTTTGATAGAAGTCAACATGCTCAGCTTTTGCGTACATCGAGATCGATTCACTGCATGACGGCGTGGACTTCAACTCGACCAACATGAGCGCGCGCTAGGCCGCTCGGTGAGGCGACTCCACAAGGCCACGAATCTCGTGGAGAAAGCGCCGAGCAAGGACATGCTGCTCATGAACCAGGTGCCCGAGAGGTGGTCGTGGCGGGTCAACTCGTATGCCCAAGGTGCACCAATTGTGGTCGAATTTCTTCAACGACAAAAAGACAAGCATGTCGACCAGTTCGACCACGCCCGTCACATACGGCGCTGTAATACACTCAGCCGTCTTGAGCGGTGACGAATCATCGAACATGTTGCAGGTACTGCTACTGCTGCCTCTGGTATTGTCTATGGGGCGATGGGGAGGTGCCGTGGCTACTCTAATCGCGCGTTCTCAACGTACGCGGATAACCAGCCGGTGTGTTGATCCAAGTGTTGGCTGGGTATCACTCTCGGCAATCAAGAAAGGTGCTCGGCGACGGTGACAAACTGCGCCTATAAATCGCTCCATCAGCTACTACAACAATAAGTGTTTTTTGACCAGGACAACAGCATGAAGCAAGGTGCAGATGCTGGCGCCCTGAGATGTATAGTTTAGTCGCTGTGACCCGCGCGAATAGAAGCGCTTCGTCATTTTGCTTTGGGACGACTGCAAACCCCAAACAAGCCACAACCTCTAATGGAGCCTGAACTGGAGGCCTGGCGCGCACAACCTTTTGCACTCAAAATGTACGGACTCGACTGTGATTTTTAATGACTATCGGCACACGTGGCCGTCAACCACGCCAGAAAACCTACTGGGCGACGCATCCTGTCGATGGATCTCTTGTTGCGTTGGCTGTTAGAGCTGTGAGGCATGGCGAATAGCAATATAACGGAGCTGCACACGCTAACAAGTCGGTAAGATTGTAAAAGTCAAGAGGATACAACTCGCTAGAAAAATACAGACAGCAAAAGCACATCCACTCGGGATACATTGATCTCGATCGGGAACTAAACTAAACCCTCTGACAATTTCTGCTTCTTTGCTGACAGGATCGTGGCATGTGTGGGTTTTGCAAACCGGGCTCGAACCTGGCCAAAACCAACAGAGGCGGTAATAGCACTCTGGGATCCTCGGTTTTCCCATCAAATTAGATCCTCCTTCACTTTCTGCCTCTTTGCCGTCAGAATCGCGATTTCCTCTTCAAGATCTTGAAGAACTCTTGGATTGGTCTCACGACCTTGGAGCACGATTAAAGACCGGATCCGATCGCCGAGGAAAGTATAATATTTCGTTGCTGCGCTCTTCACTTCGTTTTGAAGTCTTCGCTTCATGTAATTCGATCGGTTCGATTCCTTGTTCTCCAGAAAGCGCATTGTGAGTTCCTCCGTTTCTTGCTTGCGCATTGCAAGGGCTACCCGCCATTCCTGATTTCCAAAGTCCCGGATCGCTTCAGCTACGTCATTTTTCTTCCTGCGGTTTGCGTCCGACCCCGTTTCACGCTGCGATGTCTCGGTGCTCTCGTAGAAAACGTCTTCGGGCAAGTCACGATTCACAGCACCGACGAGCTCACGCTTGATCTGCAGGTGCATATGAATGTAAAGTGCATCCAAACGCCCGTTGCAGTACTTGTAGAAGTCCTTGTCGTTTGTGCCAGTCCTGGTAAAGCGGATGTGAGCTTGGCGGTAAGCTCCGTGTGACGATCCCCAAATCTGACGGAGTTGCTTAATCGAGTGCTGGACGATGCTTGCAGGGTTGATACAGGTGGGGTCCAATGCAGGGTGGGCTGCAATCAAATTATCGAACTCCTCCTCGGGTGTGCAATCCAAAAATGCAGCAGGAACGTCCTCCCAAAACTGCTCCTCCGCAGATACGGCGGCGTCGAGATCAGCACGCGTACGCTGGTCGTAAAGGGCGACAAACCGAGGCGCAAAACGACAGGAAAACAGAATGTTAACCAATCGGAACGGGCACTACACTTGCTTCGACTCGGGCTCGCGGCGCTGTTGCATCTTGTTCTCGAAAATACGCCCGTAGATCTTGTCGTTCTTCATCCGTTGAGCGATCAGGGATAAAAGCACAGCTTTAAGTTTGTTCTTGTATCCTCGAATGCCGCTCGCAATACAAAAGTTACGCAGAGCAATGACTTTCGTTTTTGTAGGCGGCTCCCCTCTTATCGTTGAAATGACTGGGGCTTCTACCTGTTTCCCATCACGCTCCACCGTCTTCGTTAACCACTCGAAATCCTTGAAACGCAGCTCCGTGCCTTCAGCAGTCTTTCCTGGCTCTTGACCTTGTTCGTCTTCCTGATCCGAGCTTCCAATTGCGTCTAGAACTCGATATTGCAGGCGCACTTGCTCAGAGATGGCGCCCGACTCGACGGAGATTCCTTCGTGGTCCACTTCATGCGAAGAGGTATCCGGATGCGCATCGATCTCGTCCGTCGTACCAGGGCATTGAACCTCGCTAAGAGACAACGGAGTAGCAGTATCTTGGGCGAGGGCAAGTGAGCATGTTAACTGCGTGGAGCTGCTGAAACTCGCATCTTCGCTTGTTTCAGAACTGGCCTCCCGTACGTTGTCATTTCGTACAGACTGGGTCGGAGATGAAGATGCCGTAGACAATCTTGGCCCGCTGCTAATAGAGGAGACGGAGAATGCAGGGGCAGGGCCGTCCCCTCCCCCAGCTACTACAGCGGGGGTGGCAAGTGGCATGTAGGCCAAACTAGCAGGGGAGCAGGGAAACCAATGCAAACTGGGGGGATGACGGAGACTCGAGGAATGGAGGTACTCGCATCTGCAACGAGGGAATTCAACTGCAAAATTTCGACTTTCCCCTCCGTACAACCGTGAACTCTTTCAACTTTGACAAAGTTCATATGCTACCTCCCGTGCAACCTCGTGATACCTTGCGCCTTTCTACGTCAGGGACGATTACGCTCGAAAGTTGTACGAGGTTGCACGGATACAACCAAAATCTACCAATCTACCTCTGTTAAGAACGGCCCTAAGTGACTAATATTTCAGATATAGTACCGAAACCTCCACGCACGATGAGCACAAGCCAAAATAAGGGTGGCTCAACTCTCGCGCTGGAGAAGTTCATGGGAAGGACGGAAGGGGGGTATCCGATGTGGAGGGATAAGTTCATAACCTACATAGGTACGGTTGACTCGGCGTATGAGCAAACTCTGCTCGATAAGGATGTGGGACCAGCCATGGTGAAGATGGTGGACTTCCTAGAGGCTCACCCAGAGAAGCCGGTGGTTTCCATCACTGAGGAAACAACTAAGGAAGAGGCGAAGGAGATGCGTTACGGTTTCGAGCATTGGGACAGGGCTCATGGCGGGTGTTGAACTTGTTCAATCCATCCCAAACCAACACGTTCCTCCAAGGACTACCTGACACGGTGTCTAGTATGAGGTCTTGCGATATCTAGAAGGAGCTCGAGGTCAAGTATCGGGGTGGGGATGCTGGTGGAGTACTCGTGCTGCGACGACAATGGGACCGATCCCTTGCCTCCAACTGGGACAATCTCGGAGACTTCTTCACTAAGCTGAAGAAGGCGCGTAACGAGATCAACCGGAAGATGAGCACGCTGGTGGGCAAGGAGATGGTGACCGAGCACTGGCTGTGCATGGAGGTGCTGGCTCAACTCCCAAGTATGTTTTGGGGAAGCAGCATCACCATGACGGAGGAGGAGTTTACGGTGGAGAACGTTGAAGTTAGCCTTCGGGGTATCTTTGGAGATGAGTCGAAGAAGGAGATCATGGATCTCACGAACAAGCGGTGCTCAGTGGTGCTCAACGTGGCAAAGAAGTTCACCAGGAAGAAAAGGACGCATGATCAAGCAGAGGCTCGAAGCTCGGGCTGCTACTACTGCTTCGAAGATGGCCACCGCAAGAAGGAGTGCCCCGTCGTGGCCAAAGATCGCGATCCAGAGCGAGCGGGTGGTCCACTGTTCCGCTCGAAAATCCGGACGGCGCCGAGCACGAAGAAGAAGCGAGTGATGGCGGTCAAGAAAGGAAAGGCTGCGAAGAAGCCGGAGGCAGCTGGGGACGAGGAAATGACTCAAACTGAGTCCAATGAGTACGAAGACAAGCTGAAGAAGGCAATTGAGGAGACGGACCAGTGTGCGTTCAAGGAGCCGCTTCCCGTGAGTGATGGCGATGAGGAGGAGAAGCCATTCACCCAAATGGACATCGACAATGAGGTACGAGAGCGCTTTGGGGGGTATTTTCCATGCTAAAGCAATAGGAGGTAACTGACGACCTGTGGGTAGTTGACACAGGGGTAGGAGCCGCTATAAGTTCTGACAGGCGGTGGTCCAGCCACCTAGGAAAAGGTAAACCTCAAACGTTCGAGTAAGGGAACCGGAGTACCTCAAAGAGTGCACTTCAATGAACAGTGAGATTCAACATACTCAAGCCTCAGGGTACCTACGGTTGTGTCTCAATAAAGAATGTTGCCTTTGATAAAGAGTGTGGTAGTAACTTGCTGAGTGCATACTACCTTGCTACACAAGGATACCGGCATATTCAGGCGAAGACGGGCGAATACCTGTACTTCCTGGATAGTAATAATCGATTCGTGTTTGCTGCTGTAGCAATCGATGAGGTGTACTATCTCCCAAGTTGGCGACTTCGTGATACTATGAAAGTACTAGCGGTCAAAAATAGTAATCCGGTGTTAATGCAATGAAAAAATGGTACTTGCGTTTGGGACATGTGGGAAAGACCGACTGACAGATATTATGTCCGGTGAGATAATCGATGGGGCACTGCGCCTGGCAAGGAAGGATATGACAAAAGTTAACTTTATTTGTCGTACATGCGCTTTAGCAAAATCAAGGAGAATGTCTTACCAGAATATGATAGGCACAAAGGCAACCCTGCCTCTCCACAAACTTCATCTCGACTCACTGGAAAAAATGAAACATGAGGGGTTATATGGTACGGCAGGGTTTCAGTACGCATTATCAGTGGTGGACGATGCTACCGCTTATAAGTGGTAGTTTGTGCTGAAATCACTCGAGGAGGTGGGAAGCAAGTTAGCTAATCCTATTACACAACTTGAAAGGCTATTTCCATACAAAGTCAAAAAGATCCGAACTGATGGAGGTACCGAGTTTGTAAATTTTGTGGTCAACAGGTACTGCGCTAAGCGAGGTCTCTTATTCCAAAGATCGAATGTAGACTCACAAGAAGAGAATGGGTCAGCTGAACGGGCACAGCAAACAATTGTGGACCATGTCCGGTGTGCTCTGGCTGGATCTGATATGGCTGCGAAGTGGTGGCCAGAAGCTTTAATGTATATGGCTGCGGTGGCTAACAGAGTGCCTGCTGCACGACTGAAGGGAAATACACCATATGAGGCCTTATACGGGACAGAACCAAATGGGTTAGCACTAACGATAGGGGGAAGTAAGTGCTGTGCGCACATACCAAAGTCCAAACGGGCAAACAAGAAGTTCAGTGATCGCGCTCTGAGTGCAAACTTTTGGGGCTTTCCGAAAATTACAAAGAGTATCGATTAGCCCGGGACGTGAAGTTTGACGTAACTTCCACGGCCAGCTTAATTGTCCGGTCTTTTCCATCGGCCAAGATTGAAGTAAGTGAGGACACAATCAAGGAGATATGTGGGTTAGGTAAGCGAGCGCGAGACTCTACTACTAATGCGCCGGCTAAACAGAGACGGACTGAGGAGCCCTCAACAGCAACTCCAATGAGTACAGGAGTATTGTACTGGCCAATATAGTTGAAGCCGGAGATTATAACACGCGGACGCTCGCACCGATAGCTTATCTATTTTTAGGCCCAGGGACCTCAAAAGACCCTCAAAAGAAGAGCAATTATCTCAACTACGCACAACAAGAGTGTAGCGCAAGGCACCAGGGCCTAACGAATGGATGTTGGCCTGAAAGTAAATGACGATGAGGGAGTTGCCGTAATCACTATGAATGAATCTTCGAACCTAACAATGAAAGGAAAGCCTGAGACGATGCGGTAAGCGCGCGAAGTGGTAGTTAAGTGTATTGGGCCCGATGTGAGCAGGGCGTTTCGCGTCAGGAGCGCGTACCAAGTCCAGCAAACTTCCTCGAAGTCGTCGCCGAGGCATCCTTCGGATACTTAACGGTACATATCAATTACCTGTTTAAACTTGTATTTTCTCCCGGAATAGCGACTACCGCAACACAGCAAGATAAAAGATGCTATCCATGCTTGTCAAATCAAATACAAATCCGATGCAAACACGACGGTATGTTACAAAAGGGAAGTTGGCAATCTCAGGGCGAATGTGAACAAGTCGAATCTGACACCAGAATCGGAATCTACGGCGAAAATTACCCCTTATATCTAACTATCGTATATGGAAAGTTACCATCTTCTGGGAGAAAAATGACTCCGAACTCCGGCTTCAACTATTATGACCAGTACAATAGTGGGAGCCCAGGGTGATAGTGAGGTAATACCCCACCCCATTCCAAGGCCTCGCCGCAAACGAAGACCAAATACTCGATTAAGAAACTATGTTGTGGCCATCAACAAAGTCACAAGAAACATAAAGGTGATACCTATTCCAAGGTCAATCAAAGAGGCTAAACGAGGGCCACATGCTGAACAGTGGGAGGCCGCCCTCCTAGTTGAGTACCGAGCACTAGTCGAGAATGGTACATGGGAACTTGTAAAATTACCCAAAGGGCGGAAATTGTTAGGATGTCACTAGGTATTTGACATAAAATACAACGCTGATGGGGCTGTCGACAGGTTTAAGGCCCGACTGGTAGTAAGAGGAAATACACAAATTCACGGTATAGACTACAATGAGATTTTTCCGCGGTCGCGAGGTATGAGTCGTTGCGCTTGCTACTCGCTATAACAACTATTAACGATTTACATGTTCACCAAATGGATGTGGCCACAGCGTTCCTCAACGGAACGTTGTTTGAGGATATTTATATGCAACAATCTCACGGGTTTCGGCATGGGGATGGCTCGACCGTGTGTAAGCTAAAGAAGAGTCTATACGGACTCAAACAGGCTCCGCGAATTTGGTATGCGCTCATCAACAAGTTCTTGGCGCAACTAGGGTTTTCCCGGTGCAAAAAGGAGTTCTGTTTGTACCGGCAAAAGTGGGAGGTAAATGGAGAGTCGCACATAGTACTAATCGGTGTGTACGTGGACGGCATTACTATTGCCGCGAGTATTATGATACTCATGGAAAAAGTTAAGGCAAAACTTGCGTCACAGTTTACTATGTAGGACTTAGGCGAGGTTCACTGCATCCTCAAAATGGAAGTTAAGCGAGACAGGGCTAACCAGATCCTTAGTATGTCCCAACATAAGTATATCATGAACTTACTACAAAAGTTTGATATGACTAAGTGTGTCCCAGAGCCAACACCTCAGGCCAAAAGTGTAGTACTAGAAAAGGAAGAATATGAGTCCTGAGCAAATAGCAGCTCCGCCATTCGATTACAGAGGTTTAGTGGGGTCTTTGATGTATCTTGTTCGTGGAACATACCTGATATAGCAAATGCTGTCATAGAGCTAAGTAAGTTCCTCTCATGCTATAATAAGAGCCATTACAGGGCAGCCCAGAGAGTACTAAAATATCTGAAAGGAACGTCGAAGTATGGGCTTGTATTCGATGGAAAGTTTAAGGAAGTAATATACGAGATATACACAGACCCGAGCTGCGCGAATGCAAATGAGAACCGAAAGTCAGCTACTGGGTATGTCAGTATTATGGCAGATGTGTGTATTACTTGAAACAGTTCGAGGCAAGATACTGTAAGTCTCCACATAGCACAGAGGGAGTCAAAGAGAGCGAATGGTTGTGGTTTCTATTGGAGGGGCTGGGCTTTAAGCAGAAGCAACCGATAGTATGCTGGTGTGATAATAAAGGAGCCATTACTATAATAAAGGATCCAGCTAATTATGCTCCAACAAAGCACACTGATATTAAAGGGCTTTATGCAAGAGAGGTACATGACAAAAGACGAATAGTAGTTTCGTACTGTAGTAATAATGATATGGTTGCGGATGCCCTCACAAAGGCACTGCCACCGAAAAGTTGAGGAGATTGATGGGGGTCAAAGACCTAAGTCTTCCCTTACCACAGTAACAAAGCATGGTTGCATGAAGCCACGGATACTTTATCGTTTGGTTATGAGAAACCATCCGGTTTATGAGCGTGTGTGCTTTCGCTAGTACGCATTGAAGGTACTTCATGAGGTCAAGATCCACCATGCGGCTTCAGGTTGAAGTGAAAAGGTATTTTTGGGCCAAGGTTAAGGGTAAAGACTTATGCGGTTAAGACAAGACAATAAGACGCAACGTTATCATACTATTAGGGCTTCCAATATGCTTAGGCTCAATGGTTAAAGACTACGACACATCACGGTAACATGATGCAAACGCAGCACGAGCCAACTTTGACCGCATCTGAAAAGGGAAGGACTAGGTCGTCAATCATGCTAAATGAGAACTTTGCTCTAGCGCTCCCCAAACAATGGAGTGGTGGTACCGCAGACCGAAGTCTGGGCGTTGTAACTGCGTCTGTCCTAGCCTCCGGAGGTTTAAGTGCGGCCATAGGCGCAACGTCGGACCGATGAAGCTTAAAGCAAAATTGAAAGTGCAGAAGAAAATGGCCTGCAAAAGGTGGAGGTGCAGCTAATGACAGCCTTGATAAGAATTAATTTAGAGGCAGAAGTTATAAGACATGCCAGAAGTCATATGAAACGATGCTTACTGGACGGCAATTTTTGGTTTAGAGTATGTTCTCGGCTGTAATAATAATCAAATGTTATGCTAAATTTTGTCATGTAGTGAAAGGTCGTTAAAGGTAAAAATATGTTTTCTGGCTTTACCTAAAATTATGAGAGGAATGAATGCAGTTACCAGCCGTCCTAAGAAAAATTGAGAGCTGCAACCAGTGAGGCAGTCAACTCGGCGTGCAAGCACACGTTAAACAAATCAAGTGGAGAAAGTACAGACAACGACTTACAAAGCCGGCACGCTGAATAGTATCCTCCTATATTAAGTTTCCGCTGACATTAAAACCCGGCAGAGTTTTGGTTGGACGAAAAAAAAATCAACTGTACAAAACCCAGAAAATATCCATGTGTTTTGAAAAAAGAAGATGCTATTATCAGATCAACATCTCAGGATACTTAGGAATTGCTTTTTCAAAGCTACGAATTACGGTGGTTTCCGCTAATTCTTCCCAGGCCGCAATTGTAGACTTAATTGCACGGAGGCGCTTCTCCTTTGCAGTGCCTCCTGCAACACCCCAACGTCGAGCGGTTGACAAACCGCCGTCGTATTAGGCGGGAAAGGCACCACTGCAGCGTTCGTTTCTTCGTTAACGACCTGCTGTCCCTCCTCCGAAACATGTGAGTCAAAATTATCAAGGAGGAGGACAGCGGGTCCATCGATTTCATGTTTTAACACATTACTCACATAAAATCTCCATCCTTCCGCGTCCATCCAGGCATGCTCCTGGACAGTGTAGTAGTGACCGGGTGGATAGTGTGGCAGCTCGTCGCTGTCGATGTCGCCGCCGAGCTTACCCCGGATGATGAAGGGAATTGGCAGCTTATGCCCTAAAATATATAATACAAAATGTGTTAGCATTAAAATACCCAGTTTCAGAATTGTTAAAGCAAGAAAAAACGTACCATCACCGCGAACAGTAAGAACTGCTATCATTCGGCCAGTGTGCTTCGTCATCTTGGTAATTCGGGCAGGGTCCTTGCGGCCTTTGACAGCCCAAAAACGTGTCGGCGGCATATCAAAATTGATAGCCGTTTCATCCTGTCGTAGGGCACCACGTCGAGTACTTGTTCCAAAGTTCAATGGAGAACTCAGCGCGTTTCTCGAGCAGCTCCACTGTCGGAAGCTTGGCTTCTTGGGGCTTTTGAGACGTGAAGTCATAACTAAATAAAAAAAAACATCAATTGAAAGAATGATTAATCGATTAAAATTTAACTTCACACCATGAGAAACAATTTACCGTTTGCAAATGCGTTGACACATTTTTTCTAGCGACTGCTCAGGGCTTTTGTGGCTGTCCATGTAGCTTGCACACCACTCAGGCTCTAGTAGCCACATGTAGTCGATCATTGCATGCGTCGATAGGGCCTACAAAAATAAAAGCACGCACAATAGTCAGTATTAAGTCGCAAAAGCACGTACTAGAATGGTAAACCGACCTTTTCGTCTGTGCGCGTGCCCTTCATAAATGTAACAAGGGCTGGGACGCTAGGAAATATTTCCTTGCGTCCCTGCCCCTTCAGAGTTGGCGAACGCGAGTTTCCGCGGAAAGCGAAAAGCCTGTCGGCTTGCTTCCACCATCCGAACACAGTTCCGCGGGGTCGCCCGAGCTGGTACGCAGCCTCGTCGACGCCGACTTGAATTGCGAGCTGCGCACCTTCACGCTTCTCCTTGATACTACAGCGCTGTTGTTTCGGCGCCATTTCGACAATGAACCTAGGCTTTAGTGGGCGAGGTGGCGCGTTTTACAGTGGCCAACCGATTTTATCTAAGCTATGATTTGCTAAAATAAAAGCATAGTTCTGCGTTTTGATTTGCTTTAACACAAAATAATTATGTGAACATATGTCTGTCTTTTTTCTACTAATGCCGGCTTTTTGAGTCTGCCGGCTTTGTAAGTCGTTGTCTGTAATCAGAGGGTAAACAAGGGACGTGTTAACAGCCGTCATAAGACTGGATAGGAACACCGTGTGTGCTAAGAACGGTCCTCAGGGCCCTTTTTAACAAGGGAGAATCGGTAGTAGCGTACTACAAAGCGAGTAGGGGTGTTGTAGACGGAAAAGGTGTATATTCCTCTAAAGTGCTGGGAACGAAGGAGAACGGGGGCGTATTTGGTTCCATCAGATTAGACGATCGCTGTGCTACTATTTAGCACATAGACATCGTTTATGGAGTGGTTTTTGTCCTAAGCCGCGAAAAAAAGGTGAGAGATCACCCGTAAAACAGGTAATTACACGAATAAATTAAAATAGCACGAAATCCATGAAAGTAAACTTGCACCTCAGTGGTCTCTGTGCAAAACTGATTACGCACTCCAAATCCGCAAAAGGTGTACGCTACTACTTCCTCCGGGTTTAAAAGGGTGCAGAATTTATAGAGAAAGTTTAAATTTTACAAGAAATAGGCCATCTTCATACGCCGGCACAGCTTCGCCATTTTGGAGTCGATTTCAGCCAAACTGTCAATCTTCAAGCGTATGAATCGCCCCCGCCCTCAAATAAAAGCCTTAGGTCTAGCAAGTGCTGCTGTACAGTAATATCTTCTATACCAGGTGAGTATTGCTTCAAAAGCCACAGCGGCTTGTGCCAGCACCAGGATCCCCACCTGGGATTTGCGGAGGCTAAAATCCACGATTAAGTACGAAAATGAAGCTTAGCGTTTACTCTTTTTCATCATAACTCAGTTGTTTTTACGCTTTTTAAGTGATCAAAGACGAGAGCTAATCCCAAACCGTTCCGCATCGAATGCAAAAATTCGCGGTCCAATCGCATATCTAGAAAAAAGTTACGGCGGCGAGAAAATTTATCCTTCACTGTTTTCCGACCGGAGGAAATACTAAATACTATCGATTCTCCCTTGTTAAGAACGGCCCTCATTAGATATGATATGAGATAGAATGTACTTCAACTTTTAGTGGAGTGTTAAGATGGATTTTACTGGGTGAAATATCTCTTTATATTATCCAATAGGAAAAGTACCGCACATTTACTAATGTGGTGCGCACTATATATTTGCCGAGGGATGTAAAGAGGGGAGGAGGACGCGTGGCATGGCCACTGAAGTCCCCCTCACTTCGAAACTGACGACCTATCTACTACGTGCCTAATAGCTAGTTCCCCAAAGCGTATTACTATTGTGTATTTCGGTCATTTTGCCGAGTCCTACGTTGAACTTTGGAGGTCAGTTAATCTGAGGTTGGGGGTCTCTAAATCTGAGATGCAAATCTCGGACAGTCCGATGAGCGGTCTCCCGGGGGCTCTCCGTTCAATGGACTCCGGTTGGAGTAAGCAAGCTTTGTTTGGAGAAGCAATCAGTGCTGGGGTCCGCGAAGGCAAAGGGCGAAGACTTCGTTGTTTAATGTATCGACCGCATCGCGCTTACCTAGGTTTATTCTGCGTCTGGCATACGCCGTATTAGAGTCAGCTCGTACGGAAGTCCTGACAGAGGACTTGGCAGGAGTCCTTCGTAAGACCTGAAACCCCGAATGCCGTGAAAATGGGCGACATTCGGGCTTTCGGCTGTTTGTAGGACCTACGCAAGTGCTTCCATCGTACTAGCAATTCCTGGTCCTAATTCCCAACGAGGGACCTGCTAATCTGCTCCAATAACTTAGCCCCATCTCAGTAGGTAGCTGTTTTACACGTCCGATTTGCCAAAACAACTGAAAAGCACAATGCTACTGTACGATAGCCCTACCGCAAAGTTAAGCTTTTTTATTTCCTACATGTTGCAAACAATTCTCACTGGGGTTGCTTCGCAGGCGCAGGGGGTGCCCGTAGTTAGTGGAGGGGAAATTGAAAGGGAGTTTACACGAAAACTCTCATACTGTATCCCAGCCTTCACAGGATCAGTGCACTTTTCTTTTGATCTTCCTTGCTCTTTGTGAACTGGAAAAGTTGCAGTTGAAAAAGAGCAATATCTGAAAATGCTTTTCATAACCGAAATATTCGTTTGCAAAACGAAATGACCGACCAACGGAAGCGACGGCGCTCTCGGTCTCGCTCGCGCTCCGCGAGCAAGCGCCCGGCCGTCGGGCTGGACGAGGAGCAGCGTAAAGAGGCCGAGCGTGTGGCCGCCATCGCCCGTCGCGCGGAGGAGCGCGCGGCCGAGCGTAAGGCGAAGGAGAAGCAGGAGGCCGACGCCAAGACCCCCGAGACCAAAAATGCGGCGGCTGCAGGCGACCGCAAGCTGCCGCTGAAGATCGGAGAGGCCCCCGCAGCTACCGAGGAGGCCCCAGCCATGCCCAAGTTCCGATCCAAGGCGCAGCGCCAGAAGGACGCGCTCGAGAGGCTGGAGAAGAAGCGGCAGGAGGTGGAAATGCACAGAATATTGTGCTAATATCGTTTATTTTTTACTTATAATTTATTATTTTTGTAGATGGACAAGCAGCGGAAGGAGGCGGAGGACGCGCGACGTCAATTCCTGCAGCGTCAGCGCAGTGAACGGGACCGGGAGCGAGGCCGAGGATCGAGATCTAACGGAGACCGTCGTCGTGATGACAGAGCTGTGGCTGATTCCAGAGACAGAGGAGACGCTCGACGTGGAGCAGCGGACTCTTCTTCGTCGAAGGTTGAGGGGAAACCGGCGCTGTTGGATCCGAGCGAAGCCAAGGCTCTGCAGGCTCTGAAGGACCAGTACTTGGGCAAGACGGTGAAGAAGAAGAAAGTGGTGAAGGCGAGTGAGAAGTTCTCGAAGATCTTCCAGTTCGACTGGGAGGCCTCGGAGGACACGAGCACGGATCTGAACCCGCTGTACGCGAAACGCATGGACGTAAACTTGCTGTATGGACGCGGATACCGAGCTGGTGTAGATATGCGAGAGCAGCGCAAGAAGAACTCGTTCTTGGAGGAGCTCAGCCGCAAGCGGCAGAAGGAGCAGCAACTTGCGGATGAGACGGACGGCAGTTTGACGAGTGAACAGATTGCAGCTAGAAAGCAGGAGCGTGAGCGCGCGCTGCGCAACATGCAGGCTCGCGAACGGGACCGCATGCAAGAGATGGCTTCGCGCGAGGCCAAGACGATGGGAACGCACTGGTCCGAGAAGTTGCTGGATGAGATGAAAGAGCGTGACTGGCGTATCTTCCGCGAGGACTTTGATATTACGCTTAAGGGTGGTCGTGCACCGAATCCGCTGCGCAAGTGGGATGAAGCTGGCAATCTGCTGCCGGATGCTGTATTCAAGGCCATCAAGGATCTGGGTTTTGAGCGTCCGTCACCAATTCAGATGCAGGCGATCCCCATTGGTCTGCAGAAGCGTGACATCATTGGTATTGCCGAGACTGGTTCGGGTAAGACTGCAGCCTTCGTGATCCCTATTATCGCGTACATCTACTCGCTGCCACCTGCGATGGTTGCGCGTACTGGTGAGCAAGGCCCCCTCGCTTTGGTCATGGCACCGACGCGTGAATTGGCGCTGCAGATTGAACAGGAAGCCATCAAGCTTTGTAAGTACACGAGTGTGGGACAGCCTGAGAAGCTGGGGCCCATCAAGACGCTGTCTGTCGTTGGTGGTCAGAGCATCGAGGACCAGGGATTCCGTTTGCGCGAGGGTGTGGATATCATCATCGGTACGCCTGGCCGACTGATGGATTGTCTGGAAAGCCACTACCTGGTGTTAAACCAGTGCAACTACGTGGTGTTGGATGAAGCCGATCGCATGATTGATATGGGTTTCGAGCCGCAGGTGGTGGCTGTGTTGGAGAACATGGGATCGTTGCTGAAGTCAGAGAACGAAGAGGAGATGGAGCAACAGCTCACGTTGGCTAATGGAGCTCAACCAGGGGAAGAGCTGCAGCATCGACTCCGCGTCACTACAATGTTCAGTGCTACGATGCCCGTGGAGGTGGAGCGGCTGGCCAAGACGTTCCTGCGGCACCCGTCCATCGTGAAGATTGGTGACGAAGACTCGGGCAAGAACAAGCGTATCGATCAGCGCGTGTTGTTCATGAACCCGGGCAAGAAGCGCTCCAAGCTGGTGGAGGTGCTCCGGGACATTCTCAGTGCGCAGTCGGTTCCGTTGCCGCGGTCCCGTAAGGAGAAGGTTGTGGATGGCGCCAAGATCATCGTGTTCGTCAACATCAAGAAGGAGTGTGACTCTGTGGCCAAGTTCATTTCGAGCGAAGGTTTCCGCTGCACAATCCTGCACGGTGGCAAGACGCAGGACCAGCGTGAAGAGAGCCTCAAGATGTTCCGCGAAGGCTACTGCGATATGCTGGTGGCGACGGACGTGGCTGGTCGTGGTCTGGATATCCCGGACGTGACCCACGTCGTAAACTTCGACCTGCCGTCCAAGATCCAGAACTACACGCATCGTATCGGTCGTACCGGCCGTGCCGGCAAGGACGGTGTGGCTATCTCGTTCCTCACGGACGACGACGAAGAGATCATGTACGACCTCAAGCAGTACCTCGTGTCGACTGAGATGCCCGTGCCGAGTGAGCTCGCAAACCATCCGTCTGCGAAGGCGGCTCCGGGCGCTCGTGACGAGAAGGGCAACATCATCGCGCGCAGCAAGCGCGACACTGTCATCTACGCCAAGTAGGAGCAGTCGGCAGCAAACACGAAGCCAAGGCATTGTTGGATCTTGTTGACGGTTGTTGGTTTTATTGTTGTTAGCCTCTGTCTTAAAGTCTTCCACGAGTGCGCACCCTCTTTATATATACTAGTCGTGGCGGGTGGGTGAGCCCGTGGGCTTAGCTGATCTCTATGGACACGCCGAGGTGGTGCGAGTCGCTGTCGTAGTGCCGCAAGTCCATCTGCGCCGACGCGCGCGTCTTCAAGTGCTTGGACGTGCGCCACTCGAACGCGCCGATCAAGATGCCGTCCGAGCCGATGGAGCTCGACACGGCCTCGGCCTCGCTCAGCGCGTACTTGCCCAGCAGTCGCAGCGACCGCTTGTCCTTCCTCCTGTCGAACACGAACCTCGAGCTCACCATCAGCTCCGGCGACACCGTCTGCGTCAAGTCCAGCCGAACCATCCGCCCTCCGTCATTCCTACAGCAAACGTAACATAACAGTAAGCACCATGTCCCCATAACGCAGTAGGCCATTCCACTCTGCCACGTACACTTGCAGCAGAGCCAGCAGGTCTTCATGGCAGTAGCTGGTAGCCACATTGAGCGTGGTGAACCTCCCGAGTCTGTCGCTGTGGTCGAGTCCGACGTCGTAGGCCCCGATCACCCCCAGCGCGACGTCGCCCAGCCTGCCTCCGAGCGTGGCCTGCAGCGTGGGCCCATTAACGGCGTCGATCTTGGCGCCCGCGAAGAAGCTCTGGGCCTTGTAGTCGGCGCCGATGCGCGCGAACGAGGCTGGCGCCTTCTCCGTGGCCGACTCCTGCGCCTCGAGCGTGAAGCGCAGCCCCTGGCTGGCCTGCAGATGCGCCTGCAGCGCCAGGTGCCGCGACGAGCTCACGCGCAGGCTGGACGTGATGACGGAGTTGAGCTGGCTCTCGCACACGAGCGCCGACTCGACGCTGCGCTTGACGGCGGCCTTGAAGAAGGACGCGAGCACGCACGTCTGCAGGCCGATGGCCATGCCGCTGGGCGTGACGGTGTTGATCTCCAGCGCATGGCGCGAGTGCGTGGCCGGCTCCAAGGGCTCCTTCAGGCGCGTGTGCTCGGCCAGGAAGTCGTCGTACAGGCTGCTGCTGAGCCCCGCGGTGGCGCGGCGGGCCGACATGGGTGGGGTCTTGTATGCGGTCGAGGGAGGTCCGCGCTGAAATGCTCCCAGGCTAGCACCACCGGATTTAAGAGAGGGATGGGCAGTACAGAGTGTACAGAGTGGGACACCGACAGGCGTGTCAATAGTGTAGCCATCGCGTCAAAACTGCAACTGCAACTACAGTGCTCCGTTTGGCCGGAAAACATGACATCTACGTTTTGGGCTACATACCTACAGTACGTGACTGGGCGAGGTGGGATACTAGATCAGGCGGTTGTTGTTGTTGTCTTCTTCTTCTTCGTCTTGGTCCTTCTCGAGCTCGTCGATCACTTCCCACGGCTCGCGGATGCGTGGAGTGCTGTGAACTGCTTCGTCGCCGCTCGACGGGTCTTGCTCCGGTTGAGCATCTTCGTCTTCGCCTTCGTCTTCGTCCTGATTGCTCGCAGGCACGGCGGCCTTCTCGGTGGTATCTTGGTTGTCAGAGGGCCGGTCGGTAACGGAGCCTGCTTCAGACGGCTCCTCGTTGTTGCTGTCCTGGTTACCTTCAGACTGTTCTGCCTCCTCTCGTCGCCCTGACTCGTTGGTCTCTGGGCCCTTTTCTTCTTCCTCCGACTCGTCTTGAAGGTCGATCACCTCCTTTGTGGTTATCGCACTGGTCCGTCGATAGCGCTGCACCAGCTGAGCCTGCTGCCTGTTTCTTGCTGCGACTGCCGCGGCCATGCGGTCATTGGACGACACGTACACGGTGCCTGCCACTCCTGGGGGAACACTGCGTGGTGCCAACGTCCTTGTAGGATCCGGCTCGACCCAGTTGGGCTTGTGCGCTGCTGCACGTGCAAGGCCACCGTTTTGGCTGTTGATCCGGGCAGCAATGCCCGCGTTCAAGTCGAATGGACGCACACGCATAGTGGTCTCCACGAGCTTGTAAAATCGCAGCGCTCGGTCGAACTCCTCCGGTTCCATCTCCATCATCCGATAGCCAATGCGCTTCCCCACTTCTTGAGCAGTCACGAACTTCTGCCAGGCTCCTGGTGGCGGCACTGTCGCGTTGCCACGCTCAGTATCTGGCCCCGTCAGTGCATCGCCTGCGGATTCACTAATTTGTGACGAGTTGAAGAAGCCCCTCGCCTTCGCTAGCACCCAGCGAGGCTCAAGATTCTCCAGCGGGATGACGGTGCTGCAGCGCACGATACGGCGGATGTAAAAGACGTGGCGACACGGCAAATGGTGGTTCACCATAAACGCGCACGAGCACTGCCAGCCACGATCAACCTCCACGCAAAACTCTTTGGACGGCTCGTCGCAGAAAATATCGTTTGGAGACACCGTGCTGATGAAGAAGCTCCCACGACTTGGCTCGCAGAACTGGTACGCTCCTCGCGTTACGGCGTAGCGGTACTGCGGGAAGATCAAGCTGCTCGCTGCTGGGCCTACCGTGGCTGCCAACAGCCGCATCTCAGCATCGTAGTCCTCGCCGCTATTGCTGCCTGCAACACGGGAGTTAACGCCTGAATTGTTCACTTGGAAGTTGAGCTCACGAACGAACGCGCGCTCCACCACAGTCTGATAGTACCGGATCCCAGCCACTGTCTCGTCGAGCGCCATTTCATCGTTGACAGCGGCAAAAATTGCATTCCACGTCGGGGCAAACGGACCGTCATTTTCAGACATGCTGAAAGTGGTCACGCCTTCACGAGCAAACGTACTCCAGCGGTCACGACACACGTCCCACTTCTCGAGAAAGTAGCGGAAGAAGGAGTGTTGCTTCGACCCCAGAACATCCACCATGACAGCGATATTAGCCGCATACACGAGCGACGTGGGGGCGTAGACGAGCAACTGGGCGATTCCTGTGAGGCGGTCTCGGTGCCACGAAGACAAGTCCCCGTGTTCGGCTATTACCTTGTGGAGTGCGCGCAGCACGTGGAATTGGGAGTACAGCACGCGGGCAGCAGGAAAGCTCGCGCGCAGCTCCTTGAGCTGGTTAGAGTCCCCACTTGGCACGATCAACGCGCGAACACGGGTGTGCCGAGGGTTGTGCGCCTTGAATTGATCAAGTGCAACTCGGAGCGTCTCGGATCGGTCATTTTCCACGATAGCGTGCTGCACATACTGCCACTGGCCAAGCACATCGTGCGCCATAAGCGAGAAAACTCGGTAGCTTGACTCAGAGGATCCCGTAGTCGGTGGCATGGCATCGACACGCAGCACTTCAGGAAAAGCTTCAAATACCTGGCGCATGTGCTTCGTCTGGAGCGTAACACTTGACAAAACCTTCTACACTCCCACAGCCATAGCACAAATCAAAAGCACAGCATGTCAGTCAGTACCTAGCTAGACGTCCCCAAAGAACTAGTACACATGAGACGAACCTCGTTATCCACGAAAATCTTGGCCGCGTTGCCTTCCTGCGCGGCGAACTCGTTCACGTAAGCTGCGAGGCGTTCCTCGACTGACTGACCCGCTCCAGGCTGATTGGAGCGCGAGATCTCCACGCGCTCCAGGAACATCCGCACGTCCGCCATTGTAGGTACGCGCTGCTGCGCTTCCTTCGTCGTCTGTCGCTCAGTGTGGCTAGAAGTGCCTTCCTGTCTCTCGTCAGGCTTGCGCTGGGTTTCAACACGCCGCCTCTTGGCGGCAAGACTCGGGTCCTCTTGCCCACTCGCCACAGCTGAAGAAGTGGCTGTCTGAGCAGCAGCTACAGACACCGGCCTGGCGTCGCCCCCCACCGGGTGGTTGTGCAGGAGGCTGACCTTCGTCGCACGAATGTAGTACTTGCCGTAGTCCCCGAGCTGCAGCGTCGCGTTAATCTAATGCATCAAGACGAGGAACACCACGTTAATAATGCTTTGCCTCCCTATCCGTCGGCACTGAAGCTCTTCGTGCCATACCCTGGCCTGGCACTCGGACGGCTGCTCGCCGTTCCAGCGGGCGTGAGTGCGCTCCGCGTTGCCCCGGAGCTTGTGCGAGCACTGCAGCATGCGCGTGTAGTCGAGGAACGACTCTGGCAGAAGGGGGCTGGGGATGGGGCGGCCTGACTTGGCCATGGCCGCCAGCACCTGGTTGCGCGTCTTGACGGACGTGGCGCTGCGTCTGCTGAAGGACTGGCGTGAACGCAAGAGTTAGTTGGCCCAAAGGACGAGAGGGAGGGGGGGGGGGGGGCGAACCTGGTGCGTGCGCTGCTGGTACTCCTTCATGTAGGCGAAGAAGTCGTCCCACGAGACGAACTCGCGGCGCTCCATGGCGGGCGCCTCCCAGAGCTGCCCCGCCATCTGCGCCATCGCTGCTTTGAACGCGCCAAGTCCCTTTTGACAAGCAAAGGGGGCCATCATTAGCGGACACGGTGGTGGTGTACTAACTCTTGTTAGATTTAGTCAGTACATTTGTCTTGAACCTTATCGGGGTTAACGTTTGTGGCGATGCCTACAACATGTAGACATCGTATGTGTCTCTTTCTTTCTCTCTCTTAAGCTTAACAGCAATTTACTGAGCAATGAACATGGAGGACGGCGACGGGCAGTCGATGGAGTGGCCGGTGTACGTGAGCTTGCCGGTCTCGCCGTCCGCGCGGAACACGTCGAGGCTGCTGGTGTCCTGGTTGACCGCCAGCACGAAGTCCTTGTACACGAGGATGTCGCGGGGCGTCTCGCCGCGCGTGGGGGGGATCTCCACGAGCTCCAGGCGCGTGTCCGGCAGGATCTTGTAGATGGCGATGCTGTGGCAGAAGCGCGTGGCCGCGTACACGAACTTGCCGTTCGTCGAGATGTGGATGTCGGACGCCAGCGCGGTCGGGCCCGAGTAGTCCTTGGGTATAGTCGAGATGATCTGCAGCGACTCCGAGCCCAGCTTACCGGTCTTGGCGTCTAGCGCGTGCACGCTCACCGTGTTGTCCAGCTCATTGATGACGTAGCCGACGCCGAGCTCGGGGGACAGCGCGAAGTGGCGCGGGCCCGAGCCAGGCGCGCTCGTGATGAACTCCTCGTCCACGAGCTTCTTGTTGGCGGCGTCCAGCTTGTACTGCACCACGCGGTCCGTGCCGAGGTCGGCCGCCACGAGGCCCGTGGGCGTCCAGGCCGTGCTGTGGATGTGCGAGGCTTCCTGGCGGTCCGGGTTGACCAGACTCGCGCCTTGGAAGCGGTGGTGGTCCGACGCCGGGGCCAGCGAGCCGTCCGCGTTCACGGGGTAGAGCGAGAGGCTGCCGCCGCCGTAGTTGGCGACAGACACGAAGTCTCCGTTGGGGCTGAGCGCCACGTGGCACGTGTACGCGCCGCCGGTCTCGTGGCGGCTGATCTGCGTCAGCTCGCCGTCCTTGCCCATCTTGTAGGCGGTCACGAAGCCCGTCTCCTCGCCGGGGCGGAGCTGCGACGGCTCGTTGCTCTCGTTCACGGCGTAGAGCGTCGATCCCGAGCCGAAGACGTAGGACGGGTTGATGCCCGCGCCCTCCGTCACCTTGAGCAGCTTGAGCTCGCCCGAGGCGTCGTCGAACGAGTAGGCGTTGATGCCCTTGGCGTGGCCGTCCACGTGGCCCTCCTTGCGCGTGTACGTGCCTACGTAGAGGGTCGGCATTTTGGGCTGCTGGTGCTACTTGGTGCTTGGAGGGGGAAGGAAGATCCGGAAGTGAGCTCTCTGAGGCGAGCCCTCTGCTCTGCTCGACGCGCGCAATTGACGTCAATCCACGCACTTTTGATGATCTGGTTCAATGTTGCCGCCCTGTTTATGCTGGCAGGGGCCCGATAAAGTACGAGAGCTGACAGTACAAGTATGCCAGCGGGTGTGGCGCTCGTGACCGGAGGCAGCCGCGGCATCGGCTTCGCCGTGGCGCGGCAGCTCCATCGTCGCGGCTGGCAGGTGGCCATCACCTCGCGCGACTTGACGCGCGCGCAGGAGGCCGCGCAGCGGATCTCGCCCGACGTGCTGCCGCTGGCCTACAGCTGCCCGCGGCGTGGCGAAGGAGACGCCGGCGCTGAAGCCGCGCAGTTGGTGGCTCAAGTGGCCAAGGGGCTGGGCGCGGGGCCCTCCGCGCTCGTCAACGCCGCCGGCATCTCCAAGGACAGTCTGCTGCTGAGACTGAAGGACGCCGAGCTGGACGAGCTGCTGCTCACGAACCTCGTGGGGCCTGTGCACATGTGCAAGGCCGTGGCCAAGGGCATGCTGCAGAGGCGCCAGGGCAGCATCGTCAACATCGGCAGCGTGGTGGGCGCGGCTGGCAACGTGGGGCAGGTCGCCTACAGCGCCTCCAAGTCGGGGCTCGCGGGTGTCACCAAGTCGCTGGCCAAGGAGTTCGGCAACCGCAACATCCGCGTCAACCTCGTGGAGCCGGGCTTCATCTCCACGGACATGACGGACGCCATGGCTGACGCGGCGCGTGAACGCGTGCTGGGCAACATCCCGTTGGCTCGCTTCGGGAAGGCGGAGGAGGTCGCGCAGCTCGTAGCGTTCCTGGCGAGTGACGAGGCGTCCTACATCACAGGACAATGCATCCGCATCGACGGAGGACTGGTCATTTAAACTGGCAGGGGCTGGAAAGGTCTTCTCTTGTGAGGTGCTGGTGCTGATCTGTTGCCATCGATGGAGGCAGTAGATAGAGTACGGGGGTACTGGAGGTTAGTGGCTATGCTACGACTGAAGGGTGGAAGCGAAGTGTGTCGTTGCCCTGGACTCCGAGGCGGTATTCTTCTACAAGACAGACAATGTTAGGCAGAGGTTAGCGTGACCATCTTCCACTGTGCTTTTTCAGGCGCTTTCTTTACCTTATCAGACGGACGGAACGCGAGCACAGAGGGGTGTGCTGTCGACCTCCGTTGGTGGCCAAGCTGTGCTTCGTTGATCTCTTTGTTCAGCCATGCGATCACTGTACGGAGAGGCACGCGTATTAGAACGCAGCAGCAACAAATGTCGTGGTACAAGTTGAAGAATTGGAGCGTACCTTGCTGATTGGAGGCCAGAAGCTTGTTACTGTCCTCTAGCTTCTGACTCAGCTCCTTTATCGTGTCCTGCGGTGAATAAAAAAAATAAAGTAAGTCATAACTGCTCAAAGGCAAAAAGTACCAAGAGTTTCTTTGCGAACCTTGAGCTGTAAAATGTGCTCGTCCCGCTTGCGAACATCTTCCTTTGTCGACTTCAGCTCCAATAGCGCTTCCTCACGCTGAAGTTGTTTTTCCTCGACAAACTGTAAATTCACATACGATAGTGAGAGCACGGACTTTATCAAAGGACTACATGCAGCACTAAGCCATCGCACCTGCTCCTGCTGTTTGATAATCTTGGCCTTCATCCTCATCTTGGACTTCAGCGTACGATTTTCGTTTTGTATGCGCTCGATAATTTCATTTCCCTGTGCAACAGTCACCGCATGAGAATTTGACTATACCTAGCTCATCAAGCCACCAGTCAAATAAATAAGGCCATGCCTGCTCACCTTATTGATCTCCGAGATGCTCAATTCCAGCTTCTGCTGCAACCGCGCGTGATTATCTCGGTACATTTTCAGCGACTCGTCAACTTCGTCGTTGTGAAGTTTTGCCGACTGTAGCATTTCCGTGGTCTTCTTGATCATGTCCTCCTTGTCCGCCAGTTGCTGTTGCAGCGCGTCTGCCCGAACCTGTAAGGCATTGATCTGCTTCTCCTGCTGGAATACCTTCTGGTCCAGCTCTTTGTTTCCAGTACGCAACTCATCCACTTCGCTGGTAAGCGCGCTTCTGCCTTGAGTGAGATCCTGTGACTGCGCGCGCAGGTGATCGATCTGCATTTCATGCTGGTATTTCTGCTTGCTTAGCTCCTGCACTTGCGCTTCACTCGTCTCGGCGGTCGCCTTCAGCTCTCGAATCTAAGCGTTTCAAACCAAACTTGGTACGTTAGCATGAAAGGAAAACTCCGCCACGACAAACAACCGCACCTCTTTCTCGTATCTTTCCACCAGCACATCGATCTTGGCATTGAGTTCGTCCTCACGCGCTTTCAGTGCAGCCGCTGCATTCTTACGTTGGGCATCCAACTCATCCGCAAACTTCATTTTCTCTTGAGAAAGTGTGGACTCCGCTTCATATCCCAACGCCGATAGTTGCTGCTGCAACGTCGCTTCACTCCTCTGCGTGGTCTGCAGTTCCTCGCTCGTCTGCTTCAACGAGTTCGACAGCATCCGCCTACTCGCTCCCACCTGGGCCAATCTCGCCGCCAAATACGCCTTAATCACCGCGTCATCACCCGGAACGAATCTCAGCGACAAATGCGTCAACTGCTTGAACGGGTTCGTCTCCACGATGCTAAACACCGACTGTCCGTTGCTATCCGACGTGTTCAACACCGCCAAATAACTATAAAATATGCGCGCACAAAATAAAACATCATCAGTCAACCGAAATCACTAAAAGAAATCGATGCACCACCTCCGCATACCTCAACGGCACTGGTCCCGCAGATCTGGTCTTCTGACTGCCTTGAGTGGTCTCATTTGCCACTTTGTTCACCACCGGCGCGTCCCCCTCGGCCGAAACTTCAGCCTCTCCCTCCTTCTCTTCTTCTTCCTGTGCAATTTTCTTGCTGTCCTTGACGCAGCATTGCAGCAGCTCGATGAGGTTGGCAGGGAACGTGGCAAAGTCCACGAGCAGCCTCTGCTGCGTCTTGAGCTCGTGGAACTCCTCCTCCGAGACGCTCCAGAGGTACAGGAAGTACGGATCCGCGCCGTCGTCGTCCGTGATCTCCACGCGCATCACGCGCTCCTTCTGGTTCTTGGCATTATTTTGCTACACAAGAAGAAATTATGAAAAAATAACAATCCAGATTCAATTGAGTTGAGAATAGTTTTGTATCGCTGAAGGGGGAGGGAGGACGCACCCGCACGCCCGTGAGCAGGCGGATGGTGAGCGGCAGCAGCTTCTCGTCGCGGCCCGGGTACTGCACCAGCACGTGGAAGCGCCGGTCGAACAGCGGCGCCTCGCGGTCGAACTCCTCCATCGTGCTCGAGGCCAAAAAATCGTGAATTCAAATTTGAGTCAAAAGCCGAAAATTTGAGTTACGAGCAAAGGAGAAAATTTGGCAAAGTGTCGAATGTACAGTATTACCAATAATATTAATACAGTACATGTTGAGCTCTTCCTATCATGGCACTTCATGTTACATGAAGTGAAATGAATCATGTAAGCTTATCCATACATGGCATGCTCCTCCACTGGAGGAGCATGCCTCCAGATCAAACCACAGGGATACTATGTATTTACAGGTTAGTCATGGAGGTGTTCTTATCAACGCAGATCCCCACCAGGGCGTTAGCATCAATATTACCTGGAACTGCAGCCCGGAAAGTCCGCATGATCATTTGTGTCATTAGACTTCCGTCGAGTTGACAGCATTTGCTGCTCTCGTTTTCGTTTTCAAGCGCAACAAACCAGCTCCGTGCAGCTAAGCAAGGAATACGTTAAGGGAGGTTGTACAGTATCCAATGCATTGAAACAGATAACGCGACCACGGCACCTGGCCTTCCAGCCTCTAGATGCTTCGAAGACGGCGGCCAGCGTGGGCGCTCGCAGACACGGCACCATTCGTACCGTGATCAGCAGCAGCGTTCGCACCGACACCGGCACCCGCGCTCGCTCCAACGCCGGCACCGCCATTGAGCCCAGCTCCAGCGTTTAGGCCTGCGTTAGCTCCAAGGCTAGCACCAGCGTTCAACCCAGCACCGGCATTGAGCCCCGCACCCGCGTGGAGACCAGCTCCAGCATTCAGGCCTGCGTTTGCACCAAGGCCAGCACCCGCGTTCAAACCTGCGTTGGCTCCAAGCCCAGCTCCAGCGTGAAGACCAGCTCCAGCATTCAAGCCCGCGTTGGCGCCTAGGCCTGCGCCAGCGTTCAATCCTGCGTTGGCACCAAGGCCAGCTCCAGCGTGAAGCCCAGCGCCGGCGTTTAGACCTGCACCAGCGTTAAGCCCAGCGCCGGCGTTCAGGCCAGCTCCGGCGTCCAGGCCTGCGTGGGCGCCTAGGCCTGCCCCGGCGTTCAGGCCAGCTCCAGCAATGAGGCCAGCACCGGCATTGAGGCCTGCGTTCGCGCCAAGACCAACTCCACCGTGAAGTCCGGCACCGGCATTGAGGCCTGCGTTCACACCGAGGCCAGCTCCAGCGTTTAGCCCAGCCCCTGCGTTTACGCCGGCATTAGCTCCAAGCCCAGCTCCGGCGTGAAGTCCCGCATTTGCGCCGAGGCCGGCTCTAGCGTTTAGCCCAGCGCCGGCATTCAGACCGGCACCGGCATTGAGCCCTGCGTTGGCTCCAAGTCCAGCTCCAGCATTGAGACCAGCACCAGCGTTAAAGCCCGCATGATCCCCACCGACGTTGACATCGAGGCCCACGCCTGCAGACAGTCCGCCGTTGCCACCCGTACCGTGGCCGACGCCGCCGTTAACACCAACGCCGAGCGACACACCACCAAGTCGTCCAAGACCAATGTTCAAACCAGCGTTGAAGCCGCCCTTCGCGTGGCCGTCAACGCCAGCTCCGCTGTTTAAATCGCCGTCATCCTTGGCACTGCTAGTAATGCTGCCGTCGACCTTGGCGCCGTTGTTGGTGACAGTGACGGCGTCAGTAGCAATTCCGCCCTTAGCTTCTTCGTTCGCAAAGCCGTCAGCCTTGGCACCACCATCGACTTCACCACCAAGGGATTTAATGTCACCGCTGGGCGAGTTACCTCCGCTTCCTTGGACGCCGCTTTTACCGCCTTTGGTAGCAGGAACAGTGTTGTCGTCGCCACCTTCGGCACTAGCCGAGTCGCTGTTGTCGACGTTGTCGTCATCGCTGCCACTGCCAGTGGTGGAGGGGTACGGGGCTTTAGCTCCGTACACAGCTGCTGTCGGCGTCAACTTTAGACCCGCTGGCGCTGTCGGTCTGTTCAGGAGCGTCGCTACACCAGGTGCATCGACATCAGCGGATCCGCTGGTGCTATCCGTGCCGGACGAGTACGGAGTTTGAGCTTCGTCGTCCGAGCTGCCAGAGGCATCGACATCGGAACCTTGAGTGACGCCGACCGCCGGGGCATAAATGTCGACATCACTGTCGGTAGTGGTGGGGGCTGGTGTTGCGCTGATACCGTCGGCAGGGGCGGGCACATTGTCGGCAGGAATATCGACACCAGTGATGTCTCCGCTAATGCCGTCGGCTGGAGGCACGTTGTCGGCGGGAACATCGACACCAGTGGATCCTCCGCTGATTCCATCAGCCGGGGCAGGGATGTTGTCAACAGGAACATCGACGCTAGTGGTGTCTTGTGTGATGCCATCCGCCGGGGCAGGGACGTCTCCGTACCCGCTGCTGGAAGGAATGAACGCATCTTGTTGAATAGCCGAATCGCTCTCGACATCGGTCAGTGACATGTCCTGCGTGTCCAGCGTGGGCTCGACCGGAAGCTGGTCGTTCAGGGAAACTGGGACGGTGGGCGCCGGTGTGACCGGGTCGTAGACCGGGTCGTAGATCATCTCACAGTCGGAAACATGGCCGGCATCCGCAGTGAAGTCGGAGAGGGCCACAGCCACGGCAAAGAGCTTCAGGAAGGTCTTGCAGGAGAGCATTGTTGCAGGTTGAAGAGGGTGTCCACCGAAAAGCGTTGGGCTTCCACGACAGGAAGGGAACGGACAGACACAGACAAAGCCGAACGGGAACGGTGGGGGGACTCGAGTGAACGAGTGGAAGTTATTGAATGAGCTCTCGGCTCCCTGCTGTGGATTCGACCAGCCGTCGAAACGGGAATTCTTACGTCCGAGCGCCCCGAGAGCATTCGTGGGGCAACGCAACGCAGAACAGGATCGCAGACATGTGCTTCGATGCGTGATAAGGGTGGTAAACGTCATCGTCATAGTCCTTGCAGTACTGCATATATAGGTAATAGAGGAGAGTCCGTACCCTATTTGCACTTTCGGGCCTATCCCAGCCCACGCCCAGGGCTCTCATGTGCTCCAGACATCACTCGATCTTATCTGGTTCGAACGTGCCTCTGGTAAGATCTACTGGTACCGTACGGTGGGTGGTAAACAGTGTTTGGTGTGGTCATTGTTCAGGTCGCGCACAACCCCTCGATGCTTTCCTATGGAATTTACCGTGGATGCAGACATCGTTGACGTGTTGCTACAGTCTGCGAAGGGGGACACTTGCATCAGCACACATAGCGTGAATGTGCCTAAGAGTTTGATAAACTACTCTGTTGTGTGTTGTGTTTCCTTACGTGAACGGATGGGTTATTCGAGTCCTATATGACGAGAGCGATCCCCTGACAGCATTAAAAATACTGGATAGGAGAAGGGTGTACAACGCTTTGGCGTACTGCGTTGGCGATGACAGTGTTGTGTATCGCGTTGTCCCTGGTGTAGAAGCCCCGTATTCGACGAATTCGTGCGCCAGCTTCTATCCGAACTTTCCCCTCCGGCAAGGCAGGGATCTCTACCTAATACTGGTGACGAGCGGATTGGCGGCTCGCTTGAACGTTACCCTTGCCAGTACTCGTGTGAATACGCCATGCCTCTTTAAACGATCCGCAGGTGGGTGCTTACAGCGGAAGCAATCGTAACAACAGTAAACTATGGCCCTGCCGGCGCTCCATGATCCGCATAACCCTACTAGAAATCATTAAACCCTACTGCGCTAACGCGCGGGGTTCGACTTGCTGCGCTCGCTTAGTCCTTATCTTGCGGTGATGATGCGGTAGTTTGAATAACTTAAAAAAATCCTAACAAGCTAGCTGATCAAAAAGACCAGCAACTCAACACGATCTAACGTTAGTTCTGCTAATGACTACTTTCGTTGGAGCGGGACCAGGGGTTCATACCAGCGCGAGTTTAGCTGGTATCGGGTATCTCGGCCTTCTGACGAAGGTGATATCAGCGATACTGATACTAATATCAATATCATATCAATATAATGATACATATATTGTATTGTATTGTGAACGCGTTACGCGAGCCGTCTTACCACCTTGGTGGGTCAACTTCCGCATGCGTCGAGTTATCTCTCATCTCTCTAATTCTCTCTCTGCTCTCGACCAGAGCCCGTCAATCGGCACGTACGCAAGTAGGGCCTCCGTCAGGTGCTTCCAGCTTTTTCGATCCTGCGCGCAAAGGCGAAGGAGGTAAAGATCGGGAGAACGACGAAGACGGTGCCCGGAAGAAAGAGTCTGGAGGTCGGCGTCGAGGACCATCGGAAGCGTGAGCCGTTGTCTGCCTCTCCATTTGCTTGACTCGCTCGGCCTGAAGTAAGCGTCCATGTAGCGGTATGCAGGGATAGCTGCGGGCCGGCGAAGGATATGGCCAAACAATCGCCATCGGCTGCGCAGGAGGTGATAGCGTAGCGGTTCCGTCCCGGTAAGGTCGTATAGCTTGGTGTTGGAAATCCTTCGAGGGTAGACCGCGCCGATGACTTTGCGGAGTTGTTGGCGGTGAAAACTTTCGAGGCCAAGGAGGTCAGTGTGGGTTAACGCCAATGTCCCGCAGTTGTAAAGCAGGATGGGCAATACGTAGCTGATGTAGAGGCGGACTCGAGTCGCTTGCGATGTCTTTGACGGCCGAAGCCAGATCTTCCACATCCGGTGGAGCGCTGCGGTGGCTAGGTTATTACGGCGCGATCGATCTTCGGTGTCGCCGAGGAGAGAGCCGAGCTTGCGAGTGTTGCGCCAGGCTTCATCCTTGGCACGAGCGATCCGGGTGGTGTGGGCTGTCGGGCTGCGGTGAACAATTGTGTGTTCCGTTTTGGAAGCGTTCATCTTGAGTGACCACTTGGCCAGTATGGCTTGTGCTTGAGTCTCGATCAGGGTAGTGATATCTCCGTGTCTGCAAATGAAGTCAGCGTCGTCGGCGTATACAATCATGTCCGCGAGGAGGTCGTGGGGGACGTCAAGTTGACCGGCAAGATCGCGTAAGGCTGCTTCGAGGTAAACAACAAAAAGAACAGGGGAGAGTGAGTCACCTTGGGGGGTACCTGTGTTGCTCTCAAACGGAAAGAGCAAGTCGTTGCCGAATCGGAGGGCGAGCTTGGTGTCTTGTAGGAGTAGTCGGATCAGGCGAAGCTCATCGCTGCTGACAATCGACTCGAGAACCAGAAGGAGCTTGTCGCGGTTGATTGTTTCAAAAGCACGGGAGAGATCGATCCCCAGTATGCGGAACCGTTCCTTGAATCTCTGCGCCCGAGCTGCTATCCACCTGTGGGCCCATACTGCATCGGCAGTACTGCGACTGGGTCGGAACCCGCTCTGGTGAGGGGACAGAAAGCGTTCGACCTTCGGGGAGATGCGCTCGAGAACGACAAGCGAGATGGCCTTGCGAATGCTGTTGAGCAGCACAATTGGTCGAAGGCTGGCACATTGACCAGCCGGCTTGTTTGGCTTTGGAAGTCCAAGGAGAATTCCGTCGCCCAGATGAGTGTTTGCTCCAGTAGAGAACCCGTCGTTGAGTATGACAGCGAGAGGTTGAGCTAGTGTCGTAGATCCGTACTTGAGTAGCTCAGCTGGGATGGCGTCAGGTCCGGTTGCGCGGCCATTGCGAAGGCGATGGAAGGCGCGTGCGAGCTCGTCGGCTGTAATGGGCCTCTCCAGAGGGCGAGCCACGCTGTCGCTGGGGACGGGCTGTCGGCTCGGGTCGTAAAACTGTTCCTTGAAGTGTTGTCTGATCTTGGCGCCTGCTGTTTTGCGGTGGAGAATGTATTTACCTGTGGAGTCACATAGAGACGTTACTGGTGAGCGCTGTCGAAGCAGCACTCGCGTTGCCTCGAACATCCTAGCCGAATGGCTAGAGCGGTTTATGGCGGTTAGTTTCTCGTCAATAAAAGTGCGAGCAAGGTGTCTGCTGCGCTCCCTGATTTTGTGAAGTACGTGGTTGTGTCGGCGGCGGAGGTCATCGACGTCCAGCGCACGGTCGTTTTAGATGGCTAGACGGAGTCGTCGTTGTTTGCAGGAGAGACGTGCTAGTTCTGGATCCGGCATTTTGGCGCTTTTGGCGAGTGGAAGGTATCCAATCGAGTCTGCTGCTGATTCCAGTGCTGTGTTCAGCGTCGTCGCCCAGCGCTGATTTGGCGAACCCCCCTGGTGTGGCATGGCGGTGATCTTAGCGGATAGTAGCTGGCGGTATTGTAGTCGGGAGCGTTGGTCGTGCACTAGGAGGTGCGTGGCGAGGCGAGTCTCGGCGTTGTTGAAGTGGACTCTGGCAACTCGACGCCGGAGCCCACCAAATATGGAGATCAAAGTCCAGCGTGACCAGCTTGTGGTCGGTCGGTGTGAGGATACCGCCCCACGACTGTGCGTTGACACACAGGGATTTATTCCGCTGGCTGCAAATGATGTAGTCGATTTGGTTGAAGATGCTGTGATCCTTGAGTCGGAGCGTTCACGTCGTGATGTTGCAAGCGCGCTTTCGGAAAGCAGTGTTAGAAATAAACAAGTCATTAGCGTCACAAAAGGAGGCGAGTACGTGGCCGTTGCGGTGCGTCGGCCACGTCCCCATTGTCCTAAGAAGGGTTCGTGTTCGCGTTGCTGTCCAATTTTTGCGTTGAAGTCGCCCATTATAATGTCGTATCACGCTGTGGGAGTTTGGTTAGCATTGCATGAAGATCCTCGTAGAAACGGTCGACCTCGATAGAGGTGCGGTGAGTACACATTGATGATGTTCACTCGCTGGGCCTTGGGCATGCATAGTTGGAGGACTCCAACACGGTCCGAATGGGCCCAGTACTTATACAGGAACTTACGCAGGTGAGGTGCAATAGCAAAACCAATGCCATGCCATCGGTTGGATGTCGGTAGAGTCAGGAGATGGTACTTACCGGCCTTCTGCTCACTTTGATAGGCTATGCGGGTTTCTTGGAGGCCTAATACGTCGGCGCGGTAGGCCGACGGGTCTCGAAGGAGCGTCTCATGTTGCTTGCGCTGGGAGCCAATGGATTGCACGTTTAACGTACCTAGCCGGAAATGGCGAGCGGGCTTCCGCGGGCGGAGTCGTGGCTGCGTTACTGGGAGCTGGGGGTGAGAGGGGTGGTTAGAGAGAGATGTGGAGAGGGAGAGACCCGTCAAAGACTGACAGACACCGTGAAGCGTCTGTCGGAAGCGTTGGACGAGCAGCATGCTTGCCCAGGCTTCCCGGGAGGGCGTCACCCCAACCCGACCAGGATAAATGATACATATATTGATGAAAATGGTATCTGCAGTAATTTGGCTAATGTCGCCGTCTCCTATTCTATTGCAGCACTTCCTTGTACTCGGACCAATTAGCCTTCATCAAGCACATCGTCTCCGCCCGGTCGTTATCAAGCTGGGTTCGCAACTCGTTCTCCACATAGCCACTAAGACTGAAACATCGCTCTTGACACACGGTAGACAGTGGTTTGGCGAGACAGATTCTCAAGCTTATTTTCAACCGAAAAGGGATGATCATTGTGAGCTCTGAACATGTGCTTCCTGGGGTTAGCAGTCGTCTGTTGCCGCATTAAGCATGATCTCCGTCCAGAAGAGGTCGGGTCCGTGTTTTTTGTGTGCTGCGCACACGAGACAGATGTGGGTGAACGAGCTGCTTTTCTTCTTTGTGTCAGGAATCGGAGTAGCAAGTACGTGGATGAACTCCCAGACAAGAACAAACATGTTCTGGTTTGAGTGACGCACAGATAGTGGAATACCAACTCGACTCCAACTTCGCCTTCTTTGTCTCTACGGCCACGACCACTGGGCGACGTATCCTCGTCGGCCATTCTCTAGAGAGCGCGCACGCAACCGAACCGAGATGGTAGTAGTAGACTTGGGCTTGTTGGGAGAAGTGGCTATATGCAAGTAACTATGTGCGGTAGCGCACATGGAAATAACCTGGTTGGTGAAATCTACACTAGGTCGCAGGATATCGATATTTATATGCCGAAGTATCATTGGATCTCGATACAGCACCACCACCAATATCAGGTGATACTGATACAAGTATCCGGCCATACAGTATCGATATTTATTACAGGTATCAGCCTTGATATGAAGTTCATATTATGAACCCCTGAGCGGGACACCCTGATATCCCACTAGGCTATCAAATGCATGACTCTTTCTCCGCGGGCATGTTTCAAAATCTGAATATACTAACAACTGAAAGTGCTGTATGCAGACATGTTTGGCGGGTAGTAAACGACACTAACACACGGCTATCAACACACACGCTAAACTCGACAACCATCGCAACCGACCGACCTGTTCAGTAGCCCTTGCCTTCGTACTGCTGGATCTGCTGGATGAGGTCGTTGTACACGTTCTCGTGCGCGTTGTACGCCCACGTGAAGTCGATGTGGCCGAAGTCGACCGTCTTGTCGAACACGATGGTGCCGCGGGGAAGACCAGCTCGCAGCTTGCTGATGTCGGCCTGCGTCGCCAACGTGTCCCGAGCTCCGTTGTAGAAGCCCGTGCGCGGGTACACCATGTTCTGAATGGGGAAGGCTGGCGGGTTGAAGGAGCCGTACTTGGCCTTGTTCACGCAGTCGAACTCCGAGCACGCGTCGATGCCCGCGCTGGGGTCGCAGTTGCAGCCGTAGTCGTACGAGGCGAACGTGTTGTCCCGGATGCCTTGCGCATAGTGGCCCATGTTCTTGGCCGAAGTACCCGCGGGGGTCTGCGTCACATACACGTGCACTCGTGAGGAGTTGACGTTGTCCGAGGGCCCACCGATCAAGTCAAAGAAGCCGTCGCAGATCTCGTCAGCCCAGGCACACAGAGTGGAGCCCAAGAGGTTCTGCAGGAGCGGGTTGTTGGGCAGGAACTCCTTCGCGCCGAAGGCCTGCACCCACGTGTCCATGTACGTCTTGGCCAGCGCGACGAAGACCGGCGACGTCGCATCCCCAGCCCACGCCACTGGCGTGAGCGCTCCGAAGTAGGACACCGACATGGCGAGCTCCTGGTCGTGCGAGAAGCCGACGAACGCCTGCGTGGTGCCTTCCGAGTGGCCGACGTAACTGAGCGTGGACCGGCCCGAGACACTCAGTGCGGCCTTGATCATGGCCGGGAGGTCGTGCTTGCCCATGTCCTCCCACGTGAAGTCCCAGAACCTCTCGTCGTCGGTGCTGTAGTACTTGTGTTCCTTGGACCACGTGGTGCCTCGGTTGTTGCCGAGCCAAACGTCGTAACCGAGGTCAGCGAGGATGAAGGCCAAGCTCTGGTGGCGGTAGTTGAGGACCCAAGTGTACGAGCTGTCGAGCAGGCCGTGCTGCAGGATGACGACGGGCTTGTTGGCGGCGGCAGCGGAGCCCGACTGCGTTTCGTCGTAGCTCTTGGGGATGCGGTGCATCGTGAGCACGTAGCCGTCGGTCGTTGTGACCTTGTGGAGCTCGACTTGGTATCCTCTGGCTTGGATGATTTGCGCGGTGTTGAGGCCCGCGTCCGAATCAACATCGGAGAGGATCTCCTCCTTGGCGAGGACAACGGACGCCGAAAGGAAGAGTGCGACGATGCTGAAGAGCAGGAAGATACTCGTTGGAGCGAGTCTGGAGCGCATGCTTCATAGCTTAGAGCGAGCGGAGGGTATTGAGCGGGTGAGCGCAATTTGGAGAATGAGACTGGCGGACGGACACGTTCGGGCGACCCAAGCAATTAGGCGCTGTCGGGGGCTCCATGTCCATTGCCGTGGGGAGTAGGCAGTTGGATCTCGGGGCCAGGGTGACCAAAACTTATCCCGATACGTGGTCAAGATGACCATGTGGGGTCAGGTGGGGGATAGTACCGACCACGTAACGGTGGCCCCTTGATTCAACTACATACAAGCTGCAGCTGGGGCCTTTTATATTGCATGTGATTCTATAAGGGGTCTGCCATTTTTAGATACTACCAGGTATTAGCAGTAGATATTGTCTGAGATGGTGGTGGAGAGTGAGAGGTGCACTTGTAGTACCTCGAAGTACATGTTTAGAGGATTTTCCCAAAATCAGTGAACATTGTACTGTACTCTCAAATGAATAGCTTAATTTCAAGCGTACTCAGTATTCAGGGGCGTAATTTTCGTAGCTTATGTCGTAGTTATCAAGGACCTACTGTAGTATCTGTCAGCAACTAACCTTACTCCCTAATAAACAGAGTGCGGTCCCATTAAGTGGAGAACTAACATGTTCTTGGTTTTTAGCTAGCTTAAAGACTGAAGTGACACCTCACTCAAAACGAAGTGGAGCACTCCTTCACCGAAGCAACACGCATTATCTTTTGAATGGTGCTATCATCCTGGACTTCGACACTCCATAACGTGAAGACGTGGTTGTAGAGGTAATATTTCCCGTGTTCTTTACATCACCACTCTAACCATGCGGTCGTGACAAGTGCCCTATAATAGCGAGGGTTACACAACGTCTGGGCCAGTCAAAGTTTGCGGCCACGTCATGTTGACCGCGGTGGCAGACATGGTCCTTCCTATCCACACGCTTGACACGCAGCGTGTCAAGCATTTCTGCATGGTACACTGTACATGTACTCGAAGTGAGCACCCGCGCTGTGAGGATACATTACAGCAACGCTGCTCGTTTCATGTGGCATCTGGTGAAGGCACCGTGCGCTTCAGAACTAGATAATAACGCTGGTACGCAAATCATGTTGAAGCTGCGACCTTTCATTGACCAATGAAGTTGCCCAATTCATAAGGCAAAGGTAGCTCGACCCCCGGACAGCTACTTCACCGTGCCCGCACCTCTTGCAAAAGACTCGTCACTCCATTGCGTGACTTTGGATCCAACCCTTTCGGTCCGTTACCGACATATAGGCCTCCCCGTCCTCACTCAGCAGCTCGCAGCGCGCGTCCAGTGCCGTCATGCGCGTCGCCATGTCCACGTGCACACCTCTCCATGCACTCGCTGCAGCTGCTCGTCTGTGGCTGCAGGAAGCGGCCGCCCAGACGCCGCAGTACGGCTCAGTGTGAGGTACCAGCGGTACCAGCGCCACCAAGCAGTGCTCCGCAGCGCGGAAACACGGCACGCGGTCGCAGGCGAAGCTCGCCAGCACAGAAACCGCTGCGACTGTGGGAGGTCGCTACCTCTCGTTGCCCCCCGCGGCAGCGGTTAGCAACTGACAGACGCAGCACATTAGCAGCTTCAGCAGCAGCAACAGCACCTACCAGCATAGCAAAGCATAGGTCGGTTAGGAAACTCCTTCAACACGAGCAAGGGTCCCAAGGCGGCGGCGCCGAGCTGCTGCGCAGTTCGGCACTCACTTCCGCATTCTCCAGCAGGAGCACAACCAGCTCCGCCGCCTTGGTTGTTCCCGCCACGGCATTCTGCCAAGGCAACCTCAGTCTCCTACCTTCCGTTCGTCTTCTGCCCGCACCTTCGTGCTGAGATCAACTCTGCTACGCCTACAGCTCTGCAGACAGCAAGTACACGACTTTCAGCACCTCTCACTCAGGACGCTCGGGTCGGCCAGGGATGCGGTGCAGCAGACACACGTCAACAGGCTGCGCTTGCCGTGCACCAACGCGGCTGCAATCGCACTCCACAACCGACAAACCAGCGGGCCCCGAAAGCAGAACTTGATAATCATCTATTTTTGGTGCGCCACTTCAAACTATGGGTTTTGTGTACGACACGTAGATTTCAGACAAACGGAAGTCCCGAGGTGGCGGATACAGTACTACGTAAAGTACTACAGAGCATGGGGCCGTACATCCGCGTGAAGCGACGGAACCAGACGGTGTTCCTGGACGTGCAGACGGCGGACTCGTTCCTGAGCGTGAAGGAGAAGCTCGGCGCGCTGTTCCACCTGCCGCCCACGAGCATCCAGCTCTGGCAGGGGCTCAACCAGAAGGAGAGCAAGGAGTTCGCGGACGCGGCGACGCTCGCGGACCACGAGCTGCAGAACGACGCGGTCATCTACATGTGCTGGAAGAAAGAGAGTGCGTCGGCTGCCTGCTGCCTTAGTAGTCTGGTATCGCATCAATTAAACTAATGTTGTTATTGTGTACTATTACTGCAGACTCGGACCAGTGGGAGGAGCTGAGCGTGACCAAGGTGGAGGCTCTGGACTCGGGAGACGCCTCTGGCTCATCGAGCAGCGGGGTTGCAGGAAACAGTGCCAAGACTGATGCATAGCTGGGATGGTCGGGTCAAAAGGTGCCTCTCCGCTTCATCGGGACGCAGATTTACAGGGGGATACGAGCGCAAAACCCCACGAGTTGCAAATATAAGAAGACAAGAAGGAAGGCTCAGAGAGGGAAGGAAGGAAGGAAGGAATTAAAGTTTTTTTCTTCTTCTTTTGCATTGAGCAGGATTTGAACGAGTTCTCAGCTATTGACGTGGGGATCAAGTCGGCACGGGCTCTGGTACCGGATCGATCTCACAGTTGGTGCGCTAACGGTGCGAGACTCGTTGGCATCGCTCGCGCTTGGAGGCGCTGGTTCCTGTGGCGCCTAGCTCCATTTGGAGAAAGTAGACTCGACGGTTCGAGCGGCTGACTCGCACAAGGTCGAGCGCTGAGTCTTGAACGAAATGGGATCTGGAAGCATTCCAGGTAGCCTAGTGGGCTTTCGAGAAAGTGCTCGGCGCTGCGATACCGAGGTGCCAACGGGCTCAAATCCATTGCCTTTTAGTGGCGGCGTAGCTACATCTGAGCTTGGTGGCGGCTTGTTGCTCCTGGATGCGGCCAGTAGCATCTCCATGGCCACCCGGCTCGTGATGTAGGCAGTCAACATCACACCTAAAAGCACGAGAAAGGCGCCAAACGCGTCGGCTTTTGGGTGCCCCGTTTCCCAGCCGTTCCCGAACAGTGTTGATACGACTTGGAGCAGATCTCGGGCGTACAAAGCTACTGGCGTCTCCGAACTGAATTCGACCTGGAAAGTGTTCAAAAGACAACGTAACACGCACGCGAGGTAGTGCGCAGCAACGACAATTCCGCCGAATAGCTTCGCTGATACTGCGAGTACCGAGATATGCGCTCCGCCCGACGTCTGGCATATTTTGCCTATCGGACCCAAGAGGGCCTCCCAAGTCGACAAAGCTGCCGAATCAAAAGAATTCGGAACAATTTTTCGACAATGTAGGCGCTCGGATGCGCTGCTGCCAAAGTTCGAGTGTCTCCGTCAGCTCGCGAAAGCCACGAGATCAACTCCAGTGGAAGAGAGCCAAGAAAATCTGGTACAAAGGAACTACCCAGGTATCTTTGAGCAATTTCCTGGCGATCCTCAACCAAGGTCAAGCATTTTGGATCGAAGATGACCGTGTTAAAGTTGAGCAGGGTGTGTCCAAGAAGTACCAGCTCCATCGTAATGTTTGTGCTTTGCTGGGATTGCTCGCCGTGGTTCAGGTAAATCGGGGCAAACGGGACGTAGAAGATCTGGAAAACTACAAAGCCAAAGACTACGAGCTCTCTAAAGCTGTTCAGCTCTCCCACGGGTGATATCGGTCGAGACAGGTTACCGATGCGCCACTGTAGACGCCGTCGTAGCTGCTTCACCGTGCTGAGAAGGAAAATCGTACGGGAGGTGCAGCTGACGACGGTCTTCTAAAGCTGTCGAGAAGTGCGCAGACTGAAGCGTTTGGCTGATGTGCCGCGTCTCGATCGCTGTCTGTGCAGCCTTACCGTCAAATGCACCTTCTTGAACCTCGTCATTGCCCCAGTGCTCCGATGACCGTCGAGTTTTGGGTACAGTCTCATCGTTCAATGCGTTGTCATTTCCCGGCTCTTGGCCTGGGTGAATTAAGTCGTGCGTTGAAGGAGTTGCAGGCGTTCCAGGCACGGTGGTAAGGTCTTGCTGGGCGGGCGGAAGTCGAGAAATGAGTGACAAGAAACAAGTTCGACCAGATGAAGTTGTAGGCTTCACGTAAGAGTTACGAATGCTCTTGGCGCGCATGGACATTCATACATTTCGCTGTGGTTTTTGCGGTTTCGGCCGAGGCCAGACCAGATCGTCGAGTATTTTCGCGAACGACTCGTTGCGTTGCGGAGCGGAGCGAGTCCTCTATCGAAACTGTTCCTCCTATTTACGCGATGATAACTCCTCCAGTGGCTATATGTAAATGCACGAGGCAAAAAAGCTGAGGATGCAGCGACTTCGCACCACTCATCGATCGGCCATGACGCTTAGTACTATGTTCTGGTCTCTCTATCCTCTGTGCTAGAGCATAACGCAGAGTGTGGCTGCACGAACACCCACTTGTCCTCATTGTACGCTTGAAAACTAGTTCATGCCCTGCGTCTGCTGCTGTTTGAGACCTTGGTGATTCGAGAACCGGTTGCATGATAGGTACTTGCTGTCGAATGTAGGGTTGCTGAAGATGAAGATGTTGACTGGTCAGGTCCCTCTGTTTGCCCTCGCTGGGCGCGGTGCACAACAGCAAAGGACTGGGCTGAGCTTGGAGTTTGAAGATCCATTCTCTTCTTGTTGTTGCTTCAGCTTGAGGAGATCCAACAGAAGATTCAAGTGGTCTTCAGACTGCACACCCATGGAAAGCGACTTGGCTCGGCAACCTTGGGCCTTGCGAAGATCCAAATCATCATCCGTTTTGTCGGGATTTAGTTTCTTCACTGCTCGCTGCATTCTGAAGCAGTAGCGCTTCCAGACCCCCACGATACAGCCATGCTTGCGTTTACGTCCGCATCGATCCACAGGTACCGTCACTCTTGGATTCCCCACCAAAAAGCTGAAGAGCAGCAACTTCCGTCTCTAATTTAGGGAGATCAGCTCCTTACAGATGATACAGATGATAACCTCTGTAAAAGTAATCTTCTGTAAGACACGGAAGTTCCGTGTCTTACTTCCGTCACGGAAGCCCGACGGGGGTGTAATGGACTGCAGTATCTCCACAAAATGTCAGAATCGGAGCAGGCCGTCATCGAGATTTATCCAGCGCTTGATGTCGAAGCGCCCGCGACTCCCTGTAACCGGAACTTAAGCCCTGGTGTGCTTGTTACGTAGAAGGTGAGTTGAAAACTTCTCATACAGTCTTTAGCATGAACTCTTTGAACCGCTCCACCGCGTATGCTCTGTTCGCAATCCCTGTAAAGCGACTTTAGATTGGGCGGTGTAGCTTTGAGAGCGTCACCTCTGCATCGTTACGACCAAAGCACCACGATCGCTTTATACTACTGCTCCCGCTTGGATAGTTGCGCATTTTCTTAATCTTTCAGACGACAAGATATCGAATTATGGATTTAGTCGAAAGTGGTTGGGAGCGGAGCCGTCAGTTACCGCCACATATTTTGTATTTTGCCGTGGGATTGAACGTGCTTGCGTCGCCCGTTTGTTTTTAAAAAAGCCGGGGTACAGCTCGCCCCATCTCGTTTCGTCGTTTCATACTGATAGCAAAGCGAGATGGGTGCCTAGAACTTGTCACTGCTTGTTCGTCATGCATTTTAATGTAAGTGCAAAGGCACAATAAGCGAAGAACGAACACAGGCAATATAAAACAAAGACAATGGCCTGTACATGTATGTACACATGTATAGTACCTATATAAGTAGCGTTGGGCTGGGACCCCCAGCGTTAGTAAAACTGCTTGAAACTTCAACATGTTGCTCCGTCGCGGGAAGTATTACACGTAGCTCAAGTCGCTTGCCTCTGTTACTTTCCGTATCCTTTTCTGCGAGAATGGACATGTCCGCGGGTGTACCAGATCAATGCTTTGGCCACTTCTTACTTAAAAGTAGAGTAGTAGCTTGTCGGCGAGTGCATTTGAACTTCGAAGAACTTATCAAATCTCATGATATTGTAACAGGTACGGTACTCTGTACCGGGTGACGAGATCAGCGATCCAAGACGGAGAGCGGTGAGTGGCTGGATGCGAGAGCGCAGTCAGCTTGAGACCGCTCAGTGAAGAACCTACCTCGCGGGCCACAGACGACGAGAAGACGAGTACTGGCGAGCACGAGCAGCCGGTGACGATGAGAGACGAGCGAGGAGTGACGACCTTCGCAGACGACTGAGCAAGGGGCGACCTTCGCGGGTTGTCGCCGACAACGAACGACTGACGAGTGGGTGAGGCGGGCGAGATGCTGTCGACAACCCAGCTGACGAATCGACGAGTGAAGTGCGGCTAGTGACGACGCTATGGCGGAGCCACCAACAGACCAGAACGTGCATGAGTGCGGGGTGAGGCGGGCGAAGACCTGCGTGTCAGCGCCAGCCAACAGACTGATAACGCATGAGTGTGCGGGGTGAGGTTAGCTACGGCTGGCGTCGGATCTAGGCAAGGTGAACGAGTCGAACGTGTTGTACGAGTTGTACGAGTACTAACTGACGAACGAGTAGTAATACAAAAAGTAGGAACGGACGTGTTCCGGCACAGGACTCAAGTGGAGATCCTGTCGCCCAGCATGCGTTGAAGTTGCAGTATCGAGATCCTTACCACAACGGACCTTGGCGAGGACGCAGTAAAAGCACTACGAGCGACGACCCGCTGGTGAGCTGGCGTTATCAGACTCGTTACAATATCACAATATAACGATGACTCGGCATCTTGTTCCGCGTTGAGACTCTCAACTTGAGAGGTCTTGCCCTCATTTTCTCCACAGCAGTTCACCCCTAAAAATACGCGAGCACTGGCTGCTTAGCATCCGCAGTTCAAATAGCTTCTCTTCACGCAGATCGGTCTCGAACTACCACTACGTTGTCAGCGCTTCTAGACAATGGTTGGCTATCATCTTCTCGGAAACGTCAATCATCAGGAGTTTCTAGGCTACGTGTTTCTGAATCCACGTATTAATAATTTCCTTCCTTCCTGCCACTGAAATGTGCGCTGTGCCTAGGCAGAATCCTTTATTTCTTAGATTGCAGTGTTGGGATCGGAAACTTACAGGTGGCGATAAAACAAATATTTAGCGCTGTCAGGCTAACTGCTCAACCGAACTTGCAGGGTGACCCGATGAAGCCAGCAATTCGTTTCAAGTTTGATAAGTCAAAACTGAGGTCTAGCAGAACTCGATCGCGTAGGAGTAGGATACATCGGGTGCTTGCCCTTCGCTTTGACGATGTCCGCCCCGGTTTCCTCTCGTACAGGAATCCGGGGCGTACAGCGACAACGTAGGAGGATTCAAATTCTATTTGAAAAAAACATGGCGCAGCCGCAAACACATTTCGTCCGGGTCGCCTGAATATCTAACAACAACAAAAAGCTTTCAGCCTCGATTCGTCCAAATGGGTCTTGCCATTTATCAAGTACTTAGAAGTATTAAACTGAGCGTACCGTATTCATGTAGCATTAGGATGATATGATGTTTTGACAAGAACAGGATCCAGTAGTAGATTATTCTACACCACCAGTAGTAAATGGGCTCGGTAGGTCTCTGCGGGACACAATGTAGTCTCACACAAGGCAAGCTTAAATTATTCATAGTCTTCGTAGATAAAATTCCTAAGCGATTGCAGCTAGCTTTTTAATGGCCACACGAGCCATTCATAGCTCGATTAATTGGAACTAGACTTCTCCCGATTTCATACATCCGGAGAAGACATACCATGAGCTGCAGCTCTTATTGAGTCACCGCTAAATGAATTCATTCGCCACCGTACGTATAGGACGTCACCGCGTTGCCGGCGGATAGAGTTTGCTTTGGATAAAAATATGTTGAACGAAAAAACAAACAAACGATACTTCCCATCTTGGATCACACAAACTTTAAACTTGAAGTTGTTTCTTGCAAAGTTATAGTGGAATGTTGTATCTAAACCATCCGGACTCATTCCAATGACTGTGGGGATTCACACAATACCAGCCTGCCGACAATTTATGTCACGGCAAATTCATGTGACTACGCGATTTTCAATTACAATTTCTGAGAAACTATGCATGCAGAAGAAAAATCTGTCTGAGAGAGTAGGGTATTCAAATCGATAATTTTAACGCTAATGGGATGAGTAAGTACTGTGTTGAGTGTTTTGAAGCTACATGTAGTATAATACAATACAGTTATGTGGTAATGGCACCAGTTGTGCTCAAGGTCAGCATCATTAGCACCGACGCCTCAAATTGTCAGAGACCGAACAACGAACATATTGTGTATTAGCAAAAATTGTTCTTTCCACCAATAAATGTTTCCGGTGGAGCTCCATCTTCTCTGATGGTATCGTGTACATCTGACATCAATCTAGATAAAAATAAAAAAAGTATTTTAAATTTATAGCTTCGAGGCGAATAGGTATCTATCAAAACCTGTACTTAAGTAAGTGTCAATCAGACAATCAGACCGGATTCGTTCGAGTGCTATTTGATGTCGTGTGAATATTATCCGATGACATCCGCGGGGGAAGAAGCTAGCGTGGATATCGTTCGATGACATCCAAACACCTTCCCTAATCGACAGTTCTTCAAACTGCGAATAAACGGCGGACTTCCTGTCGGTGCTACGGAAGATAAAACAAGTTATCGATCACAGAGTTCCACCGACACGTTCTAGAGGTTCGTTGAACTAATGAAAATCTCCATGTTGTGTTCTCATTCAACTAGAATCTTCCTAGTTTATACGCATCAGATCCTACGATGCAAGATTAGCGAGCACTGGATGGTGTTTAGAAGCGAGAAGTTGCTTAAGAACTCGTGCGTTGCGTTTCGTCCGATCGTTTACCACTTTCCGTGGGATAGCTAAGTTTTCAGAGTCCGTGTTGCCCAGTATTGTGTCGCTCGTTGCTTGGGCGCTGTAGAGCTGCTCAATCTCAAGCTGTTGAATCCAACTGGCTGTTGAGTCTCCAGCAATGAAAACGTCACACGGTTTGTAGAGTTGTAGAATCCCCAATAGCTGTTTCGTTGCAGCACAGAATTCGAGGAACTCCACAGCACCGCATACACCATTAACAACAAGTGCCCTTGAAGCCGTTGAGGGATCATCGCTAGCACTCGATGCATCCAATCCGATACGTGAAGTTTCTTGCTCCAGCGCTTTGGCCAGTCCTTCCATCGCGATCGGCCCCACATCCAATGCGCGGAATGTCCACTCGTGCTCAAATCTACTCACAGGAATCTTGTGAGCCGCTCCGTCATCGCTGTCTTCCTCTCCATCATCAGCTTCCGAGTCGGGCCACAGCGAATGCAACATACTTGCTTTCCCCTCAGTAACGCGAGCATTTGGCAAGCATTGTGCTGTCACCTCTCGGAACGTTCGCCAACCACTTTCGGACGAGTGATTGAGCACGACATGTGCGCGCTCGCCTTCGTACGCGCCCAGCCTTTTTCGATCGAAAAAGTCTACTCCATCAGGTTCCACTAAGGGCTTTAGTCTTGCAGACTTCAGTTCTGATGCCCGTCGTTTTCGACTTTTCTTCCTAGTCTCGTCTTCGTCGTCGACTTCATCGGCTTGTTCTTCTTCTTCGTCCTCATCGTCGTCGTCTTCTTCTTCCACGACGATAGCAGCGCTGAGATCCTGCTCGTCTATGGGGGTCTCACCGACAACCCAATCGTTTGGCAGCAGGAGACGCACGCACTTGCGACTTGCCTTTTGCTGAATCTTCTCCACCGCTGGCACAAGGAGATCCCAGATACCTTTAGAGCTTGCTTTACCCGGTGGAAGATGCCCAGTCGGCTCCTTCTCGCTACCATTGTCGTGAGCTTCGTCTTCTAGAATCCCTTCTATTCGCGTGACCTCCGCATCATCTTCCCGTTGTTCTTCCTCTTCCTCACGTTCCGCGCCACTGCAGATCCCCTTAAGCTGCTTTACCGCATGCTTCGTATGCAGAACTCGGTAAAGACTCATGGCTACCTCACCAACGAAGTAGATTTCGTGAACGATCTCAAGCAGACCATCAATCATCCGCAGCTTCGACTCCAGACACTTCCCCCCGACGACTGCAGTAAGTAACCGAGGTACTTCGCCTTTTGGTCTGCCAGGTAGCTCTGGCTGTAACATTCTGGACCACACTGTGAGCTCCTGGTGAAGCGTTGGTCCCGTTAACGTCGGAGGTGTCAAGAGAGACGCCTCTTCCTTGCAGCCAAATAGAAATACTCCTTCGCATGACTTGGACGGAATCCCATCGAGGATACAAGCACTGATCATACTGGTGAAGATGCTCCGCAGTGCCATGGTCCCCTTTTCACTCAGAGTCTTTCCAGCGAGCTCAAATTTACTAAGATCAAGAGTTGATGGCGGTGGAGTCTCTGGCGGAGGTGCGGACATGGGAGCTGCAGGCGCTCCAGGTGTCCCAGGTTTTCCTTTGGCAGCGACAGAGCCCTTCTTTCCTGCCCCTGCTGCAGGCTTCTGAGGTTCGGATGGAGCTGGCGTCGCCGGTTTCGATGCCAACTCACGTTTTCGAGCGGCTTGTCGGATGAGATCAACTCCAGCCGCGTCTAAATGCTCTAGTAACAAGATTCTCGGGGTGATCGCTGTCTCCTGCTGCTCCGAATCCGTTTGTTCCTCTTTCCCAACAGCTTCATTCTCAAATCCACCAAGCGATACAGACGAGTTCAACAGTAGCTCTTTTCGTCCGAAATCAATCTGCCCCTGCACTTCCTCAACCCCAGAGCAAAATACAACGTCCTTCTGGATCGCACGCTGCATTACCTGAGCAGCGCCCCGGAGAGACAGTTGTGATTCCAAGCGCTGGAGCAATGTCTTCATCACTGCCACTTCTTCTTCCTCACCTTCGTCACTTTCTCGACCCTTGCTTTCCTCTGTCTCCCCACCGGCTTGGCTTGTTGCAGCTGCCTTGGCTCTCAATTCAAGTCGGGCAACATTGCGGAGTAACTTGTGCATCGCTTTTGTCAGAGGCGGCCGACTTAACTCGCTTACCATCACTACTGTGTGGACAAGTGGATTCGTACTCGGTAGCGCATCTAGCACCTTCAACAGCGATTCCGCGGCCTGAGCAACTTTTACGGGAACAAAATTCGGGTGTTGAACCAATTCTTGGGAAAAACGCCATGCCAATTCGATCTTCGGGGAAGCTTCATCGGCCGGTGCGGCAGTTCCTCGGGTTTCCAGCTTTACCAAAGAAAACCACGACGCTAGATCTAAGTCCAGCTGCACCAATAGTACCCCAGAATTGCCAATAATCTCAGGACTCTTAGGCAGAGATGGGCTGCCAGTGCTATCGGTCGTTGAAGAGTCATGAGGTGGTTCGGTGATCGAAGCTGGGGGCTTTATCATCAACTGACTAACTGACAAGTACGACGCCTTGTCACCCAGCCACATCTTCTGATTTCGTCGATGTTTCTGCTCAAACAGCGCTTGATGGTCTTGGTCTCCACCAACAGCCTCGTCGATAGCGCGCATTATCAACTCCCCCACACCCTCAAGTTTAGCTGCTTGTGCACTAGAAGCTGCATTCGTTGCCTTTGCGATCTCGCAGACTGCTGGAGTTTCGCCACACAAGCTCCCAATCCTCTCGTACAAACGCTCCTGCAAGCGCCTACTGCTGTATGGAGCGATGTAGGCCGAGAAGCGCATAGTATCAAAGGCCTCTTGGAGGTTCGGCACCAGCGAGTATATCTCATCTTCTAACGCCTTACGACGAGCAAGTCTCTCGTTCTTACGTGCTTCACGGGGACTTATACGTTTAGATTTTGCAGCATCAATCTCTCCAGTCTCACTTCCTTCTCCATCACCACCATCCTCTGAATTCTCCGCTTCTTCGTTTTCGTCTTCATCTTCGTCGTCATTCTCATCATCCTCTTCAACTTCCTCGATCACCTTTTTTAACTGTTGCGTCAATCGACCTATCTGGGCATTTTGCGCTTCATCAGCCTTTTTGCAAAGCTCTCGGAGTGTTTCCAAACGCCAATTCCACTCCTGAACATGAAGCGCTGGGAGTGAAGCCCTCTTGGTTAGCTCCTGCTGAGCGTCAGCTTCAACCCCCAAATTCGCGTCGTTACTCTGCTCTGATGATACCACGGGAGGTGCATCGTTGGGCCTTTCAGCGGTCTCAGTTCCCTCCTGACTCTCTCCACTCTCTTTATTGAGACTTTCCTCGTCAACTGGTTCTTGGACGGGCAGAAGAGCTAGTAATATTCCTTGAGCACGTTCGTAAAGCTCGTGGCAAGAACGCACCAGATCTGGGCTGAAATATACGTCGCTGAACTCAGTGGTCCCGTTCGCCTCGTAGAACTTGGTGACATCAGTGCATGGCGTCAACTCGGCAAACACGACTGGCTCTGGAGGCCTAACGCTGTCCAGAATTTCATCGACGAGGTTTGCAACGAAAAAGTGACTTTCTCGTTCCTCGACACGGGTGAGCTGCATTTCACGGCGTCTCCAAGCAGCGAAGTTGTCCTCAGCGACGCAACTCAATCGAACTTCAACAGGTAAATCCTCCGAGGTCACAATCTCTTCGCCATCCGGAGTCGCTCCGAAACAAATTCGGGGCTGGGGGTCTGCATCTAGCAGCCACTTTTCCAAGAACACGCCGGCTTGGGACGACTCGAAAGAAAACACAAATTGCTCAGTTTCTCCAGGCAGTAGTGTGCCTCCAAGTTTGGATACCGAAGTAATCGTACACTGCTCCAGCTCCTGTTCTTCCTTGCGAGTGCGGCGTCCGCGTATATGGGCTGTCAGCTCCGCGTGTTCGTCCTCGAATGGAGCGCGCCACCACTGGTAATGAACAATCGTACTTCCATCGTTGGTAAGCGCGAGCGATCGCTGTTCTTGTTCACCTACGGGAGTGTAAAAGCTCAAACGAAGAGGCGGATGGCATGGCTCGGCGTTATAGCTAATGTCATTGCTCTCCGTGTTCGGCACGCCATCTTCATCCGCAACATAGCCGATTCTTAAACTCGGTCCGATAAATTGGTCGCTTGTCGCCACTTTCTTCACCGACTTTGGAGGACTGGCATACGAACGAAGTCGACGACGGCGTGAGGGTTCGTCATCTGCAGAATACGCTCGAATGGACCCTCCATCATCATTATCACTGTTTGCGTCTTCCAATGTGCCGGATGCCCACGCAAACAAATCAACTGTGCCAACAGCGAGGTTACTACTGGCACTTCGCTCCACCTCGTGGGGTTGCAACACCTCGAGCTGCTTACGGAGGCGCCATTTCTTTCGCGCTAGCAGATCCAGGGACCGCTTTTCGAGCTTGGACAATGGTCTTGATGCCTCGTGCTGATTGTCATGATAGTCAAGTGGGCGTCGAACTCGAGGACCAAGTTTTGTGCTCTCGCGGATGGGGCAAAAGAGTCCACTGAAGATGTTCCCCACGGGGACGAACCGTGTGCCCTCATTTCGCAAACTCACGAGCCAGATATCTCCCCCAACCTTGTCACTCAGCGGCCGAGCTTTCTGCAACGCATCATACATTTCACGCTGCTCACGATAAGATGCAGCTCGACTCATCACAAGTTCTTGCGGGGCTTTGCCTAGCCGCCGGGCCGCACGAACTTTGAACGTTTCCCAATCGCGGTTCATCTGGCGCCATTTACGCAGCACATTTTGCTGGCGTTGTTGAGCAACTCGCTCGTGGATCGGCAGTGAGTTGAGCCATTTCCGATGTGCCACCGCCTCCTCTCGGCGCTTCCGCGCATCGTTTTCCAGCTCTTGCTGCATCAACTTCCGAGCGGCGGCGTCTTCCCCGGTTGCTTCAGCACTACCATCGATTCCGTCTAGCTGAATTCGACTCATCGTCTTGCGCTTCATGGACGCCATCATGTGCTGCGGTGATGTGGCTGCCGCACGCAGCTCGGATGCACTGGGGTGTCCACGCTGCTCAGCTAAGAAGCGGTCGAAGCGTTCGACATCCTCCTCGCCACCGAGTGCTGCATATGAAGCCAGCTTTCCGGATCGAGCGTCTCGACTGTGGTGCTGGTTCACGACGGCTGACGGGCCCTCTCCACGAGTTGCAGCAGGCACGACCTTAGCTGGCTCATCAGGAATCGCTCGTGCAACGATAATCGTGCGCGTCTTGCGGCCATTTGGAGCCCCCGAGCTGTTGGCTGTGGATGGCTTCCCACCGGACGAAGCGAGGCTCGACTTGGACGCGGACTCGTTCATCTTTCTGCTCCTTCGACTTGTCCGAGCCCGACGGGCACAAAGCGTCACTAGGCGCCGGTTGACAAACGTCGCGGATCTTTATGGCTTGGCCAGAAGGAGGCAAGCGCCTGCCGCTTTGGGATGCGATCTACAATGGAGACACCGTGGCAGCTCAGAAGCTGCTCGTGACGGCAGCAGGTGCAGCGCAGGTTAATACCCCACACGGAGTACGTAGCCTTGAAGGTGCAGTCTTTGCGCAGAAAACCTCAACACTGTCGTAGCTTTGGCAGCAGACGAGTGTACACGTTGCAGTGCATCACGGCCACGCCAAGCTCCTGAAGCATTTACTCTTCACTGGTGCCGATGTCAACGCTCGGACGGTATAATATACATCCATAGCAGACACTTGCCAGGACTGAACTAAACAGCACGCACACAGATTAACGGCACGACACCGCTGCACGTCGCCGTCGAGATCAACCGCCGGGATATCGTGCAAGACCTGCTGCTCGCAGGCGCCAACCCGCTACTCCGCAATGTAAAGTAAAGTCCCCGTCACCCTCGTCAGTCCTATTCACCCTACAAGACTCACGCCTCGCTGCTCTCAGTTCACAGGCCAAACCCCTCTCCAGCTCGCCACGAGCCGCGGGTTGAAGCCCATCGCCATGCTACTCCGCCAAGGCGTCGACAGCCAGCAGACCTTGGCCAGCCTTGAAGCTGCAGCTCACCAAAATGCGAAACGCAGCAAACCTTCCCAGCGCGGCTAGAAGCACCCACCCACACATAATCCTAAACTCGTACCCTGTCTGCACTTGGAAGCCTGGTTAGCATTGCATTGCAGCCTTGTATTGTGCTCATACATGTTGAGTCGAGTAGTTCGCTATTTGTGTTTGTGTGTCTCTGTTGTCCGGCATCGATCGATCGCTCACCTCCGGCCCCTTAGTAGCGTCTCGTCCTCTAGAAGAGCGGGTCGTCCTTCATTGGGGCGCTACCGCCCTTGAGCGACTCGGGCGCCGTGAACATCCTGTCCACACTGGAGAGGTCGAAGCTCTCGAGCTCCTCTCCGTCCGGGTCCACGGCCGGGAACACGCCCGTGGTGGGGCTGCGCTTCTCGACGCCGAAGACCGGCGGGTTCATGACGCTCACGGCGTGCAGCTCGTCGCTCGTGGCCTCGATCTCCACGGCCTCGGCGGCGTTGAGCGCCACGAGCGAGCCCTCACTCACGTCCTGCGTCTGGCCCTTGCCCACGTCCAGCAGCCGCACGCGGCCGCTGCCGCGCGTCACCAGCAGCGCGTACACGTGGTTCTGGAACTCGAGACGCACGGGCGCGCCCTTCTTGAGCACTTCCTGCTGCAGAGAGAAGCCGCACTCGTCGTTGCGCACCAGGTAGCGCCTGCCACGGACGGACAACGGGCGTCAGTGGGCAACCATCACTCTTGTGTTTCCTTCCGGCAGACGAAGACACTGGGGACGTACCGCGTCTCGAGGGCGCCGTCGTCGCTCGTGATCACGCGGCGGCTCTGCTGCACGTCCTCCAGCGAGCGCACGAGGAAGCTGGAGGGCGCGGAGGCGTGTAGTGCGCGCGACAGCGGGCGCGAGGCCTTCGGGGCCAGGGTAGGTAGCCGCAGCATCATGGCGAGAGAGCAGCAGGCAAGAAGAAGATTAATGCGCTGCGATCCACTTGCAGTCGGAAGAGGAGTGATGGTCGTTTGCGCTACTGTTCCGTTTTCATGGTACGTTTGGACATCTTGTATAATTTGTGTATCCTGTAGGATTCAATGCACATGCAGGTTGAGTTCACGAGCCTCTCAGAACGTATCGCCATATTGAAACGCAGTGACTTTTCCGACCTTCTCTTTGACAGTATCAGAACGCTCTGCGAAAATAAACCGCCTCGAGGAACAATGGCCCGCGCCAAGACGACGACGCTAGACGGCTCGACGATGGGCGGCGCGGGGCACGCGGCCCCTCCCGCTGCTGCACGCGCGCACGGCCGCCACCTGGCGTGCTTCCGCCCGAAGCGCCGCTTTCGGCTGGCCAAGGCGGCGTCGCTCCAGGAGCCGCTGGAGGACGTCGCAGCCGGGCGTCTTGACCTGGCGTGCCACTGCGAGCGCCAGGTGCTGCAGTGCCTCGCGGACGCGCAGGACCAGTCGGACGCCGCGCTGGCCACGGCCGAGGACCTGTACAGGTACCGCCTGCGCAAGTGGGGCGAGCGCTTCGCCGCGCGCGACTGGGCGCAGGAGCGCGTGTGCCAAAAGTGGAAGGAGAACCAGAAGCGCTTCACGCAACAGGCGCCAGACGACGCCAGCAACACGAAGAAGGCACCGGCGGGCAAGAGCGTCAAGATGGCCTTCTCCACCTTCGCGACGGCGGCGGAGCTCATGCTGCACTCGCGCCAATTCGATGCGCTGCTGAAGGCCGGCGTGTCGCCGCAGCTGCGCGGCCAAGTCTGGTGGATGTGCAGCGGCGCCGCAGAGCTCCGCCGCGCGGCCAAGGAGTCGTACCCGGCGCTGCTGCATCGGCTGCACACGCTCAGCAAGTGCGCGGAGATGGACATCGAGAAGGACCTGCCGCGGACCTTCCCGCTCTCGCTGCGCAGCTCGATGCGCCAGTCCCAGGAGCTGTCGGAAGATGGCGACCACTTCGGAGAACTACGCCGCGTGCTGCAGGCTTATTCACTACGCAACCCGACGGTCGGATACTGCCAGAGCATGAACTTCCTTGCTGCAGTACTGCTGCAGCAGATGGGGGAGGAGGAAGCGTTCTGGGTGCTGGCATCCATCGTGGAGGAGCTGACGCCGCAGTACCACACGCGCACGATGACGGGAAGTCGTGCTGACCAGCGTGTCTTCTCAGATTTGGTGACGCAGAAGCTGCCCGTGCTGGCCAACCACCTGCAAACGCTGGGCGTGGACTTTGAGCCGTTCACGCTCAAGTGGTTCCTGTGCCTCTTCCTGAACACGTTGCCGTTCGAGCCGGTGATGCGGATTTGGGACGTGTTCTTCTGTGAAGGCAGCCACGTGCTGCTTCGAGTGGGACTCGTGCTTCTCAAGCTGAACCAGCCCCGCATCATGGCGTGTGATGACGCGTTGGATGTGTACGAGATGTTCAAGGTTTCGCACGAGACGCTGCAGGAACTCACGGCACCTTATCGATCAGGCCTACTGAATCGGGACGAGTGCGTGTGTGATACGTTGATGAGGCTGACGATGGACAAGTCCTTCCTGGGAACGATTCCGTTCGATTCACTCCACGAGTTGCGTCAATACTACCAGGGAGAGATTGAAGCGGAACTGCAGGAGGCTGAGGAGCGACGCCTCGAGCGGCAACGCAGTGCCGAGTCGAAGCGTCGAGGAAGTGAAGCGAACAATAGGTGTAGCTCGCCTGGTGACAGCGAAGATCGCGCCCTGATGATGGAGTACGATTTCGTTGATGACTACGCGTGCAGTTCCGGCTCCGAGGGCTCCCCGGCGCGTCAGATCCGATTCATGGATCTTTACGACAGCGACGACTCCACGGGCGACTACTTTGTGGACGTCATGTACGGTTTCTCCCTCGGACATCACAGCCGCTAAGCGAGAGAGCGTCGGGAGAGAAGGAAGAGGTATCTATTTTATTTGTTTCCAAAGCGAGTGCTTGCTAAGGACATTGGACCAAACATGATGCACGATCAAGCAACGCTCGCTCGCTGTTACTACATTCGACTCGCTTTGCGAGTATTCTTGCTATTGCTGTCCTATCTAATACACTACATGTATCTACGGCATCTTCGGGTGCAGCGCGTTGTACAGGAAGTCTACCGCCTGTGTGTACGCAGAGGGGTCACGAGCATCGTAGTGCTCGCCCTCAACGCGCAGGACCTTGGACGGGCCAGCATACTTGCTGGCAAGTTCTTCGCTCTGCTCCTTGGACACGTAGCGATCGTTGTTTGCAGCGACGAACAGCGCGGGGGCATAGCAGAGCTCCACGAAGTCAACGGGGCGCAGCAGTTCGATGTCCACCTCCGTGCGCTTCCTGACGCTCTTGTTGATAGCCGTCACAGCCACCTTCATCACTGCCTTGGGCACGGGGAATCCCTCCTGCTGCATTTCCCGCAGCAGCCCCTCGTTCACCTCCTTCATGGACGCGTAACCGCTGTCGAGCACTACAGCGCGGATAGGCTTGAGCAGCTTGGGGCCTTGCCCCATTCGCAGCACGTGCGGCAGCGTCTGCAGCTTGGCCTGCATCTTCTTGTTGGCAGCTCCCGCCGCGCGACTAGCGAGGTTGGTCACGACCGGGAAGGCGCCCATGCTGTGCGCGTAGAGGCAAATGTCCGACACGGAGTCGTCCTTCTCCACGCTCTGCAGCACGGCCAGCAGGTCCACGGACTCGTTCCAGCCCATGGTCACGTACACGCCGTCCGACAGGCCCGAGCCGCAGCAGTCGAAGGCCAGCACGGAGAAGCCGCGCTTGAGCGCCGCGTCGCGCACGCGCAGAGCGTCCAGCCTCGAGCCGACGTTGGAGTGCAGGTAGATCAGGCAGGGCGTAACGGCCGGCGTGCTGCTGCCCCGCGCGAAGAGCTGCCAGTGCGAGCAGCACACGCGCAGGCCGCGGTCGTTCACCAGGTCGAAGTCTCTGCGTCTGGCCTCCGTCACGTCGTCCTGCGTCGGGTCCACGGAGAGCTCCGCCACCTGGAAGCGCTCGGGCCCGAGCTCGTGCACGCTGTAGCGCGCGCGCTTGGGACGGATCACGAGCTGCACCACGTCGCGGTAGCCCTTGCCTACCAGCTGCTTGACGCTGGCATCGCCCGTGCCGCCGAGGCGCTTGAGCTCCGCCTCCAGCTCGCCCTCGGCGAAGATTTCCATCTCGCTAGACACACCGTTGCCCATGGTCGTCGTCCTTATAGGTAGTGCTGGTGTCGTGAGGCAGCGGAAGTGCGAATGACCAGCCAGACAGACGTTGATACAGACCACGATGGGAGGGAGGCTGGCTTGACCCAAGTGGGACCCCACCAGACCAGATGACGGTCTACGCTGCAAGAGACTTGCGTAAACTATGCCACGCTGATTCCGACGTGACATCACCGGTTCACGTGTTGCAGTTTGAACGCTTTTTAATCGTTTCCGCGCGAGATGTTTCAAAACGACTTGCATGTGTCCATGGCACCACGGTCTCACAAGGCGCTTTGCCGGTCGAGACATTGATGGGCTACTGGCGCAGGACCATAAGGCTATCAGTGTCAAGCCAAGAAGAGGAATTGGTGGTACGATGGCATAAGTGAGTGCACGGTCAGTTCGTTGGTCAAACTCATAAGTCTTACAGTCGTTCATGTCCATTGCTGTGCGTGTACCTCCAACCCTTATCGGTTGCTCTCGATGGCAGCCAAGCCACTCATCATCGCGTCGGTATTGACACTAGGATACTCGATCGGAGCTGGAGCAGCAGCTCCAGTAGATGCTGCGTCTGTTGTTTGAGGTCGAACTGCGTCTCTTTGAGGTGTTTCCAGTGGCGGGGGCTCGATCGGGTCTGGACTGTCACGGTTAGGAGTGTCCGGAGCTGTGCTGCGTGCTATCTACTCATCGAATCGTCGATAGGGCCTCAGTACAGAACCGATTCAACAAGTAAAGTAAACCAACAACTTACCCGCGTGTAGATGTACGTATCTACTGGGCGCACGACCAGACCAATATTGATCACGATCACTAGGGTGGTGACCTCCGCGAGCAATGTGTTTACCCAGACATACCGCCAGAATCCTGGCGGAGTGACCACCAAGAGCTGAATGGCACAGCCAGCGTTAGAAAATGAAACCCACGCCAACCCCAGCAACAAATCCTTACATTCAAAAGTAGCAAGAATGTAGGCATCAACAGGTAGCCGAGGAAAACAAACCGAAAGCGCCTATCATAAATAAACCATAAAGTCAGCCCGGTTGCTGCAATTGGAGTGAGTGCGAACCACACCGTCCATACTGAAATTGCTCGAGCTTCATGTACGTGAGAGGCGTCACGAAGCAGTTCCATCTCTCGTAATTGACTGCCAGCTTTAGCTGCGCGATAGTGAAGTTCAGCGCGACGATCACGCCCAGCATCATCATGGACTGCAGAGCGTACTCCGACAGCACGAATCCGCGGCATTGCGGCGCGTCGGTAGGACGACACGTCGCCTTATTGACTGATACGACAAGATATATCACCGCTAGCAGTAGCAGTGACAACGCTTCTCGTCGTGAAAGCCGAGCTCGGGTGATCGACCATCCTAGCGAGCCGAGGACGGATACACCCAGCAGTGCCGCACTGGTAGCGCTTTCTCCAACATCCTGTGCAATATCCAAAGTCGTGTTTATCTTCCCGTGCGAGCTACGCGCACTGTAGAACGCGAGTTTCAGTGCCACAGAAAGCGCTTTCGCTTGTAGTGCCGCTTGGAACACATAGCAGATTTTCTGCACGAAGAGAAACAAGTGAGCGTGCTCAATAATTGTTTTCAGATTTCAAAAACAAACAATCAATTTCCTTACTGGAACCGTGCGACGCCGAACGTAGCATTCCAAGATCCAAAGCACCATTGCAGCGAGATACACTCCAAACAGCACTGCAAAACACCAATATTATGATACTTCAAATATCCAAAAAAAAAATACTTAAGTAACATGTTTAAAGTTAACACTGCACCTTTATAGAGCGCTCGCAGCCCAAGCTCTTGAATCCCCAAATGTTCCGATAACTTGCCGTCGTAACCTAGATTCACCATGCTTGCGCGGCCCTGACGCCGAACACACACACAAAAAACAGCTTAGCGTACAACTTCCACCGGTAGACAATTTATCCTTCCGTACCGTGACGTGCACTGATGCGTCGCCACAGACCTGGGCCTGCAATGTATATTGACTCGGCTTGCGGACATGGAATGACACCGACCAAGGCCGTGCAGCTAGTGGGTCAGGTGGCGGAACAGTGAAGCGCATTGCTGCCGGGTAGTGACACAGCACGTAGTTGCTTCGAATGTGGACCTCCCGTAGCTTGAGTACCGCGTACGCGCGCCATTGGTCGTTGTCGTACAACGTGAACACTACAGGAACCTCTGTCTCATTGTTAGCTCCAGCAACGTGGAGTTCTGTCACCTGCAGCTCCACCCTTGCACCCCGCTCCATGCCGAAACCAGCGATAACGGACTGCGTGTTCCAGCGGAGTCGAGGCCCGCCCACAGTTGTCTGGCCAGCAAGAAGTGACTCTGGGTCCTCATACTCGAACCGCAAGTCGAACGCAGTTTCAATGCCGTCCCCGCCCCACCAGAGCGCAGCAAAGCACACCACAGCCAGCACCCAATGCCGCATTCCTCGCAGGAAGATGATACTTTTCGCAAATGTAGCCATCTTCCGCGAAACGACGCAGAGTCTGATTCGCCAAAATACTCAACCCAAACAGCCTCGGATTGGTCAAAACCTCACCTCAATTGAACTGGACGGATTTTTGGCGCATAATCCCCATAACGGCAGCTGCAGGCATGGCGTCGTGCCCTACATGCCGCGCCGCCGCCGCCCCGGGCGCGCGCGCCTGCTCCCAGTGCGGCGCGCGCTTGTCCAGATCCTCCTCGTCCGTGCTGGCCACGCGCGCGGTGGGCAGCGCGTCCACCTCGGCCGGCATCAGCCGACGCAACGTGCCCAAGGAGCGCGCCAAGAAGAAGAAGCCCAAGGACAAGGACAAACCCAATGACAAGGACAAGGACAAACCCAGAGAGGTGGAAGTGCCGCCCGCGGCGTCGGGGGACCAGGCCGCGGCCATCTACAAGCGCATGCTGGCGGCCGTGCGCGGCGCCAACAAAGACCACGACGAGGTGGTGGCGGCCTTCAAGGCGGACTGCAAGCAGTACGGCCAGGGCGAGCTGCGCGCGCGGGTGTTCTACGAGCGCCTGGGCGTCTACTTCGGCAGCGAGCTCATGCTGGAGCACATGCTGCCGCAGCTGGCCAGGCTCATCCCGGACGACAAGAAGAGGAAGAAGTTAGTTAAAGTTCACGTTAAACACAAGCGCGCGGGTGGGTCCAATGCGGTCGTCACAGTGGGGGCTAGAGCCTCCACCCACCCACGACGACCTGTGTCCACTTCGGGGAGGGTGGAGAACCCGCCGCTGCCGGTTTCAATGAGACCGTCCGGAGACAGGAGACCGTACTCGGCGTCGGAGCTCATTCGACGAGACAGCATCGAGAGCGACACGTCCAGCAACAACAGCGGAGAGATGGTCCCAGCGGCATCGGCCTCGAGACTCGCCATGACGCGACATGCAGACACCCCCAAGTGCGCCATCTGCAGCGAGGTGTTCGATATCAAGCGGCGCAGACACCACTGCAGGAAGTGCGGCGCCAGCGTCTGCCACTCGTGCAGTCCAGCAAGGATGCTGATCTCGCCTGACCAGGTGGCCAGCGAGAGCATGAAGAAGAAGTACGACCCAGCACACCCGCAGCGCGTGTGCACGATCTGCGCGCCGATCTTGCAGTGCTTCCAGGACGGACTCAACTCGCAGTACGCGAACTGCCACAAGGAGAACCCGCACGAAGCCAAGACGCGACTGCATCTGCCGTACAGCCGATCACTGGAGAGCGCGTGTCGCTCGGCTGCCGACATCCTCGGCAACTTTTTCCGACCGGACTTTGGGGCTGACAGCGACCGCTACATCCCCGTGAATTTCCTCAAGCGAGCCCAAGGCATTGCGTTCCTGACGGTTATCAAGGCAGGGTTGCTTATCACAGCCAAGATGGGGACAGGTATTGTGATCGCCAAGCTGGACGATGGCTCGTGGTCGGCGCCGTCTGCCATTGGCACGGCAGGTATAGGCGGTGGACTCGAGGGAGGTGGCGAGCTTATCGAGTTCATGATCATCATGGGCTCCAAGAAAGCCGTCAAGGTTTTCCACCGTACTCAGGTGAACGTTGGTGGCGGGTTGAGCGTGGCTGTCGGACCCTACGGACGTGATGCAGTCGCCCAAGCTGCTGCTAGCCGAGGAGGATTCAACGCCAATTACAGCTACTCTCACAGTCGTGGCCTTTTCGCCGGTATCTCGCTCCACGGTGCTGTCATCACGGCCCGAACAGAGATGAACAGCAACTTCTACGGCCAGAAGCTTACGCCAGAGGAAATTTTGAGTGGAGCGGTCCCGCATCCGCGCGCTGCCCAGTGTTTATACGACGCCATTGACCAGGCCATGGACGGGATCGCTCAATTCGAGGCTTCTGGGGGATCCCAACGGCGCCCATCGACGGCAACTGCTCCCCAAGGACGATGCAGTTCATGCCGATGCGACCAGTTCGTCGCCAAAGCTTTCTCCAAGAAGTGCAAGACTTGCTCGCACATACACAACCCCGCCACTTAGAGCAGGGTACCGATACCTGCTGCAGGCAGGCCATGGTGCCCGACGGGGCGGAACGCACAATTTTTGACTAAATAAATATCTATGCTCTTGTTGCAGGCATCTTCCTAGTGGCGTTCCGAAGTCAAAGTTCTGGCCGAGGGCCAAGTGCTGTCCCCAAGTATAGGCTTGTCCCCGTTACGTTTTTTTTTGCTGGGGCAGCGCAGTCAGTCTCCATCGGGGTCGTCGTCAAGATAAATGGTTGCTCGCTCCGGAACTCTGCCTAGAGGCGTGTGGTCTCCCGAAGCCAACGCAGCGCGCCAAGTTCCTGTGGATAACGATGCCGTGACGAAAGCAATCGCTGCGTTGCCGCCTGCCCACGTTTTCCGTCGAGACTTGCTGGCGTATTGTACGCTGCGCAACTTGATACCTCACCCACAACTCCTTCCGTTGCATCCTGATGAAGAGGAACGTCTAGGTGCCGCGTCCAGCGAGGCTTCGTCCAGCAGCAACATCTACGATGTGAGTGAGGTGGAGCAGATCTCGATCAAGCACTGGCAGCTTGATGATGGGAACTGCCGCGGCCTGTGCTACGCCCTCCCGCTCTCAACGAAGGTTCGCTCGGTCTGGTACGCTAGTGAATCTATACACTGCCTGGTTGAGATTGATCATCTGACTTGTAGTGTTGGTATGGCGACAGTCTCTTTAATGTAGGGTTAAGCAAGGAGCAGCTAGGACTACTGTGCTCGACGATTCCGAAAACACACGTGACTGCTCTACAGTTGGAATGGAATCCTGTTAACGTTGCACCCACCGAGGAGACTAATCTTGCAGATCCTGTATCTAACTCAAGTCCTCCTCAACCTGCAGCTACTCGACCCCCCTCAGCCCCAAGAACAGCTTTTAGACCGCCATCAGCTGGAGTGACAAGTAAACAGCACCACGGCACCCCACACGCTGGCGACCAGGAGAAAGAGTTGAGTGAGGCTCAAAAGCGTGAGCTGAGTATGCAGCAAGAGCTACAAGCAGGAGGAGAGGAGGACGCGTCGGAGATATTCGCCCAGCTGCTGACCGAGGGATCTGCTCTGGTGTTCCTGTCGCTGCGAGCTAATGGTATCACCTCACGCGGAGCATTGGCGCTTGCAAAAGCCGTCCGGAACAACAAGACACTCGAAGCTCTGAACCTGTTCCAAAATTCGATTGGAGATGCTGGAGCACGTGCCTTCGCGCATGCTCTACCGTTCAATACGACGCTCAAGACGCTTTCCCTCGCTAACAACAAGATCTCCGGATGGGGGTAAGTTCATGATGAAAGGACCATCGCATTGACTCTTCTTGCCTAACTGTTTTTTCTTGCTTAGAGCGAAGTTTCTCGTGGACGGGCTGACAAAGTACGCAGCTCCGCCGGAACTCCTGTCCGAACTAGACGCCGCAGAGAGTCAAATTCAAGCTCAGGTACATGATAGTTGATCTCACATTGCTTACTTCATGAAGCTAATTTCCTCGTTTTCTGACAGATGGACCAAGCCAAGAAGGCCAAGAAGAAAATCGATCGCGCGACGGTCATCGCCCAGCTTGGATTGCCCACGCTAGAAACTATCGATGGGGTACAGTTCGCACCCGGAAATTCCACACTCGAGGAGCTTCTGCTCAGTGGCAACGTGCAGCTAGGCCCGGATGATATCGAGACGCTGAGCGAGGCGCTTGACAACTTCCAACCAAAGCTTCAGGCCCATCTGCGTTGTATCAAACTACAGCGGCTACCGAGGCTGCATGTCCCCAAAACTCATGAACCGCAGCACGTCTCCGAGTTTATCCTACTGTAAACTAGGACATCCAGCCGAATGAATACAAGGTACATGTAAATGTACGCACTCTTCTTGATGCTTGTGCTTCAACTTTGTATCTCATTCCTAGATAAAAATGATGCAAATGATCTGCTACTGTACAGTGATGGCCTCCCCATCCTGGAAATCCTCTGAGAAGGGACCATTTTTTTCATTTCATTTCAAGGTTGAGGTTAGATTGAGTTCCTTTATCCTAACTAAGATAACGACCGACGCATCCACCGTCAACACCGAGCTCATATCTCCTGATGCCCCGCCGAATAGTTGAAACAATCTACTCGACTTCCGTCGATTTGGTACCGCGGACAGCGAACGCGGTCCCGCTGCTCCTTCAGCAGCGCCTGCCCTCCGAAGCTTGAGTTCTCCACTGCATTTTCCTGGGCCGACTTGCGTTCCTTCTTCTCAATGTGTTGCAGGCCACCAGCGAGCGCCTCAGCAGCGCTTTATGCGGCGACGTGTCGTCACCTTCCCCGAGTCAGCCGTATCTGGGTCTCTGCCACTGCGATTTTCTTCGCCCCGCCGCGCCATGAGTGCACCATGAGAGGACCACCCCGTCGCAGCCAGTCCATGTAGCGCAGGCCACGTTGACTGACAGCATGCTCCCGCGCGTCACTACGAGTGCTGTGGAGGGTGTGCGCACGTTGGAGTGCCGCACACCCGACGATCTGGTGACCTGCCAGTATCGCACGCAACCTTTGTAGGCTATGACTGCAGTTTGAGCGAAAGTTTCCGGGCACCCCGCTCAGTGCACGCTTGGATACTCCAGACTAAGGCACGATGACCCACGTTCCACCCGTAGTGGCCGCCGTCGTCGCTCTGATGCTGTTTGCGGCGGCCAACGCCGATCAAGATCCAATCCCTTCTCTGACTGGCGCTCCATCACTGAAACTCCATGTTACACTCAAGCACAAGTCCTCGAGGATTCACGGTCAGTCCGAGTTCGACGTCTTCGCCAAGCCTATCGTGTCGAAGGACGGTTCCAGAGTGCTGTACGACGGATATTCGACGTTTATCGACGAGGGTGCTGCCTATACGTACTTGTTTGTGAATGGAGCGGGCTACGTAATGACCAACGACACAGCTAAGCTTACCAACTCGGAAACAGTTCGGTGCATCCCTCCGAGCGCGTTGCCATTCCACACCATCCGCCCAGCGCTGAATGAACTCGTAGCAATTCCCAGCGCATCAATAGGCGACGAATCTATCGAGTGCGGGAGTGGAAGACTGTTCAAGACGACATTCTCTGGCGCTCGCGTCGCAGTGTGCGGCTTGGGATCTTCGGGCCCCACCGCTTACAGCAGCGACTTCACCATCCAAGTGAAGTACCTCAATAACCTCTCCGCACCAGCGTTGAATCGGACGATTTTGACTTGTCCTACTGAAGCGAATTCTATCGTTATGACACCGACTGCCGCAGCGTTGCTTACTGGCAATGCTGTTCCGCCTACCAGCTCGAGGAATCTCAAGATCACAGAGCACATGGCAATGGAGGCATCGACATGCAAGTGCAAGTCGAAGCCTCGACCGTGCGTCTTCTATCACGGAATTGGCAACTACCACGAAATGGAAGAGCTGCAAGATACTCCTAAGAACACCAGCGGTAGAATGGGGAAAATGAACGACCACGCGCCGTGCTGCACCACGGTCAAGTACGCCGTCCTGAACACGATGGACTACAGCTGGACGAGCGACTCGCTGCAGCAGAAATTCTGCGATCGCGCCCTCAGATTGAGCGAAACCAGCGACGCGGAGTCGGGGATTATCGAAGACACGGTGGTCGTGACCCACTCGATGGCTGGACTCGTGATGTCGATGGCTCTTGCAACGGGCAAGTGCAGCTTCGGGGAAGGCTCGTCGTGGGTTGCTATCAGCTCTCCAATGACGGGGACCATGGCTGCCGACTACTTTCAGGACTTCTGCAACGACGAGATCAGTGACTTTGCAACGGAATTGCTGGACGCCATTGGCCAATGTCCGATGCCAGTTTCTAGACGATCGCTGATGTATGAGAACGGGAAGTACGCGACCAAGAAGTTGAGTGCGGCGTATGCTGCTGCTCAGGAAGCATACAGAGGGAATGTCAGTGCTGCGATGTGCAGTGACAGCTACGTGGGCCTCTTTTCCGTGTACCGGCCGATCATGACCGCGACCGGGAAGATTGTTCCACACAAGTCTTCAGAAAACGACGGCTTGGTGGAGTATCAGAGCTGCGCGAGGGGGATTAAGACTAAAGGTTTCGGCAATACTTACAAGGATACGTTCTATGCAGCGAAGTTGAACCATGCCGACACGGTGTTCTTGATCGGCGACGGACTGTTTGGGGATTCGAGGAAGCCGGTGAAGTGGACTCGAAGCAAAACTTGTATTGTGGAAACCGATTAAATTGCCCGAGCGGATTAGCTGATAAAGCAGCGTTCATGAGAGATTTGTCTGGTACTAAATCGGGAATCCTTATGATTTCATATGGCATTGGTAAGGGTATAAATCGGTGTAAGGTTAATAAAATGGGGGTTGCCTCATTACCCGCCAGAAATACGACGAGCGACCACTTACCGCCACGAGCTGAGTGATTCGCGTACCGGTACCTACTAACGAGAAATAGCATCGCGTGTATTAAATACGCTTCTGTGAGCTTCGATGTGTACTGCTATCTATTTATCAAGTTCTGAAGTCATGTATTTGCGCTGTCATTTCTCGTCAGCATTAGCGTTTGTCGGTTTTACTTTAAATCGGCCGCCGAATGCCGTGTGGGTGTCGGACATTCGGGCTGATTAGCATGCAAATCAGCCTTCCCGGGCTTTGTAAGCCGTGGAGCGGCTAAATCAGCTTGCCACATGGCGTTGTAGGCACAACTGACCTCTCTGTCAAATCAGAGTACAAATCTTAGTCTGTCGATCTAATTAGGAGGTCGGATTTAGCAAATCAGACCCGATTAAGCTTAATCATCTGCTTAATCAACCGATTTATATCCCAATTAGACAATCTAATCGGTTTCCACAATATATTGATTACGGCCAGAAAATAGGGAAGCAAGTGCAAGAATAAGAAGAAAACATCATGCCAATATCCAGAATGAAAGTGTATATAATAATACATGCAACGCCTACGAGCTGAACCGCGTGTGCTATGTACTGCTTATCCCATGAAAACAACGAGTGCGAAATAAAAAATCGGATTTTTTATGAAGCAAACATATTCGTGAAGTAATATATTATGTTTTGTTCCTACACTTACAGATACTGTAGCGAAGCAGTATTATACAGTGCGTGCTATCCCTTCCACGAGCAATCGAAAATATGCGGAGTTCCAGCCACAGTAGTCGACAGTAATCATCGATCGATTGAACACTCAGGAGTGTACGGTCACGAGTGTCAAACTGCGATTCATGGCAAGTTGACGATAAGCGTTGTCGGCCAGCGCCTTAAAGTGTGGTGATCTGAAAAGTGGTACAGTATGTCACCGAAACCGAAACTGAGAATGCGTTGGCTGATTGAAAACAGGAGAGGCAAAGCGCAGTGATCACCACATGCCGCTCAAGACCAAGTGCCAAAACCATAACAATAGTGGCTTGTTCAACAAGTGCGTAAACGCCATACATCGGGACTAAAGAAGCGCCCAGATGTAAAGTCCACCTCGTATGGTCGTCAAAGCACATCCTCAAGACGACGCTGCACAAACCAACACCACAATCTCACTTTTGCTTTTCCAGCCCGACGAAAGGAAGGAAGCTCCTCGGTCCAGACATGAAGGGCGTATTTGTTGTCGGGGCTCTTGCTTTGGTTTCGCTGCTGGGCGTCACGGCCGACCAAAACCAAGCTTCAACTTCGCTACCTTCTGTCAGAATCCGCACTTCGGCCAAGCGCAAGTCTACGGCCACCCACGGACAGTCCGAGTTCGACACGTTCGCCCTCCCAGTGCTGTCGAGCGACAAGTCCACCGTGCTGTACGATGGCTACACCACGTTCGTCGAGAATGGCGTGGAGTTTACCTACTCGCTCATCAACGGCGCGTGGTATTTGGAGACGAAAGGCTCCGGTGCTACCGGAGAGCAGTCGGCCCGGTGTCTGTCGTCAGGCCCCGTACCAGTCAACGCTCTCATGCAGTCGGTGAACGACGCGACTCCGATCTCGAGTGCGTCAATTGGTGACGACAACATCAAGTGTACCGACGGCAAGCAGCTCCAGACTTCGTTCGATGGCACAGACTACGCTCTTTGTGTGTCGGGGACGTCCGGTTTTACCGCTTACAGCAGCGACTTGAAGGTTGAAGTGGAGTATTTGAACACCCCCGTGAAGGTGCCCTCGCCGACTTTGAGTGACACGGCGAAGTCTTGCCCTAAAGTGGAGAAGCCGGTCCCCGTGGCATCGACAGCTCCCAAGACAAGAAGTTTGGAGCAAGCGTCGCACATGGCGATGGCTGCGTCGACGTGTGGATGCAAGTCGAAGCCCCGGCCGTGTATTTTATTCCACGGCTTGGGCAACAAACGTGAGGAACCGCTGCTGCAGGACACGCCCAAGCTGGTGTCGGGGAAGCTCGGCAGCATTAGCGGTCACGCTCCTTGCTGCTCGTCCATCAAGTACGCCGTGCTGAATACTGACGCCTTTGGCTGGACGAACGATGCGCTGCAGCAGAAGTACTGCTCGCACTCGCTTTCTATGAGTAAAACCAGCAACGTGAGCTCCAAGACGATCGACGACACGATCATTGTGACGCATTCAATGGCTGGACTGGTCATGGCTGGCGCGCTTTCAACGGGAAAATGCAAGTTCGGAGCTGGGACCTCGTGGGTGGCGCTGAGTCCTCCGATGAAGGGCAGTATGGCTTCGGACTACCTTCAGAACTTTTGCACCGGAAAGTTTACTGGGATCGCGAGTAAATTACTGGAACTTCTTGGAGAATGCCCGACGTCCAAGTCTCGTCTTACGACCTTCTACCAGAACGACAAGCTGAGTCCACCGGCGTTGAACGCGGCGTACGCTGCGGCCCAGAAAGCATACGCCGGCAACGTCAGTGCCGCAATGTGCAGTGACGACTACGCCGGACTGTACTCCGAGTACCAGGCTGTGAGTATTCTAGCAGGAAAGCTGATCCCGCACAAGTCGTCCAAGAATGACGGACTCGTCGAGTTCCAGAGCTGCCAGGTCGGCCTCGATGCAGCCAAGTTTGGCTCCACCTACACGAGCAAGTTCTACAAGCCCACACTGAACCATGCAGACACGGCGTTCCTGAATGGCGATGGACACTTCGGAGACGCCCGGAAGCCCGTCAAATGGTTTGAATGTCTGCTGTAAACTGGCTGAAGTGGCGACAGCACATCGGGAAGCCCCTGGAGTGAATGATACAAGCAGGAAACTTACCAATAGACGAAATTTGTGTCCATACTTTTATTTCCCATTTCCAATACATACATCTCCTGCATTTGTGATAAGGTCATGCTCTTTTGGTAGGGGGTTGTGATACGAATCTATCACAGTTGCCGTGAATGACCTGTTGATCCGTGACACTTTGACTCGGCTTGAGTATGGTGCGATATAAATGAGGTAGATTTACGGCAACTCGAAAATGGCGATAAACCAAAAGACCACGCACGACGAGAACGATGATGCAGACGGCGTGAGCTCCGTGAACGGGGCCTTTGTGGCGGCCATCAAGACATCGTCGGCGAGGCGAGGGCGGCGACGTGCACCAAGAGCGGCGCCGCACCAACGGTGCGGGTAGTGGCTGCAGCTGCCTGCCAATTCCTCTGCACTGCTCATATCGGACGACCCCATCACGCTGTCGGTCGGTTCGGCCGTGCCCGCGGACTGCGATCTATGCGAGGGCAACCCCGTGCAGATCGACCAGGCCGCGCTAACCGGTGAGTCCTTCCCGGTGACCATGGCCACGGCAACAACGCCAAGATGGGCCCCACGGTCGTACGCGGCAAGGTGAAGGCTGTGGTATCGGCCAACGCCGGCCCGACCTTCTTCTGCGAGACGTTGGTAAGAACCTTGAGGAAGAAGGCGGCGGGCGGTGCGGACTCATACGAAGCTGTGGAGGAGGTAAGTAACGAGCACGGTGTGGCGATTTTTTATGGGGTAGCGCTAATGTTTCTGCGGTTTTATTTTATGTGTGTGAGCGGCACTCAGGGTACTATATCGACAGTACGACGGACTCGTGGGGTCTCGGCGTTGTCTTTCGGATCATGTTAGTGTTGGGGAATCCTTTCAAGAGATGCTAAGCGATGGTGCACTCAAGCGAGCTCGGTCTCGTTGTGGTCCGCGTTGAAGGCTGAGTTGATGGCACTGCGTGCGTATGTTAGCCTGTGTCTTTTCGCAACGATGCAACCGAACACTTCGTAATGAATTCGAAGAGAGCAGAAGAGTTGTTGGCATTGTTACAGTTGTCTTTGTCGTCTCAAAGAGTGCTAGAGCAAATGTCCTAATCAAAATATCATGTTATCCAACCAATCACAGAGCGTGACCAATCGTGATATGAATCATACGAGCTGAGCAGCTCGAGTCGAGCTGCTGGTGGGCCGACCTCTTAAGTGCGGTAACGTACTTTTGACGACGTCCCCACGCTTCTCCAAGCTAGCAAGCAACCCACTGCTGTTCCCGCATCACATATCGGGGATGTCTGGCGCGTAGCTCGTAGTGTATAGAGGTGTTGAGGCCACAATTGTGTGTGCGGTGGGGGTGATCTTGAACAGGAGGGGCCCTTGCTGCAGTAGTACATGGCGCGGTGGGGGCGATCTTGAACAGTGGAGGGGCGCTATTGCGCGATGGCGAACAAACCGGAGTCGCAAACTGGGTTGCGAATTCACATGGATCTATATGCATATATTGTGTTGCAGAGCTGCCTCTTTCATGGATGCAATGATCGCTGTAGCGTAGTCAGCAGTTTTGAGTACTGCTTTCTTCACTCTCTCCTCCTCGGCCTGGAATATTTGAAGCCTATCTGGCGATGTTTTCAATTTGTCAAGTGTTAACGGGGAAGTGAGTATGATATCATTTCTGTGCTTAACCCTGGATAGCGCGACATACGCAAGTGCACATGAAGGGACCGAGTGAGAATGAAAAACAACTTTATCGCAAGTAAGCCCTTGAACTTTATGCACCGTCATTGCAAATGCCAAACGGATCGGTAGTCCTCTTCGAACAACTTTTACATCGCTTGTTTTCTTACTCCAGCTTATTTCTTTCGGAAGTACAGGAATAATATTTGGAACATCGGATAGAAATGACGGGCCTAGATTTGAATCCGTTATCTGCACTAAAAGAATTGGTAGGTCGCTCCCTTCTGTAAAAATGAGATCGTACAGGATACCATTGGTCCCATTGCACAGTCCTGCAGGCTGGCATATATTGAATGTAAGAGCTATGGGCGCTCCGACGGCAAGCTTAACGTAAGGTGGAACAACTCGGTCTCGACTAGAATCAGTCTGCACAGCGTCCTCCAAAAGCTGTCGCACAGCAATATCTGAAATATCGCGCTGTGCAAGTAGTCTTTTTTCTGAACAAAATGCTGGGAAAATATGTGGACAATGTTTTCCGTGTGTAAGGAGACACAATCGGCATTTGCTGAATCAACATCTACATTTAAGTGAGCAATATGTCTAGCCTTTTTTACCCATTGAGGATAGTCCTGAGGCGGCATCAAGCGAGTGTTGAAAAGATCAATATCTTTCTGTGTAGGCGTCTTCGAGCGCAAGCGTCGAAGCGCATCGTACCATTCTGGGTCCAGTCGACCGCGATTCTGGCTAGTTAGATTACAAATGTACGGAATGTTTTCCCACAGTTGACGACCCTTTCTTTCAACGTCGTTAGCTATTTTCTCAAGTGGTGTAGAAAGTGAAAAGGGGATGACGGGATCTAATTGACCAGCATCTCCGGTAAAAATGATGTCACGACCACCAAAAGGTAAGGTCTGACATCGTGGCCATATTTCTCGCATCCTCTGGTCTATCCAGTAAAGCATACCACAGCTTATCACGCTAAATTCATCTATTACGACCAAGTGAACATTTTTATAGCGTTCCTGGAGAGACTTTAGCTTCGCTGGGCCAGTTTTCTCCATTGTTAATGACGTGTATGGGATAGAAAAAGACTTTTTAGAGAAAGAGCTGAAGCCTAATGCGGAGCAAATTGTTTGACCCTTTATGTTAAATGCAGCTGTTCCTTGATGTGCTAGCAAAAGAACACGATTTGATGAGCGTCGAGTTGCTTGATGCTCTCCAAAAACGTTATGGAGGTCTTTCACAATGTGTTTGACCAGCCAGCTTTTGCCAGAACCCCCTTCTCCATTTATAACCATTTGAAGCGGTTCGCAATCTATATTTTCCAAACCAGCTCGTTGCCGTTTTCGAGATTGATTCATACAAAGCGCGAAAGGTATCCATTGCGATTCAGACATGCTAACATCAGCAAGGCAAATTGGATATTTGTAGCGACTACCGGTAGATTGATTGTGTTGAAGTTGTCGAAGATGGCGGGCTTCGTTTTTTTCCAACATCCACGGCTGAATAGATTCTTTTACAAACGAATATGCTTTTTGAATCTCGTCGTTCGAATAAACTCTTACTGATTGCCATTCTTTAGCGAAAGTAGACGGTATGGCGGCCTCTTCAGTACGCATGATGTCGAGATCTAGCCGATCGTAGTGCTGGACACCACTTTCTACGAAAACATATTCAGGGGGCGGGAGCTTAGATGTAGTTGATGTGCTAGTGTATTCCCGCAGCATATCAAGTTTTGACTGTCTTGCTACTTTTGCATTACTTTCTGTAGCCAACTCTGACTCCAGTCCTACTTCCGCGTATCGAGAGATGCACTCAATGTCTGTCTTAGGTAAGTCATTTAGCGAACGCCAGGGGACATGGAGCAGAACCTCGGAAAAGCAAAAGTTGGGGTCAGCCACGTCAGCGCGAAAGTTAGGGGATGGGCGCAATACCTGCGGTTTTGCTCGTCTTTTAATATATCCGCACTGGTCAAGTCGAGCCCAGACGTCTAGATTCGAGGAGTGTTCACTAATACTCTTGATGGGTTCGAACTCCTCCAGAAAGGTAGCATATGTCATACTCTCAAACAAGGTTGAGTGTGGTCGTGCAATATAAGCCGCTTCCTCTTGCTCGATACGAATCGAGCTATCCGATGCGTGAACATCGTCGTTGGTATTCTCTTCGTCACACAGACCCGCTAAGAGGGTTGAGTCAACTCGGTAGTAACGAAGGTTATGACGCAATACTTTTACTTTAGCAACTTTCCTTGATTTTCCGTACATGCAGAGTTCTCTGAGAAGAGTATACATGGCTTCTTGTGCACTAACTTCTCGTACAGACAACGTAGCGTTTGCTACCTTTTTTAGATTGGCATAATTGGGTAGGTTAGGGTCACAACGTTTAACCGCATCCGTTATCACCTTTCTAAACCGGATCGTATCTGGCTCAGCTTTACTGACATATGCTGCCGTATACTCAGCAGCCCCATACGCGTTTCCAATCAGTTGAATATCCATGTTTGCCCTCCAGCACTAAGAAGAACAGGTGAATAATTATTAACCGTAGATGATTTCCTCTAGATGAACAGTAATAGATGGTGTTCCGTCAGAGGCTTCTTTTACTTCGATTTCGGTGTGATCCTTTTGCTCTTTGGGAAACCCAAATCTACAACTTTTGCCCTTCTTTCGGCATGATTCGATAGAGCAATGGTGTTGCTGTACACGATGAACTAGATGGGCTAAATCGCAATCCCATTCAGCAGAATTACACGGAGGAGGCCTCAGCGTGAGGATATCAAGTTGACTCTCTCGACCAGTCTCACATACACAGCAGGAGCATTGCTTAAGGTCTACTGCGGCTTTTGTTAAAACAGATATGCGAGTGTCAATAAAACGAATAAGTTCCGCTCTCCCTAGCTCGCTTCTGGATAACGATAAGACATCAGGACCATCTTTAATCCAGATAAGGGCGTGTATGTGGGGCGACCCCCGTTTCTGAAATTCTACTCTCCAAAAAAAATCTTCGATTTCACCAAGTGGTTTACTTTCACCGCAAAGAATATGCTCAAAGAATGCTTTAAATCTACGACTGAAGTATCTGGCTGCAATATCTGGGCATTGATTCAAATATTGCTGCCTCGTTTTGGAGTTCAAGTGACGGGCTGTCTCCAACGTTAGTGACGGATCACATGCAACAAAAAAGTCAGGCCAAATCGAGTCTGCTGCGCTTAATGTCAAGAAGAATGTTGGCCAACGACTTGGAATGACCCTATTGCCAAGCATCGCCATTAAATCATCTCGAACATTCGCCCAATACAGCCCGCTGCCGCGAACACTACGAAAGTAAGGTTTTAAAGTGTCTAGGATCTTCATACCTTTACTACAATAGTCGGTTGATTTTTTTGCGGTCGTTTCGTCGTTAGTAGCAGCTGAACTATCGCCTTCTTCGAAGAGATCGCGAGGATTAACGCGGCGAATTAATCCGTCTATCTGTCTACGTTGAATCAAGTTCAAACAAAAAAATTTAAACGTGGGGTGAATCGCAAAACGGCGGTCGTACCATTTCATGAGGTGACAGCAGTTGTCAGCCAGTTTGTACTCATGAATCCGATGTTCTTTTTTCTTCACAGGATTAAGTCCTCCCATTGCATCAGGAAACAACGTAGGGAAGCAGTTCTGAAACAGTAATTTCGTCGTATACTCATTGATTAGTTCATTGCACGGCGCTAAATCAGCAACTGGATAAACTGAACGACCTGTAGCTTCGTTAACAGCCTCAGCAAGCCTTTCCATTTCGGTTCTAGCATCATCGCTACAAACTTGTAGTTCAATAGTATCTTCTACATGGAAATTGGTGCCACTCGGAATTTCGGACGAATCAACGTTTCTCGCACCGGGAAGATCAGGCTCAGCAAGTGGATAATTGGATGATTTTTCAAAATTTTGTGTGTATCCTCTAGATGTCGTTCTTTCAGCGTTGATTGCTTGTCCCAAGGCAAGACCGGTGTCGGTTGAATTAAGCGGGACTGTATTTGGGCGGTCTTCATGAGCGGCCAACTCGTGTGCTTCTTCATCTGTAATGTCCAGCGTGGGGACTTCACTCGACACGTCTTGCAACTGATGCAAATTCGTCTCTGAAATTCTCACGTGTTTGTAAAGATAGTTGTTTGCAATCAACCACTCCAAAGCTCGTCGAATATAATGAGGTCGTACACGAAAATACTTATCTCCGTGGTTGATCCGTGAGCGAAGGTAAATAATACCACTTGCCGTCAAAGGTCTGAGCAACCCCCGCGCAATCTTACCAGGATCGTTCCAGTAGTTTACTGCATTTCCTTGAGTGAAATCCTGGCCATACCCGTTAAACAATATGCACGTCGTAAACGCAATCCCAAGCCCAATCAGTCGTGCCTCTGTGCGATTTAGATCCGATAGCTCGTCTGGCACTTCTCCGATCCGAAAGCCTGAAGCTCGACAAAATAATGGCATACCGCGTTTCCGCAATGCATCCTTACAGCGGGCGCAAAGCCAAATCCTAGATTCACCACCAGACAAGCCCACAATTCCCGCTTCAATGACTTCGCATGATCCAGCCGGGTTGCAGAGAGGCTTAAAAAAGGCTCCATTCGGGTTAAACGGTTTTACCACCATGCGTTCAGAGTTTGTAAGCTCACCACAGCTGCCGCATATCCGAAGAAAGGGTTCATCGATTGACTGATAAAAATCTAAAAGTCGAGAAACATTCAATATGAGTCCACTACCCAGGATTAACATCGAAAGAAAAATAACATACCTTTAATATTTCCATCCACCGAGAAACGAGTATCATTGCATCCGGAGCTCGTTTTTCGTCTTTTTTTCCGCGCTCGTGGACATTGCTGTCCTGCGACGTTACGGCTTCGAGTCGCATCATTCCGTTCCCGCCGTAGCCTAGTGTCACGGTCTTCAATATCGTCCGGGCTTTCATGGCGCTGTGTGAAGATGGTGGCAATACGAGTATGCTCCAACGTACTACGATATCGAGCCGCAATACGCTTGAGTGTGCATTTTGCTTTCTTTCGCACTCGTGCGCTGACTGGGCGCACCATCTCCTCGTTGACAAATCAAGTAATGGCATCAGCGTACCGAACACGGAAGGAAGGCTACTGAGAAACGATCCACATTCGTAGTAAAAAAACCGGGTCCAAATATCTGGAACCCCGTGTTTATTGTTGCTGGAGATACTTCGAGATGGCCCTAAATTGCGACGTACCCTCTGCAGTTGGATGCCTTGCAATAGCATCGCTTGCGCTGTTATTTAGATTGAATAAAAACAGGCAAACCTTGTTATGAATAGTAGCAAGTTATGATAGGATCATGTACAGTACTTACGCGCCCCATGAACGTTTCAGCCCTGTAGTCAAACGAAATTTCGTTGTCTTTCGCAATTGCCTCCAAAGCATAGAGGCCGCAATACTCTTCACCGTCTACCTCCCAACGCTCAATAACAGCGTTGGCAGAGCAGCTGTGGTTGGCAAAACGAATTATGCTGCCTTTTCTAGTTGCGTCGATTACATCCTGGTTATTCAGCAGCATGCCGTATATGTGGCAATTGGAACGAGCCCGCTTTGCAACAATCGAGTTAGTCTATCAAGTAAAAAATGCAAGGTAACGATTATCCTGACTGAATTTTGTTATCGTACAAACCTGAAGTCGATGCTTGTACTGCTGCTTTGTGATCACCTCGCCTGTGTACTCACCAATGCATTGCTTGGGCCCGATAGCGTCACCTGCCATGAGAGAAATACCCTTGCTCTCCAGGTGCGCGATATACCGTAGCGGAAAAGCTTGACGTTGCAACTGCTGGTTACTGCATTCGTGTCCGCTACCGCAATGACCATGCAAACACTCGATCTGCATCTGAACATGAATCAGCTTGTGAGGTCATCTCAAATGCGAAACGATAAAACAAAATGTGATAGTTTTCGCACTGTGATGCACATGTCGACGCAATATCCAGACCGGCCCAGCAACAGCAAAGTGGAATGTCTTCCTGTTATACAAGCAGTGCTAAAAATTAAAGAACAAGGCAGACAATGGAGCACGGAGCCATACCTCTCCGACGTGCTTGCGGTCCCGGCAAATGTAGCTGTTTACCGAAATGTCCTGATACTCCGCGAATGCCTGGACAACTGTTCGTCGATTGCACACCTGCACCGAAGACGTATCAGTAATAATGCAACAACAAGACCAATAAACTGTCATACCAAGTCATCCCGCCCCTGAGCGCTGCAGTAGGCTTCATTGAAGAACCTATCTAGCGTCGTTTGAACTGTCTTCATTGCACCCCTACGACGGAAGGTCATCGGGGAAAATACAATAATGGGCAGGTCGGCACCAATACCTGAAGTTGTATCCGGACAACCTCTAGCACGGTCGTGTGCTCGTGTATTAAAACGAAAATTCATCGCACTGTTTTCGATGTTTTAACATGAAGGCAATGAAAAGAAGGCAAATGAATTAATGTTAAGCGCGTAATGTTAATACGAACTACTGCTTTTGTCGTCACGACTCAGCTGTCGCACTCAACACAAATGCTTCCTCCACTTGAAGCTACATGTCCAGGTCCTCGCTGCTCTTCTCTTCGTCTTCGTTCCCCGCAGCGTTCTCAGCCCTCTTACTCGGCGTGAAATCCGTCACCTGCTTCACCAGCGAATCGTCCCCGTGGCATGTCAGCTGAAGACTGCCTTGGGTCCAGCCGTAGTAATCCTCCACAGAATGGATCTTCCGGAAATGGTAAATGCAGCCACGCCGGACACGCAGAATCGGCCCAGGCGGCTTTGGCTTGGGGTCCCAAAGCGTAATACGGACCACCCGCTGCTTTACCAAAGCAGGATCGGCTTGGTCCATCCTCACCTCCACCGCCTTGACATGAGACGCGAGATTTGAGTTGACGCAGTACGCTTGCGTCCCCTTGCCGTTGGTCGTCTTCGCTGCCTTCAACACGCAAAAGCGTCCGCTGACACTTGAACTCTTGTCGATGACCCCTGATTTCAGAGCCGCCTGGAAGCTTTTGACGTTGTCGAAGTAGTTCGCGGTCTCCTCAGCGACCTGGTTGTCCAAGTTGGCATCAAAATCAGCTAGGAATTCCTCCGGCGTCTCCATTTGTTAGTTTTGCCTTTCTGCGCTTTAGCCGGTGAAAATGAAAATGACCAACTTTACTATTTTCGTTCTACTGTAGTGCGCGAAGCGCGGGGATCTGCTTCGTGTACGTTTTTATGAAATCCGAATAAATTTATACACTGTGTATGTATAGCACTTCCTTCTTCAAGATCGCCCCCATGCTGCAAACAAACCACTTGAGGGCGCCCACGCGCGGCTCCATGCACATATGTAATCTACAATGTTATGATACATGCACCGACTAAAACTCCTGTCTCACCACCACGGCGCAAACAAATCACTGGAGTGCGCCAACCGTGGGCCCCAGCACTAAGATCCCGCCTTTATTAAGATGATCAACCACCGCGACGGCGCAAACTACCCACTGGAGTGCGCGTACACGCAACCCATACGTGTGGTGTCCACGCAACGCTAGCGCGCCACAGCGATTAATAGGCGCTTTGTTGAGATATCTACAGAGATACTGCAAGGATTAACGCTCGCACTGCCGCCAGCAACATGTTTCCTATTGTTTCTAGAGCTTATTTTACAAATAAATGCCTGTATTGTACGATAAAATTGATCTTTACCGCTTAGTAAGTGTTTATTTGTCCACAGAACGACACATACAGCTCTTTCAAGCTGCTAGCGGGCTGCTTGAATACCTAGATCTATTAAGATCTTGCCCTACGGATGAAACACTTCACAACCCAGCAAAACATAGCGTGTCCAACCTAGTTCATGATCAGGTGGTCAGCCTTACCGGGGTCTGTTTGCATAGCTCGCTACCACAATGTTGAGAGGGGCTCCGCGCGATGCCAAGGTGAAGGCAAAAGGATTATCAGGACATACCGCCGTAATACCGCGAGACGAAGGGGCGCCGTGCACTTATGTACCATTACTTTAAGGCCCTCCGATGACGATGCTCTTACTGAAAGTCTGTGAGGAGTCTCTTGGCCCCTCGTCCGAGGGGCCCAAAAGCTCACTATACCTAAGTAAAATTCGGGGAGGTCGAGGGCGCCGCCCCGTGCTATACATTGCAACCCTAAACCTACTTATTTCATCCAATCAATCACCAGACACTACGGTAAGGAGAGGTATACCGGTATCAAGTCATTATAATGGGGACTTCGTCCCAATCACAAACGTCGTCATTATATACATCAGTTGTATCGATACAAATCAAAATCTATTTTTTCATCCTTACCCACGAACCGGTGACGACCACCGTGTTCTTGATGATTCCCAACTCAACATCACTGGAGTCACTTAGCTTCGCAGAACTTTTGCTGCATCGACTCGTCCACCCACTCGGTGTCTGTAGTGTTCAAAACGGCGTACTTGACCTCGGTGCAGCACGGCGCGTGGTCGTTCATGTTGCCCATTCTTTTGTTGGTACTTGCCGGTGTGTCCTGTAGTTTTTCCATCTCGTTTGCCATGGAAAAACACACACGGACGAGGTGTCTTCTTGCACTTGCATGAAGATGCTTCCATCGCCATGTGCTCTGCTGTCTTGAGCCTTCTCGAAGCACTCGTCGGAATAGTACGGCCAGTCAGCAAGGCTTGTGTAGCCGGCGTCACTGAGCTGGGCTGTGCCACCGTGTCGCATGATACACCAGCACTCAACTCGTTCAGCGCTGGCAGAATGTCATTGAATGGCAAAACGCTCGATGAAATGCACTGCACGTTTTGCTTCTCTCCGTCACTTGTCGATAAATACCCAGCGCCTTTGACGTAGAAATACGTGACTGGGTTGTCTCCTTCATTGAACTCAGCGTAGCCATCGTAAAGCACGCTGGCACCGTCGGCTGACACGGCGGGCTTGGCGAAGATGTCGAACTCGGATTGTCCGTGAATCTTCATGCTCTTGGGCTTGAAGGTGACATGGAGCTTTAACGCTGGGGCGTCACCAAGAAAGGTTTCTAGTCGAGGGCCGTTTGATGGCAGGACTGCAGGACGAAGCGCGTTACCGACGACTATTGTATGAGCCACCGCTGCAATGAGAACGACACCAAATAATCCTGTTGAAGACCGCATTCTGAGTAGGGAAACCGACCGGCGGAGAGGAGCTAGACGAAGTGGAAATGACTTGTTGCTGTCCTTCGGCTTTCATTTGTTGTGGTTGAGCTCCATTCCAGGTTGGGGTCATGTAAAGGTCCCGTAACCCTTTATCCACCTGGAAGTACCTAACGCGCCCTGAACATCGTGGGAACGTCGCCCTTGATTTGTTGAACAACGGCCGAGATCCAAATGCCACGGCCGTTGTTTCATGTCTAACTTACACACGCGAGTTCTTCATCTTGAAGCGAGGTAGTTATTACTATTGTTGGTCCGCTTTTCGTGCTCACACAAACACTAACTGTAAAAGCATCCCTATAGGTTGCACTAGCGTTTGGTTACGTTGCTGTGAGAAGAAAACCTCCGTACTACCTAATTGTTGGCGACTGCAATTGATAAAAAAAATGCTTCGCCCCCAATCTATGTGATTTTCAGTGGAGCAGCCAGTGCTTTTGCCTCAACTACTACCTAATCCTGCAAAAAACCTGAATTCCTCTGCAGCTACCGAAACGCTACAGCAGACACTTAAACCACTTTACAGGCTTCTGCGAGTCCTTGAAGTAACCATCGCCAGTCAAAAACACCGTGTCGGCGTGATTGAGCTCCGGCCTGTACACCTTTTCAACTTCAAAACTGCAAATTGTAAGTTCAAAACAGCAAAATTGTAAGTTCAAAACTGCACGAGCAGAGACCAGGCACTTTTATACACAGCTCATTGGTTGGCACGCAGCATAGCTAGCCAATAGGCAAATTGTACTCTATAATCGTATACGATGATAGATATCATTCAGTTTGTAATATACATTTATAGAGTATTGTTGTTTTGATCTTACCTTTTGCTGTTTTGAACTTACAATTTGCAGTTTTGAAGTTGAAAAGGTGTAGAATGTGTCCTTGTAATGCTTGCCAAACTTCGATTCGTCGAGGCCCATCACACAACTCTGGAACTCACCAAGCCCGTCGTTTTTCTCTGGAGACTTGTGTGGGACTCTCTTGGCACTGATAAGCATGAACGCTTGATACACGGAGAAAATGCCATGAGGGTTGTCACTGCACATGGCAGCGCTAACGTTCCCGCGGTAGACCTCTTGGGCAAGCTCATAGGCTGCGTTCAGCTTCTTCGAAGCGTATTTGCCTTTGTAGTACATGAGTGACTGATGCGAGGCTGGCATGGGGCATTTCCCAATGATTTCCATCATACCCGCCACGAAGTCACTCTTTCCGCCCGTGCAAAAGTCTTGGAGGTGGTCGGCTGCCAAACTGCCCTGAATGGGCGAGCTCAGTGCCACCCAAGACGCGCCTTCGCCGAAGCTGCATTTGCCCGTTGCAAGCGCCATGGACATGACCACGCCAGCCATCGAGTGCGTCACTACAACCGTGTCTGTAATCATGCCGAGATCCGCATCACTGGTGTCGCTCAACATGAGGGCCCGATCGCAAAATTTCTGTTGAAGCGAGTCGTCGGTCCAGCCGAGTCGATGGTGTTCAAAATGGCGTACTTGACCTCGGTGCAGCAAGGAGCGTGGTCGTTCATGTTGCCCATTCTGCCGTTGGCCTTCTTGGGCTTCTACATCAAGCCTGGCAAGAACAAGAAAGGCGTACGCGGCAGCGATTTCTTCGTAGGCGAGCACGAGTTGATGAAGTATCTGGATCGGCTGGACCTCGGTAAGCTCGGATATTTTAACTGGTGACTTACGGAATCTTACAAGCCGTATATGCTGCTAGCCGAGCTCCAGCGACAAAAGAAGAAGGACACCCAAGAGTACTCGGACACGATCACAGCGCAGAACCACCCCGCAAGCAGCGCAATGACACCAGAGGGTACGTATGACGCAACTTGCATTAGACACATTACACTGCTGACGCTATCGTGTATCTTACAGAGCCACCCGAGCCTGCAGCGCAGGCCCCTCCCACGACACGAGGAAGCAGCGAATCCGACAACCCGTCACTGACTGGTAAGTTAGGACTACATTTGCGGTATCTAACTGTAAACTAACAATCGTTCTCATCGTGCAGCTTCTCCAGAACCCCCTGGCCCCAGTCGTGAGCTCATTGCAACGTCGCTCCACGTCATGAGCGACGGAACCAGCTCACAGGATGGCGACAACATCCTGTCTCCAGCTTCGCTACCCCAACGCAACCTCACCGACGACTTTGCCACTGCTGCAAATGAAGACAGCAGTGAGGAAGGCCCTGATCCAACCGCGAGTGAGGGGGAAGCATCGATGGGGTCGACGGCTCTCGCTGGAACGCATGTACTTGATGAAGAAACGAAGATCGACGAAGTCGCATGTACTCCTCAAGCAATCGGTATGTGTACCCTGTACATACACGTTAACGATACATGTTATGAAATTAACGTGTATAATTATGTTGTAGTAGACACCTTTGCAGAGGATCCAAACATCGTCCGCCCTGACGATACGGGCGACTACGTAGCACTTGATTCTGATGGCGAGTTCGAAGGAAGCTCGGTCTACGATGACGACGACGATATTGACTGGGTAGAACCTGATCCCGGCTCCGACGACGAGACAAATACTCCGACCGACGTCATTTTTGACCCCGCCCTTGTCGATGCAGCTGGTGGGATGGCTGCAGTTGCCCGCGGTGCCGTGCCCGCCACCGTACTGGACGAGATGCGGGTGAATGGCTGGACTGTACCCCAACTCAAAACACCGTTTCCCTACATGGACGAACCGTATGAAACCCGGCCCGATGGCTGGATTGGCGAAGACTACCCTGGTATCTACGATGGTGATCATGGTCCTTCTGCTGGCGCTCTCAACGCTGCTTCGACACCGCTTGGAGCGTTTCTACGGTTCGTGACGCCCCAACTTCTGAAGAAAATTGCTGGAACCAGCAATGACTACTTTGAAGAAAATCTGGACGCGCGCGTGCAAGCACAACATGCCAAGCAGCAAGCCCGACAGCAGAAGAAGCCGGGCTTTCAGCCTCAAACACCTGAACAAATCAAGACAAACTTGCAAAAAACTCCTGAAATTTTGGGCAGAGACTTGTGCATCTTTATTGGACTTCTTATTGCGCGGACAATTGCTCCTAACGGGGAGAAATTCGCCAATCATTGGAAGACGACGGACGAGGGGGCCATCCCACGCGGCTGCTTTGGCCAGTACATGACGCGGGATCAATTCGACCACGTTTCGCGCAATCTTCACTTCAGCAACTCTGACGCTCAAGCTGCCACTGACCGTGCGTGGAGCTTCGACCGGTGATTGACGCGCTCCAAGACACGTTCCAGCGCAACTTCATCCCCCCAAACATCATGGCTTTTGACGAGGCGGTGCTTCCCTCGACTTCACCATTCAACAAGATGCGGACATTCATGAAGGATAAACCCCACCGCTGGGGGACCAAGCTCTTCATGCTGTGCTGCTCCGAGTCCGCGTATTATATTCGGTGAGTAAGGTGAGAGAGCGTGCCTCTGGCACGCTCTCTCATTTTTTTTGGTTGTAAAGTTTTCTTATCGTGTGCCATACATGCTAACCAAACGTATCTATCGTGTATACTACAGTTTCGAGGTGTACTGCGGAAAGCGGCAAAACCACGACGGCACCACTCCTGTCGATACCAAGTCCGGACCTGCGGCAGTGGTGCGAAACCTACGGCAAGTGTTTGGGCCTGACGGTCCATCCGAGTTCCGGCTTATCGTCACCGACCGGTTCTATACATCGGTCGTACTATCAATGCAGCTATTGGCAATGAATTTCTACACAGTGGGGACGGTCATGACGAACAAGAAGGGCCTATGTAGTGCGATTCTACCTAAGAAGAAGAAAATCGGGCGTAAGGAGACAAACAAGCGCCCGACATGGATCGCACGAGACACGTTTCACATCGCAGAGATGCAACAAGTTCCTCGGATCAAGTTTACACGCTGGTGGGATAACCAAGGTGTCTTTGTGCTCGCCGCGGGTGGAAGCGCTGAGCTAGACAGAATTGTGCGTCGTGATCCAGCACCGGAGAACACGCTGAAGTGATGTGTCCAAGATTCGTCAAGGACTACCAGACTTTCATGGGCGGAGTTGATGTCCACGATCAGCTCCGCCTCCAGCGGTAAGTTTTCTTATCGTGTACATACATGCTTTAGGTTGACAACTAACGTGTATTGTACTACAGGTACTCGCTGCAGCTCGCTAGACGCTACAAAAAATACTACAAGTCGTTGTTTCTCAGCCTGATCGACTTGGCAATCAACGCTTTCATTATCTACAATGCACGTCGCACCGTCGATGGCAAGAGCAAGGTATCGCACGTCGCTTTCCTCAAGCAGCTACATCTGGAGCTCCGTCAGCTCCAACCCAGCGACTGGGATCAACTGCTGCGCCACCAAGGCCTCCATCCCCGCCCTTTTACCCTTGGGGCGCAAAATCCTAGACCCCCCTTTTTTCCTTCCCCGGAGGCGGAGGTATTAATAGAGCACCTCGCTCCGCTCGGTAGTTGACAGGACCTGCCTGCGACAGCATTGGTATTGGTGTTAATCGTTCTCGTTTAAGTATGATACAAAGTTCCTATCCGAGGCTTCGCGGAGCCTTACGGGTAGTATGTTTTTGGATTTATCAGGCCAGCGATACCAATCGCTAATGATAACAATTGATTTACAGGAGGCTCTAAAATATTTGTTTAAAAATAATGTTTTATTAAAATAAATTATTTTCAATTATTACAGTAACTTTATAATTTAATAAATTAATATAGTTACTGTAATACTAGAAAATGCCAAAAATGGATTTTTGATGGTATGTGCGACAACAAACCCACATACACTCCACGACAGCTGTAACTTCGTCAATTTTTATCGTTTTAAGGTGCGGTTTGGACTAGAGTTGCAGAACACGCTGATAAAGATCTGCACGCTGCTAACACGCGCGCTTTTGCGCTTCTTCAGGTAGCTCACATACAAATCACTGGTTCTGCCCAAGTGACAAAACTTATGGACAGCTAATCCCCATACAAAATCCTATATTAACCAAAACCCCTTACAAATGATACGACTTGGACTTTGTATGGGGCGACAAGGAACCCATGATTTCTCCACTCTACCTTAGTACTGAGCCATACATCATCGACCAACAGTTTAGAATGGAGAAATCAATCGTATATCCAAGAGATAGCAGCATACAGAGCTACAAATGGAGCTCTACCAAAACCCACACAATCTCGATATTTGCTACGGTCATAAACGTGGCGTATTTCTCGTAGCAAATCCGTCGTAATTTATGGAGACGTCAAATTGGTCTCCACAAATTGCGCCGAGCGCAAATGAAACGTACCATTATTTTGGTACAATTCCCAATCACCGCTCATGCTGTGCGTTCACACCCGCGCTCTCAAGCTCTGCGTCAGTGCGCCCAAGCCGTGGACAGCAGAGCCAGCGGAAGCGGCTGAGTGTTTACTACCACCCAAGTTAATTGTACGTGCACCTTACGCATTGTTGGTACTGCTGTCTAATGAGCTGACTGGCCGCACCGCGGCACAGTCACTAGCCAGCATGTATTAATACAAAAAGTGAGCGTAGCCATGTATTTAGCACTCAGATGTGATGGTTTTGGTCGGTATCATCGGTTGTAGCAAACACGACGCAAACGGGACATTTGGCAAATAAATTGCAATTTGTGACAGCGTTTGTGTTAGTTTTGGAAGAGTTCCAATGGGCACTAACTAGGATGCAACTGAACGTGCCTCGCAAATAATCAGATAATAGAGGATGTAAGCAAATTGGTATTTTACGAGTTGGGGACAAAGACACTCGACCACCGCTGTCTATGTTCCCGAACTAGTAAGAGGGGAGTCGTGTTAGTACGGAATCTCCCGAGAAACTCGTAAGGCTTTTTCACGAGACTACAAACGTTCTGATTGGCTCGTTACTCTCATCCTGCATCTCCCCCTCGAGCACCATGGCCGCCATGGCGCTTACAGATACATGTAGCGCCGCGACTCGAATCGAGTCGCGGTGGTTCGAGTCACTCGAACCACCTCATCCAGTCTCAAGTGCCCCCCCCCCCTAATCAGTGTGACGTCCTTGCCTCTCCCAGCGAGGCACACGAGGATTCGGCTGCGCGTCTTAAGTCATAACGGCGCGTCGAAGTAGAGTAGGCAGCCATTGACCACAAAGAGCAGCATAAAGTAGGATATGTTGCTTAGAGTAGTGATGTCCGAGTTCCTGATCGTACTATTGGTTTGGATATGGCAACCTAAGAAGATGCAAAGTGCCTCGATACTGTAGCGTTTGATTCTATCGCGGGTGATGACGTCGAGAAATGTAGTGCTGCACTGAGCACGCGAATCTCATCCTCGGTGAAGCGGAAGTACCTCTTGCAGTACGCATCGCTGTGCTCGTTGAGCCTTGAACGCCTGGGATGATCAGTCACTCGGGGCGCTCAGAGCGCGAAGCAGCATGGCATCGGATGCAGGGATCTCGTATCAGCAGGGCGGCCTCTATCGCTGGGAGTCAGTTGGATTTCGTAAATGGGCGGATACCAGTGAGGCGAGGCGGGTGAACGCCTGACCGCCCAGGTGTATAGCTTTAGCGCGTCCCGGGTGTAGACTCCCGAATGGGGTGCACCCAGAACAAACCCTAGCCGGAGATAGTACACCTAGATGTACACTCCAACCGGGGTGGCGTGTGTCCTTGTGAACAATCCCTGTGGGTTCGTTTGTCTTCGTAACCAGGGGTTTTCAACCGTGGATGAGTTGTCTTGATACTTGTAGGTCGCTAGGTAGCAGGGAAGAACGTAACCTTCCTGGACGTCGCCTCTGACAGCCCGCAGATAGCCAAACAATACAAACAGATACAGAGTTATATACAAACACGTAGCCCTTCCTTATTCTTTTGGACTGTGAAAGGGTCGGTCACTACTCCAGTCAACTCCAGCCGGACTCCGGGATACTGGTCAATCCCGGACGGCTTTGGCTCACGCGCACCACCCTCAAGTACTGAGGGAAACGAACACAATCAAATACCTCCTATCACACAATAGCTCTTAAATCAATACTTCCCACCCGGGGCTACTCCAACCAGGGTGAAAAGGTAATCAGTAATATGAAATGCGGGGCCTCCCTGGTCTGGACGAGCTCAACCGCAACTAGGAAATGAAATGGGATGGATCAACCTCGGGTTGTCGCCCGGTACTCACCCCAACTTGGACTGGACTTTGTTGCGGGAGCTCGACCCAGGTGTCACAGTTGCTGGGCCCTCACACGTAGACTTAGTCGGTCCTCCGGGAATGCACGTCCGGTAGGCTGCTCCAACTCACTTGCGCGATCCTTGGCAAAACGAACTCTGTTTATCTGTTATCTGTGGTCTCTCTCCTCTCTGTCTGTCTGGCTATCTTCTGTCGATCTTTACATGCACTCAATCTTGACTTGTCTTCACTATGGTCGTGTCGTCGCAATCGTCCGCGGTCCCTCGTAGCATACTTCCAGCAAGTATAATCATCACTGGGTACGCAAGTGAAGTACAATGTTCCACGGAATCCGAACAGATCTTGGCTGGTCGGCTTGGTCGGTCGGAAACATCTTGGACTTTGTATACTGGATCTTCACATCTGGGATGGTCTTGGTATCTCCATCCGGGATTCATGATTATCTCCAAACGGGATCACACTCCCCTTGGGCTTCACATCCGGGATGTCTTGGACAGCTTCACGGTTTCTGGGTCTTCACTCGATCCGGTCGGGCTCCTCTTGCGTTGAACAGTGCACCAAGAGCAGGCGGCCTCCAGTCGGAGGTACTTCTACGCTCCCTTGGGCTTTGCCTCTCGTTCGGTACTTGGTTCCAGCCGGGGTCCGCTCTTGGGGACATCTCCATCCGGGGTCACCAAACCTTGTACACTGCCAACGCGAGTCCGGCCGGGATCCGCTTTTCCCATACGCCACGTGTCGCTGCCCCCCTCTCCCATAGTGAGCCTCTGAGCCAACCAATCACAGGCGCAGCTCGGGAATCCTCGAAAATCTCCAATTCCATCGTGTCACGAGAATGCTAACACTGTCGACGATTTCGTTTTAACTAAACACATAAAAATGTTGACCGTAAATTTGAGTCGTTATTTACGAAGTTGCTAACATCCTCTAATACATGGTAGCCACCACTCGAAATTTCAGTTGCTTACTACTTGCTCCGTTTTGTGCGATGGTCGATGTATTTATTACAGGTTACTAAACACACCTTCTAGTACACGATAATACCATCAGATCTTTGTCTAACGTCGCGAGTATCGCCGTGAGGCTGGTTCCTTAGGAACTGCCAACAAAGGCAAGGTACCTGCGCTATCCGTGTCACCCTAATTTATTGTTTTGGCCAATCAAATTAGATTTGTGTTTATGGATTATGTTTTCAATATAAACTTTAATATACAATAAATATGCGCAAATCTTCATAATAAATGCGTTTATACAAAGTCCAAGTCGTATCATTTGTAAGGGGTTTTGGTTAATATAGGATTTTGTATGGAGATTAGCTGTCCATAAGTTTTGTCACCTGGGCAGAACCAGTGATTTGTATGTGAGCTACCTGAAGAAGCGCAAAAGCGCGCGTGTTAGCAGCGTGCAGATCTTTATCAGCGTGTTCTGCAACTCTAGTCCAAACCGAACCTTAAAATGATAAAAAATGACGAAGTTACAGCCACTTTTGGTGGTGTCCATATCTTTTTGTCGTGGAGTGTAGAAATTCCCATCTGTAACGCAATGTTGCTACCGCTGCTCGCCACCCTGTTCTTCCTGGCGATGACGGCGTCCCCTTCGCCGTCCCCACACGCTGCTTCCGTCGTCGAGCTGCGTCCGGAGTCGCCGCTGCAGTCCCAGCGCGTACTGTACGGCGAGCCGCAGCTGTACCGCGTGTTGGATCTCGAACCTGACAAAGTTTACGACATCAAAGTGTCGTACCCAGCGACGCAGCCGTCGCTCTTCTCGCTGCAGGTGGAGCAGGTCCTGCTGCCGCTGCCTGTGGTGAGTGAAGATAAATTTGACGTTAGTACTGCAAATATTGCGGGAAATGTCAAGAAAAGCAAGATCATGCCAGCTCGACGTCGGGTATTGAACACGGCCAAGCTTCGGCTCCACCCGAGGGAGATGGAGACGCACAAGTCGGTGCGGTACCGTCTCGAGCCCTCGGGGGCGGCCATTGAAGTGGAATTTTCACTTATTGCAAATGTGGAGGGAGTCCGACGACCCGACTCGAAGCTGAAGGTTGACGAGTGTGTGTTCGACATTGTGGTGGAGGAAATGCTGCTGGAGGCATTCCCCAGAGACACCCTGGTGCTTATCGGCTGGCTGGTGATGCTGCTGGCTGTGAGCGCAAAGTGGGTCTTTCCGTATTTGGAGAAGAAAATTCCACTTGGATGTGTGGAGGACCGAGTGAAGGGAGCAGAAACTAAAGAATCGTAGAAGATAATCGGTGGACTTTGGCAGAAAGAATGAGTTTCTTACGATTCTGGAAAGGTTTGTTAACCGTGGGCAAAGCGATGTCTTTATATTTCTGCTCACCATGCTTAAACTTACTGTACCGATACTGGGTGATGATGATACGCTAGAGCAGACACTCGAACCACTTGAAGGGTTTCTGCGAGTCCTTGAAGAATCCATCGTGCGTCAGAAATGCCGTGTCAGCGTGATTCAGCTTGGATGCGTAGAAGCGGTCGAGGTAGCTGTCGCCAAACATGTTCGGGTCGAGCCGCCCAAGCAGCTCTGGAACTCCACGAGCGCGTCGTTTTGTTTCGACTTGTGCGGGATCATCTTGCCCCCAAATAGGCTGGACGGCGTGAACTTGGACAAGACGCCGTGGTAGCTCGTACTGCAGATCGCGGCAGTCACGTTTCCACGATAGGCTTCCTGAGCCGCAGTGTACGCCGCGTTGATTTTCGGGGTGCTGTACTTCTCGTTCTGGTAAATGATCGACTTTCTCGCTGTGGACGCGGGACATTGGCCGATTAGATCCAGCACCCCAGCGACAATTGTCGTGAATTCATCGTCGCACAGGTCTCGAATGAAGTCTCCGGTCATACTTCCCATCATCGGAGCGCTCAGACTGACCCACGACGTGCTTTCGGCGAATTTACACTTGTCTTTCGCGAGAGCTGCCGCCATCACGAGGCCGCCCATCGAGTGCGTCACCACGATAGTATCCGCAATGGTCCCAGTAGCCACGTCGCTAGACTCGCTCATGGAGAGCGAGAAGTCGCAGAACTTCTGCTGCAGTGTGTCGCTCCTCCACCCAGCGTCGATGGTGTTGATGACTGCGTACTTGACACTGGTGCAGCACGGAGCGTGGTCTCCGATGTTACCGAACTTCTCCTGGGTCAACTTTGGAGTATCTTGCAGCTCCGCTCTTTCATTCGAGGTACCCAAACCATGCAGAAGATGCAGGGACGAGGTGTGGACTTGCACGTACACGATTCGGCCTCAATAGCCATGGGAGCAGATGCTTTCAAGCGCCTCGGTGTAGCCGTGGGAAGTGAGCTGCCAGTGAGTATCGCGCGTGTTGTCGGCGCCACTTTTGTGGGCATTGCTACACTATCACACGGTGGTGACCCATCGGTGAGCTTCGGCACCTAAATGTTGACGGGATTCTGCAGGTACTCCACGTCAAGTGTCAAGTCGAGGCCCGTCGCGGTGAACTCGGACGAACCCGAAGCGCAGACTGCGAAGATTGCGTCGTGATACAAGGACTTGAACAGGTTGCTACTCGCGCAGGCGACACTGATGTCGCCTATCAAAGCGCTACGAATTGGTACCGCGTCGTTCAGCGCCGGCAAGACCGAGTCGTACGACAGCGCTCCCGACGGAAGGCACTGAACTGTTTCAGTGTTGGCGCCGTCTTTCTTGGTCGCTAGGTAGCTTGCACCACCGACGAGCGAGTACGTGAACTTGGTACCATCTTCGACGAACGTGGTATAGCCGTCGTAGCGCAGACTGGTGCCATCGGTCAACACGACGGGGCTCGCGAATACGTCGAACTCGGATTGTCCGTGGAAGTTGGCGTTCTTGCGCTTGATCGTGACATGGATTCTCAACAAAGGGAAACTGGTGAAGGTCTGCTGCTGTCGATGGTGGGTTGGTACCGGCAAATGAGGTTGAACGAGGCCTTGGGACGCTGCCATACTAGCCGTCAACGAAGCGGCAAGGGCCACTAGCAATCCTATCCAAGCTCGCATTGTGAACACAATGCCAAAAAAAACACCCCGGGCGTTGGCTGCTGGAAAAATAAGAAGTGACTGTCGCCATAAGCATAATGTGTCCGCTGTGCTTCGCGTCGGGTCGTAATGGAAGGAAGGATTACAGTCGATGAATGGGTTTTCGTCTCGAAATCTTGCGAGTCTAGGCGACAACATCGACACAACACTTCTACATTTATACCGAGTGAACAAGAGGCTTTATAAATTCCGAAACACCATACTACATCCTCACTCTACTAACGCCACCGCCCTCGATTAGGTCCAAGACTATAGCGCTAGACACTCGAACCACTTGATGGGCTTCTGCGAATCCTTAAGCAGACCGTCGCCATTGAGGAACGCCGTGTCTGCGTGGTTCAGCTGCGGCTTGTAGAACCGGTCGTAGTAGTGCGTTCCGAACAGGGACTCGTCAAGCCCAGCCAGGCAGCTCTGAAACTCCACCAGACCGTCGTTCTTCTTGGACTTGTGCGGAACAATCGTCCCTGCGAGGATGCATCCGGCCTGGTAGCTCGAGAAGAGACCCAAGAAGCTGTTACTGCACATGGCCGCCGATACATTACCACGGTACGCTACCTGGGCTGCGACGTAGGCTGCATCAATCGATGGAGTACTGTACTTCTCACCCTGGTAGATCGTCGACTTGCGGGACTTTGGCATGGGGCACTGGCCCAAAATCTCGAACAAACCGGTAGCGACGTTGTCCCCTCCTTCGTCATTGCAGATGTCCATAAGGTAATCCGAAGCCATACTTCCAGTCATGGGGGCGCTCAGAGCCACCCACGACGTCGTCGGACTAAACTTACACTTGCCCTTAGCAAGAGCTCCGGCCATGACCAGCCCACCCATGGAGTGGGTCACAACGATAGTGTTGTCGATGATCCCAGCCTCCACGTCGCTCGTCGCGCTCATTTCGAGCGAGAAATCGCAGAACTTCTGCTGCAACGTATCGTTCCTCCAGCCGGCGTCGTTGGTGTTCAGCACCGCGTACTTGATCTCGGAGCAGCACGGCGCGTGGCCGTGAATGTCTCCAAACTTCCTCTTGGTTAGCTTGGGCGTGTCCTGCAGTGTCGGCTCCTGGTTCGGGTTGCCCAGTCCGTGAAGGAAGATGCACGGGCGAGGCGTCGACAAGCACTCGCCGCACTCGGTCGAGTTCATGGCCATGTGCCCCGCCTCCTTCAGCTTCCTGGACGTAGTAGACGGAAGCTCTCCCCCAGTAGCCAACGCCAATGCAGTGGGCGTCATGGACGTGGCTTTCTCCACGGGCTCACACGAAGTCGTTCCGTCCGTCAACTCCGGCTGGGGGACAGTGATCGGACCGTCGAGATACGTGACGTTGATGACCAAGTCGCTGCTGACCGCAGTGAAGCCAGACTCACCCGACGAACAGATAGCGTAGTGGGCGCCGGAGAACGTCGTCTTGAACAGTTTCCCGCTCGCACACTCGACAGCTTCCTTGCCGATGGAGGCACTAGGAATGGGGGTGGCGTCGTTGAGCGCTGGTAGAATCTTGTCGAACGGGAGAGTGTTGGGCGGGAGGCAGCGGACTGTTTCTTCGTCATCACCGACTTTGGTCGACAGGTAGGCGGTGCCGTCTACGAGGGTGTAGGTGATCTCCTCGTCCTCGTCCAGGAACGTGGCGTAGCTGTCGTATAGTACACTGGCGCCGTTGGAGGACACGACCGGTGTGGCGTACACGTTAAACTCGGACTGACCGTGCAGCTTCATGGACTTGCGCTTTAGAGTGACGTGAAGTGTGACGGACGGAGCATTCTTCAATGAGGATTGGAGCTGTGAGGGTTTTGATGCGGTGGCTGGATGAGTGAAGGCGAGCAGCGCAACAGCGGAGGCGACGAGAACTCGAGTTGCAGATACCATTTACACCTAGACAGGAGCCACGTCTTCTCCGTTGTTGAGACAAATGAAAAGTGGTCGGCATTGACGCCGATGAAGTCGGAGCCGAAGGTTGGGGAAAGTGCGCACATCAACTGGATCCAGTTGTTCGCAATCTGTTTACAATTGCATGAACACCACCAGCAAATCATTTGCCAAATGTGGCCGTGGAGCTTACAGGTACAGTTTCATATCTTAGCTGCAGGACCTTCTGGAATTCTTACCCATACTGTAGGTATTATTAATTCAGACTAGAGCGTGAGAACGAGACGGATAACAATTAATACCCGTTTTTACCGATGAGATCAGGTATTAGAGTCAATGTAAAATACATAAAGTGCTGTCTGCAACATATGATTCCCTTTTAAATCCGAATATATCAGGCGTCTCGTTCTCACGCTCTAGTCTGTAGTGTATATTGCGAAGTCGATTGATTGAATCGACCGAGCCAAATCGCCAGCAAACCGCCCGAGATTTTGATTTGACATGAGTTTACTATGTACGCAATAAAGTACGAAATAAGAACCGTCTCGGTCGATTCCAAAAGCCTCGTGACTGCAACGGACAGAATGCAACTGCCGACACCAGTGATCCGACCGTTATGCGTGATTGGGGGGTCATACCGCTTCAGCATTTAAAATGCGATTTCATACCGGTTTAGTCATTTTCCTTTCAGTATACAGATACCGCTGACTAACTTGTACACACAGTCAATCGATACACCGTCAAAATCGGTAATGGAGCCGTATCTCTTTTAGGAGGTAAAATCCAGTTTCGGTTTCCCGCCAGAGGGATCTTTTACAATTCAAACAGAGCCCTGCAAAACACCTCCCCCCGCAGCCCACCATGACAAGCACAACCAAGCAAACCAAGGGCAAGTGAGGTGCATGGGCGCAGCCGCCGCCATCGCTCGCCGATCTGGCTCGCTGGTCCCAGGCCAAGTTCAAGCGGTCCCAGCCGCCGTCTCGAGCCGCCATCGCGAATTCTGCGCGGTGCCTCTGCTGTCAAGTCGAAGCTGGACTCCGCATTCGGCTGAGTGAGCTCTTGATTTGAATGCATGTAAACTTCAAGGTCAATTATCTGTAATACCGTTTATACTGAACACATATAATATATTGTAGGAACTAAAACAGTACCACTGTACAAGTTAGTCAGCGGTATCTGTATATGCGCTATGTATCCTGAGCTACCGGCACATGCAATACTACAGTAATACCAGCCATGTCTCCGAGTCGACTCCGGCTTGGCGCCGGAGTTTTGGGAAGCCGGCGGCTTCCCAAAGCCAAAACCAACGGTCACGCTAGCAATGGCAACACAAAGGACGTATGTCACTTGGCCATCACTACATGTAATTCACCAAATTGATCATATACTTGTCGAAAATGTGAACCAAATTCCAGGGATAGCCTCCGCCTTCTTGGTACGTTTGCCTGGATGAAGGCAACCTGGTTGGTCAGTTTTGTGCGCGACGTTCTGATGACCCGACTCGATGTACACTGTAGCCGCTCTGCTGGACCTGGAGAGAGTCGCTCCGTTTGAACAAATCGGTCGCGGTCGGGCCGGCGATCACCAAGTTGCAGCACACCGAACAGCTCACACCGTACACATGTTCACGCTGGCCCCATATGCTGCCCGTAGGATAGTTTTCGGGCTTTGCTGTCCGACTTCTGGGTCTTTGCCGGGGAAAAGCGGCACCCGCGCGCCAATCGAGAGGAATTAACGCGCGGGCAAATCACTCGACCAATCTGCCTGGGATCGAGGAACTTTGATGCGTCCCTCCGTAAACGCGGCTTCATGGGAGGTCCTCGACCAGGCCAACCCAACCCAAGTCAAAGCGGCCTCGAGGCTCCGTCAACCTGCAGCAGACTCGGTTTAGACTCGTGATCCCACAGGCAACATGATGATTTACCTGCGCTTAGTCATCCCGGCCGTCGTTGCGCTGTTCGCGGTCTCGGAATCCGCGGTGACTACGCACCACCAGAAGGCGACGCCGTCGCTGGCCGACGCATCCCCCGTGAAGCTACATGTCACGCTTCAGCGCAAGGCGATGGAGCTGCATGGAGAGACAGAATTCAACGTGTACGCCAACCCCGTGGTGTCGAAAGACGGTGAGAAGGTGCTCTACGATGGCTACGCGACGTTCGTGGAGGGCCATTCGCGCTTCACTTACTCCCTCGTGGACGGCGCCGCGTACTTGGAGACGAACGACAGCTCGTCCAACGCCGCGTCGGTGCGGTGTATCCCGCCCAGCACTCTACCGTTCGGTAAAATTCTACCTGCGTTGAACCACGCGACGCCCATTCCAAGCGCGTCCATCGGAGACGAACCGGTAGAGTGCGAGAGTGGCAATCTGTTCAAGACGACGTTTGCTGGCGTCCACTACGCGATCTGTTCTACCGGGGAGGACGGATTCACTGCGTTGGCGAGTGATTTGTCCATCGACGTGGAATATCTGGACGAGCCCGTGAGTATCTCGAAGCCCACGCTCAGCGATGGATCGTCCTGCAAGACTGTGGCCAAACCCACGTCTGTGACGCCCACGGCTCTGGCGTTGATCACTGGAACCGACATTCCAGTCAGCAGTTCAAGGAAGCTCAAGGCGGAGTCGCACATGGCCATGGCTGCATCTTCCTGCGCGTGCAATTCGACCCCTCGGCCCTGCATCTTCTTCCACGGCCTGGGCAACGAGAAGGAGGAGCCGAAGCTGCAAGACAGCATCCGCCACTTTGGCTGGGACAAACTCCAAGGCCACACCCCGTGCTGCACCGTGGTCAAGTACGCGTCGCTCAACACCGTCGACTACGCGTGGACCAACTCGTCGTTGCAGGAGAAAGTGTGTACGCACTCGCTCTCCATGTCCGACAAGAGCGACAAGTCCTCGAAGACCATTGAAGACACGATCGTAGTTACGCACTCCATGGGTGGCCTCATGCTGGCTGGAGCTCTGGCCAACAAGGAGTGTAAACTCGGTAAGAGCGCCACGTGGATCGCGTTGAGTCCCCCTATGACTGGCAGCATGTCGTCCGACTACCTCATGGACTTCTGCAATGGCGAGGTGAGGAACCTCATGACGGACTTGCTTTTCAACGGCAGGTGCCCGACGTCCACGGCCCAGCAGTCGTGTGCGTACGAGACCGAGAAGTACAGTGACGAGAAGCTAGACGCGGCCTACGACGCCGCCCAGGAGGCCTACCGCAAGCACGTGTTCGCCGCGATGTGCAGCAGTTCGTATGTGGGGAATATCTCCAAGTACCAGGCCAAGTACATGGTGGGAGGCAGGGTGATCCCGCACAAGTCGTCCAAGAACGACGGACTCGTCGAGTTCCACAGCTGCGCCGGCGGACTTTCGCCCAAGCAGTTTGGTAGAACGCACTGGGACCAATTCTACCAGTGCGAGCTCAACCACGCAGACACAGCGTTCAAAACGGGCGATGGAATCTTCAAGGACACGGTGAGACCCATCAAGTGGTTCGAGTGTCTTCTGTAGGAGAAACCAACTTCAATTGATAATAAATACTTTTATGAACTTCTCTTCCATTTCATATTTCAGCACCTGCTCAAAGACGTGCCTCTTCATCAGTGAATTAAGAAGCTCAAATACAGTATTTTTTATTGCGCTTTGCAGTTACTTTGCCGACCATTTTAGACGCTAAATATGGCAAAGCCTGCTCCTAAATATGTGTGTAAGAAGATACACGACCTGCTAAAATTGTGCATGGATCCACCTCCTCATATATATATCGACTTGGAAGGGCCTGTCAGCAGCCATGCATTGGCCCAGTACACCACCGTCCATGATCCACAGCACACCCACCCTCTTATGCATAATTGCCGTGTGTGTAGGTGCTGGTGGATAAAAACCGACAGAATTGCAGCTGCATAGCCACAATTGCACTTTTGAAAGTGCAATTGTGGCGCTTTTAGCGTAATTCTAGACCTCCACCCATTTATGCACCTCGATTTATCGTAAATGTAGCGGGTGGTCGCTATAAACACAGCAAATCTCGCCAAAGCACAATAACACCACATGTATCAGTTGAAGGCCACATTACCACCATATATCAGTATCTGTGCACGGTACACAGGTACTGAAACATCTAAAAATGTCAAGCCTGCGGAAGCGGGGCTCTTGAAAAAAAAGAGGCGTATCTTATGTTTGATTTTAACACGGGTCATCTCTTGCGATCAGGCGAGATTTCGGAGGATGCCCCTGAGTCGAGTATCGATGCACAGCCTATTTGGTTTTATGGGTAGGTGCATATGAATGCTTACTACCCTGAGTAGGAGTGAATAAGTCTGTAACATCGTCATCTAGCTTGGAATCGATTCGTGCCGTTTTGACCACTGTCATCTAGATGGAAAACATACGCCTGATTCACCGCTCAATTTCAAGGAGCTCGTGCTAAAACAATGCTTCAAAAACGTCCATATATGTAGAAGAAGGTAAGCTTTTCATGATACAATGCTACTTGCACGCTGAAACACGTCCTAGCGCTCAGAAGGCTGGTTCACAAAGGCAACTAGATGCTGTTCCTGTTGAAGACAACCTGTACATAATCGGGCTCTGTCGAGTTATCGTCCTGATGTAAAAAAAAAAAAACTCGACAGCGAGGGTTACGCCAGGGTTACCCCTCGAGTGGATCCAAAACTCCCCCTTTGCGTTACGCGCGTTCGTGAGCAGCGGCAGTGGCCATGGGTGCGCTCGGAGAAGTGAGTTTAAGCGTCGAGCGCCGTCGCTAGTTGAGAAGTTATCGCTATTGCAGACCTGAGGGTTAGTAACCTTGGGTTACGCTGAGGTCAGTCTAAGATTACCGTCAACATATCCTGAAGTGCAATTAAGCGAAATCATTCGAAAGAACTTTGTGGAAGGGCCTGTTGTCAAGTTGCATGGACATACTATGCTGTCCGCTGAACAAGAAGTCCAACCTCGGCGACCCATAACTGAGCAACAACGCGGGTGCCATGACCCGAACACCCCTCACTATGCTTAGATTTGTGTGCTCTAACCCCTCTTCGAATCTTGTGTCTGTATAAGCAAATTTGTTGATCTTCGAATTTCGGTTGACCTCCGAAGATCGTCGATTTTTCGCATGATCGCAATAGATGACCCGTGTTAAAAAGCTAAGACATTTAACAATAAAAAGCTTTATGGTGAAAGCCGGCTAAAACACCCATCTGTAGCAACCCCTTCTTAGACCTCAATCACTTAATTAATCAGAGTACAAATCAGGGCTGAAATCGATCGTGGTCTAGATGTATCGCTTGGCTGCGCGATTACCCAGTAAAATGATTGTTAGACGGGTTTTACAGGACATTGGCAGGACTTGATAATGAGTAGATATTTGCCAACGGGAGCGAAGAAGGAAGAACAAACTGGCCAATCAGTTACTGCTCTGCTTACGCTGTTTGCGATGGCAGCAGCCCAACTTAGCTGTCCTCGTCGCCGACCCCGCAATGTCGCCGTGTGTTGCGGCACGTCGATGCTGTCAGCGCATGCAATGAACGTTTTAACAGCGTCCTCAACGCTTTGACGGGCACGCCACCGTCCGGTACACTTTGCTATGTCCTCAACTATGGTCATCAGATAGCGTACATCATTAATTTTGGAACAGGTAGCGGTGTGGTCATGCCAGACGGTGAGCAATGTGGACGCTGGAGTGCTGAACGCGGCGGTGGTTATAGATCCCAAGCGGCAACGACAACCCCAAGTGGCAACGATGCGGACAACCGCGCACGAAGGATCTTTGGGCTAGCTCTAGCGGATATTTGCCCAGACGAGAGCAAGTGGGGGCGCCAGCAGCCGTTGCAGCAGCGCGCGACGTGCTGTCCGACGAAGACGAACTGGCGGACGTTGACGCCCTGGTGAACGACGACGAGTTGCTGTTGGTCGATAACGAGTTGTTAGACGAACAATGCAGCGGGGCAGCCGTAGCTTTGCGTCAGAGGAAGCTTAACAGACTCACAGAGTCTCAGCTTCAGATAGCCCGTTCTAATACCAGAACGTACGAGTCCGTACACCTTACGGAGTCCAAGAGTCAATCCTTAACTCTTAACTGTGTGAATCTCAAACTGAATGTATTTCTCTGCATTGCGGTGAGGCGAGGCCGATGAAACCTTTGTCACCCAGGGGGGTTCGTATAGCGCAGCCCAAGACTGTTCTCCAGGGTGTAGACCCAGAGAATCGACTTGAGAGTCAACAGCAAGAAGATAGACCCATAGATTCGCAGCCGCAAAGCTTTAAACCCTGAAAATCACTCTCCTTGGTTGGCGTGGGTACCTTGTGTAATCCCTGTCGGCTCGTTTGTCTTCGACGGAACGGCACTCCACCGGTTGTAAATGTAGCCTCGAAGAAGTGCGGGAGTGCACGTCTACTTCAGAACGCACCTCCACACAAAAGGCAAATCCAGAGAATCAGATCACTCGAAACCCAGAATATCACGAATTCAGGGTCCAGGATTTCAGTCAACTCCGGCACTTGGAACTCAGAAGACACCTTACCCAAATGCCCTCCTAGCTCGATAAAACCAACAAATACAGAGTATACAAACACTACAACTAGCCGTCACTTATTCTTTTGGACCCTTGGACGGTGGGTCACACACACACTAGGCTCACTCGAGTCTGAAATTCAGGGGCCTAGCTCCCCTGAGACTCACACAAACGCGCACCACCTCCAATAAAGGAGGAAAATACAATCGCTATCAGTTACCTTCCCTTCACACAAGCAGTCAATACAAAATCCTGGAGGCGACTACCTAGCACCCCAGAATACCCTCTGGAATAATATGAAATGACTACCACGAGCACAGCAAGTGACCCAACTAGGATATGGAATGGATGGATCACTCCAAGAAGCTCAAGGCCGTCGCTGGTCTCCACCTAACTGAACTTGAGTTGATGAAGTCCACACAGACGGCTGTCCTGCGCCGTTGATGTGCCCTTAGCTTCCCGCGGTCGTAGTCTCGGGTCCTCCGGATATCCGTCGGCAGGCTTGGCCGAAGTCACTTGAGCAGTACAGGGAAAATTGAACTCTTTATTAAGGGCTTATTTGTCCTGGCTTATTTTTTAAGGGGAGAGTCACAATATCCCAACGCTTAGATTCGGCGCTACCACCACGACGTCCCAGGGTACGCGGCGTCCTAGCTCTTCGCGACGATCCGCGCCGCCTCTGGACTTGCTTCCTTGATACGCTCCCGGGCGTGACCCCGAGAGTCTACGTTCCCACCGGGCGTGACTCCGGCTGCATACGCTCGAGGTCGCTTGTCACATCACGTCCCGGCCAGGTCTCCTTGCCTTCCTCCTCCGGGGTGCGCTTCCGCAGGCAGCTCTCACTCTCTTACTTCTTCGGGCAAATATCTTCTGTTCACTATGCTTGGGGTCAAATGTCTTGTCTTGAGTATACCTTGGGTTCAGCGGTACAAACTTGCGATCGGCTTGCGAATCCATCGTCGCACGGCGTCGAAAGTGCCAATTGTGGGTCCTTAGACTTGGTTTAGTATGGTACAGGACTCCCTCTCGACCCCTCAAACGTATCCAGTCTGCGCATCCACAACGGTTCTTCAAGGTCACGCATCACTTTGATTGCAGACTGACTGCGAACTGACTCGAATCCCTGAGAATCCCTGAGAATCAACTGACACTCAGGGTCATCTTCTGAAATCCTGGGAATTCTGAGGAATATTGTGGAACTGTGGGGATTCTTGGGTGTTGGCTTGGGAAACACTTAAGTTCAGTATAGAGAGTCTGGATTTATGGTCCAAACCTAGCGAATCATCTTTGGAACTCTGGGTCACCTGCACTCAGGGAGGTGAACTCTGGGTCATCGTGCGGCGCACTGGGTTTCCGTGCGGCACTCTGGGTAACAGGTTTGCTGCATTGCAGGCTCGCGTGTATCTCCACAAAGCCAAGTTTTTAGCGGATTTAGCGGCCTCCTGCGCGGTGGTGGTAGTGGGTTGATTCTCAGGGTAATTTGATCCTTTGGGGCACTCTGAGCCACAGCAAGATGAGGTGTACATTCCCCAGAGACACTTTCCGCCAGACTTTAGACACTCATCGTAAGGGAAAGTCCGCGGCTGGACTGAGTGTTCTCTGAAATCCTGGGCATGCACTCCCAGGATTCACACTTCCAGCCAGTTGGGCCCATCTGCGGTCAGGCGCTGGATTCATCCCGAGAAATCACTTCTCTCCCACAGTCGCCATCCATGTCACACGGGTACAGCCGCGCCGTATCCAAGTCATCCACCAATCGGCATCCGATACAAACGCCAAGTCATCAGGTGACGGCACATCGTCGGCAATTTTCTGGGGACCGCCTCGTGTCAGCGGCCAAGTCGCCAACGGTGTAAATGTATCCGGTTCACTATCTAGCATAGTGAACCCTAGTCATATGCATAATCAGTGGCTCTGAAGCCGGGTACTGATTCTCCTACTGATTTAGGTTAGACAGTGTGTACCCACCTCATAACCCTTCGGGTAACTCTCGTGTAA